TGGTAGGGTGGTGTGTGGTGGAGACGGTCACATTATGGTAGGGTGGTGTGTGGTGGAGACGGTCACATTATGGTAGGGTGGTGTGTGGTGGAGACGGTCACATTATGGTAGGGTGGTGTGTGGTGGAGACTGTCACATTATGGTAGGGTGGTGTGTGGTGTGTGGTGGAGACGGTCACATTATGGTAGGGTGGTGTGTGGTGTGTGGTGGAGACGGTCACATTATGGTAGGGTGGTGTGTGGTGGAGACGGTCACATTATGGTAGGGTGGTGGAGACGGTCACATTATGGTAGGGTGGTGTGTGGTGGAGACGGTCACATTATGGTAGGGTGGTGGAGACGGTCACATTATGGTAGGGTGGTGTGTGGTGGAGACGGTCACATTATGGTAGGGTGGTGGAGACGGTCACATTATGGTAGGGTGGTTTGTGGTGGAGACGGTCACATTATGGTAGGGTGGTGTGTGGTGGAGACGGTCACATTATGGTAGGGTGGTGTGTGGTGGAGACGGTCACTATGGTAGGGTGGTGTGTGGTGGAGACGGTCACATTATGGTAGGGTGGTTTGTGGTGGAGACGGTCACATTATGGTAGGATGGTGTGTGGTGGAGACGGTCACATTATGGTAGGGTGGTGTGTGGTGGAGACGGTCACATTATGGTAAGGTGGTGGAGACGGTCACATTATGGTAGGGTGGTGTGTGGTGGAGACGGTCACATTATGGTAGGGTGGTGTGTGGTGAAGACGGTCACATTATGGTAGGGTGGTGTGTGGTGGAGACGGTCACATTATGGTAGGGTGGTGTGTGGTGTGTGGTGGAGACGGTCACATTATGGTAGGGTGGTGGAGACGGTCACATTATGGTAGGGTGGTGTGTGGTGGAGACGGTCACATTATGGTAGGGTGGTGTGTGGTGGAGACGGTCACATTATGGTAAGGTGGTGGAGACGGTCACATTATGGTAGGGTGGTGTGTGGTGTGTGGTGGAGACGGTCACATTATGGTAGGGTGGTGTGTGGTGTGTGGTGGAGACGGTCACATTATGGTAGGGTGGTGTGTGGTGTGTGGTGGAGACGGTCACATTATGGTAGGGTGGTGTGTGGTGTGTGGTGGAGACGGTCACATTATGGTAGGGTGGTTTGTGGTGGAGACGGTCACATTATGGTAGGGTGGTGTGTGGTGGAGACGGTCACATTATGGTAGGGTGGTGTGTGGTGAAGACGGTCACATTATGGTAGGGTGGTGTGTGGTGGAGACGGTCACATTATGGTAGGGTGGTGTGTGGTGTGTGGTGGAGACGGTCACATTATGGTAGGGTGGTGGAGACGGTCACATTATGGTAGGGTGGTGTGTGGTGGAGACGGTCACATTATGGTAGGGTGGTTTGTGGTGGAGACGGTCACATTATGGTAGGGTGGTGTGTGGTGGAGACGGTCACTATGGTAGGGTGGTGTGTGGTGGAGACGGTCACATTATGGTAGGGTGGTGTGTGGTGGAGACGGTCACTATGGTAGGGTGGTGTGTGGTGGAGACGGTCACATTATGGTAGGGTGGTGTGTGGTGGAGACGGTCACATTATGGTAGGGTGGTGTGTGGTGGAGACGGTCACATTATGGTAGGGTGGTTTGTGGTGGAGACGGTCACATTATGGTAGGGGTGTTTGTGGTGGAGACGGTCACATTATGGTAGGGTGGTGTGTGGTGGAGACGGTCACATTATGGTAGGGTGGTGGAGACGGTCACATTATGGTAGGGTGGTGTGTGCTGGAGACGGTCACATTATGGTAGGGTGGTGTGTGGTGGAGACGGTCACATTATGGTAGGATGGTGTGTGGTGGAGACGGTCACATTATGGTAGGGTGGTGTGTGGTGGAGACGGTCACATTATGGTAAGGTGGTGGAGACGGTCACATTATGGTAGGGTGGTGTGTGGTGGAGACGGTCACATTATGGTAGGGTGGTGTGTGGTGAAGACGGTCACATTATGGTAGGGTGGTGTGTGGTGGAGACGGTCACATTATGGTAGGGTGGTGTGTGGTGGAGACGGTCAGATTATGGTATGATGGTGTGTGGTGTGTGGTGTGTGGTTGAGACGGTCACATTATGGTAGGGTGGTGTGTGGTGGAGACGGTCACATTATGGTAGGGTGGTGGAGACGGTCACATTATGGTAGGGTGGTGTGTGGTGGAGACGGTCACATTATGGTAGGGTGGTGGAGACGGTCACATTATGGTAGGGTGGTGTGTGGTGTGTGGTGGAGACGGTCACATTATGGTAGGGTGGTGGAGACGGTCACATTATGGTAGGGTGGTGTGTGGTGGAGACGGTCACATTATGGTAGGGTGGTGTGTGGTGGAGACGGTCACATTATGGTAGGGTGGTTTGTGGTGGAGACGGTCACATTATGGTAGGGTGGTGTGTGGTGGAGACGGTCACTATGGTAGGGTGGTGTGTGGTGGAGACGGTCACATTATGGTAGGGTGGTGTGTGGTGGAGACGGTCACATTATGGTAGGGTGGTGTGTGGTGGAGACGGTCACATTATGGTAGGGTGGTGTGTGGTGGAGACGGTCACATTATGGTAGGGTGGTGTGTGGTGGAGACGGCCACATTATGGTAGGGTGGTTTGTTGTGGAGACGGTCACATTATGGTAGGGTGGTGTGTGGTGGAGACGGTCACATTATGGTAGGGTGGTGTGTGGTGGAGACGGTCACATTATGGTAGGGTGGTGTGTGGTGAAGACGGTCACATTATGGTAGGGTGGTGTGTGGTGGAGACGGTCACATTATGGTAGGATGGTGTGTGGTGGAGACGGTCACATTATGGTAGGGTGGTGGAGACGGTCACATTATGGTAGGGTGGTTTGTGGTGGAGACGGTCACATTATGGTAGGGTGGTGTGTGGTGTGTGGTGGAGACGGTCACATTATGGTAGGGTGGTGTGTGGTGGAGACGGCCACATTATGGTAGGGTGGTGGAGACGGTCACATTATGGTAGGGTGGTGTGTGGTGGAGACGGTCAGATTATGGTAGGGTGGTGTGGTGTGTGGTGGAGACGGTCACATTATGGTAGGCCTTTAATATTATTTTAGTAGGTCTGTTAATATATTATTTAAACATAATCTTAATTCTATATTGGGGCAAAAGACTGAGAAGTTTTTTTATTTTTATAAAACTGATGTTTTATTTCCAACACAATAACCTTTCAAAAACACAAGGGATTAAATTATGGCCCCTTTTCTATAGAACCACTTCCAGCCACCTAAATCAATCGTAGGCTGAATCGTCCATGTAGGGGAACGGGATCATCGGATGCTTAAAAATCGATAGACTCTAACCTCTGTTGGAGATTTTCTTCGCCCGGGACAATCAATAACAAGCATGTTTGGATGCAGTGTGCCAGCCACAAAAAATAAATAAAAAATAAGCAAGTTTGGATTTATAAAGTCCTGTAGCTCCCCCACCCCCCCCCCCCCCCCCCCCACCAGCTCTAAAAAAATAACTCAACATATGCTAGAAAACGTATTAATCAAGAGTAGGAAAAAAAAAGTAATAAACCATATTGTTTATTTTTTAAAGTTCTGGATATGGATATCTATGTAGGCTATTATGTAGTAGGGGTCTAGTCGAGTTGTGACGTGGGGTGATTAGGCCCATATAATTTAATGTAGTGTAGGGCATGCTGAGTACTCAGCTACACTTTTGCATTTTTCGTTTCTGAATAATAAAAGATTTATACTCTAGGCCTATAGAATGCTTCATAATTTATTATTTATAGTTTCAAATAATATATTCAATGAAGATTATGTTAAGCCAAGTAGACCAATGATTAATAGATCTATCTAAAAAAGAAGTTTCACTAGCCGACTAGCCCATAAGCCATAAGGCCTAACAATGAAATTCCTTTTAATGTATGCAGAGGTCAGAGGTTAACCCGGCTCTATCGGCTGATATTTTGTGATAAGCACAGAACACACGCGTAGAAACAGCCCATTTTACCCATTGAATCCTCTTGTAAGGCTTCTGAGTCTTGTTATTTTTTGGTAAGCTTTTTTATTTGAATGTAGTCTAGATCTAAATCTAGATTCTACCTCCTAGATCTAGATCTAGATCCATATTCTAGATCTAGATTCTAGATCTAGTTATTTACGTAGACCTAAAGCCTAAACTAAACTAAGACTAAACTTCCTAAACGGTGGGCTAAACCTAAAGTAAACAGTTAAAATTAGGCTAAGTTAAAGTTGTTAGTGTTGTGTCGTGATAAATATTTTTTAAATATTATAAATAATAATCTAAACTCTAGATCTAAATAGATCTAGATTCTACTTAGAAAGTATGCTAGTCAAGAGTCAATTCTAAAAGTACTACTAGATTCTAGAGTTACTAGAGTATCTAGACTACTAAATAAATAAATGTTTAAATATTGTTTAATGTTAGGGCCTATTCCTAATATTGCCTAATATTACTAATAATATTTAAGATTAACAATAATTATAATTATAATTAACATACATAAAGTATAAAGGCAGGTAAATCCCAATCTTGTTCTATTTTTATGCATGAATAAAAGAACCTTACCCTACATTAAAAAAAACATTTCATATGCACATGTATGTAGGGCCTAGTTCTATGTAATTCTTTAACTATAATATAATATCTAGATCTAGAATCTAGACCTATTTTTAAAACAGGATCTGTCAAATTCTTAGAAGCTGCAATCATAGTAAAATTGTTACCAAGTGAAGTAGGATTCTCAGTTCCTCTTCAACTTGTACACCGATTTCTCCTTGTCTAATATGGAGTTTAAAAATTGAACAGCATGCATACCTCAACTTTTAAAGTCATCTTCCGTTTTATTCCTTTACAGTTACAGTTGTTTTGCTGTCTAATAAAAACTTAAAACAAATCTTATGACTAATATCATATTAATTATTAATATAATAGTAGTAGAATAAATTATTATAAATGACAATCATTTCAGAGCTTATGTGTATTTTTCCCCAGATATTTTTGTATTTTTTATCTGACACATTCTGACCAGCATGTCAGCCAAGGCTATTTATGAAGCCAAAGGCAAAGAGCTACTGAACAAATTTTTGGGTGATGTGGCCATGAAGAATAAATATGTGTTGATTGATGAAAATGTCAATTGGAACCAAGTGATTCAAGACAATATTTGGCTATCAAATGAGGTGAGAATACATTTATAGAAATTTCTCTTAAGAATGTTTCAGTTTCAGTTTTCTTAACTTTAAATGTTTTTTATCACCAATTTTATGTTAAAGGTTTTCATGCCGTTTGATTTTTATCCAGAAACTTGTCGTCAAGCCAGATCAGCTGATAAAACGCAGAGGTAAACTAGGCCTTATCAAAGCAGGAGTTAATATAGAAGGAGTAAAAGAATGGCTACTGACAAAACTTGGAAAAGAGTTTGAGGTATGTGATACGTCAAAACATAACTTTCTTTTAAAGCTTCTTTAGGGCATGACGGAAGATGAATACACAGTTAGACAAAATGCTTATTTATAAACCTAATGCTATCATATGTAGCATATAGATCTAGTTATAACTCAAAGAGTTAAGTCTAAAAAATAAAAAAATGGCTGAAAATTCCTGCCGCTGCCATGGTGATGGTGGCCATCTTGAAATTTTTTATCATTTTAATATTGAAAAAACTTTAAAAATTATTATTAAAATTGATCTAATTTTCTCTAGTTTTTCTGTATACATAGAGATCTTCCAACAAAACTGATAGAACAAATTTTGGAAAATTTGTATGGTTTTTCTTTTACAGTTAAAATGGTGTATTTTTTGCACAAATTATCAATTTTTTGATAGTGATTTTTAGAATAAACAATATAAAAACAAAAGTATTTTAAAATGTAATCAGAATTGTTACCAACACATGCCTCTATAATCCTGTTAGTTTTTATTGAATTCGCATCAGCCATATTTGAGTTATTTTGATTTTATAAAAATAAATAAATTCCAAGATGGCTGCTATCACCATTTTTAGCGCAATTTCCATTCTGGAGAATTGCGTTTATTAACTCGTCATTTCTGGGAATGGATGGATGAATGAATGAATGTATGGATGAATGTGTGTCCGGGCTTTAAGTCGTATCTCCTCCTCAACGAAGCAATATCGATGACTAGTTCCAAAAGCAATTATGTTAAGCAAGTTACGAGAATGAGCATAGGCCATAAAAATTCCGGGTTTCTTTCATGTATTTCCCGGAAAAGCCAAAAAACCTCGAAAAAATGCAGTTTTTGGCCCATATCTCGGCAACCAGACCACTTAGCGACTTGAAACATGTACCAATCGATTCCTGCCATAATTTAGAACAATATTGCCGAAGAAAGTTTTCAAAAATATCCTCTCGTGCGGTCACAAATTTTAAAATTACATAAACACCTACAAACCGATCGTTCTTCTAGCTTGAACGCAACCCAGCATTATACGTCAGAGCTATTTTTAGATAACATAAGGAAATTGCGCATAAATGTCACTAGACTTTTTTAATTAACTTGTTTTATTTTTATACTTAACTCTTTGAGTTATAACTAGATCTACATGCTAAATATTTTAGCATTAGGTTTAGAAATGTGCATTTTGTCAGATTTTTTTGAAGTTCAATATTTTAAGAGAATTTAACCCTTTGAACCCTTAACTCCTGGTCCTAAAATCCCCATGCACCTGAACTCCTGAGCTAAATGTACACACAAGAGACTTTCAATTAGAAAAATAAAATAAAGCTGCAAAAGATAAACAGAACAAAACAATTAGTTTTTGGGCAGCCATGACAGGAGCTTATCACTAGTAGAACAGCACTAGTTATTTAATATTAAAATTTTGCATTTCTATGTATGGACTGTTGATCTTCGGCAAGTTGTCTCAGAGCTGGCGCATGGTGAATTAAGACTTGGACCAAAGAAGCATTACTGTGGGTTTAATGGGTTAATACTTTTATTAAAATAGAAAATATCATTTTTTAAAAATGTTTGCTAAATCTGTTCATTAAGTATTTGTTTTACTGTAAGCAAACTGGTTAATGCTGCTGTGTTACAGATTGGTGCTGCAAAAGGAAAGTTAAAGACATTTATTATTGAGCCATTTGTAGAGCATGGTCAGGTTAGTGTGTTTTTCATATAACTGCTTTATCTTACCATGCGTTTTTTTCAAAACCTCTCAACAGCAGGATAAATACATGTGTGAGAAAAGCACTACCCTGTTTGTTTAGTAACCTATTGATTTTTCCCCTCTTATTGATCCATGAGTAAACTAACCAGTTGATTCTCTTCTTGGAAAAAATGTATGAGTAATGGTTATAGTATTTTATTTATTTTTTGAACCACCTGTGTAATCTCCAATCAGTGGATGCAATTAGATTACAGAAACTAGAGATAAATGCACCATTAATTATATCCCTGATTTATTCCCTTACTAATTTTGGGAAATAAATTGTAATTTGTAAGATAATGCTCTTTTATAATTTTTTTTACGGTTGATACCGTTTCGACAACATTCAATACTTCAAATGTTTTAATAATGTCCATTATTATTGTTTTTAAGAAGTAATTTTTTTTTCAGAATGAAGAATTCTATGTGTGTATCCATTCCCATCGCTATGCAGATACTATTTTATTTCACCATGAAGGAGGAATAGATATTGGGGATGTAGATTCAAAGGCAATTGTTTTATTTTTTAAATATAGTTTTGTATTGTAATCTAGAATCACTGAAAAGATAACAAGTTAAACTCACATAGTTTGATAATTTACTTCTTCCTTATTTCTTTAATAGTTAAATGTATAAAAAAAAGTTGTCTGCATGATTCTTACACTATTGAGCATGTAATGATGTAGCATTTTTTATGCTTGATTTCAGGCAGTAAAACTGGATGTTCCAGTTGGTGGAATTCTTTCACCAGTTGAAGTTAAAAACAAACTGTTATTACAAGTCCCAGAGAATTCACAGCAGTAAGCAGCTCATCAGTTCTTATTAATTTTTAAATGTTGGTGTACAAATTTGGCATACTTTTGAAAAACTGTTCTTACCTTGACTGCTCCTTATGGAAAATAGGGCCTCCACCATTTCCTTCCATTTCTTCCGATCCCCGGCTATTAATTTTTGCCATCTCCCAAGACATCCCTCTTGGCTTCAGTTCTTCAAGAAGACTGCCTCCAGGTCTGTCTTGGGCTGTTCTTACCTACATGTATTAAAATGATCCTGTGTCTATTGAAAAGAAAGTGTAGTAAACACAGAAGATAACTGATTATTTCATTTTTATAATTTCATAATACCAACAGTACTTTTTCCACCTTAAAATGTACTAGCATTGATATACAATCCTAATGACTGATCTGTAAGTAATGTAAGTAATATTTTTAATTTCAAAGGCCCTTGACTGATTTCATTATCACTTTGTACAAAGTCTATCAAGAATTACATTTTACATACCTTGAGATTAATCCCTTGGGTAAGTGTAATTTTTTGTTCTGCATCACTGTGTTTATACTTAAAAACATGTATACTATACATTTCTAGAACACAATACCCACCAAAAGTTAATTTTATCTGGAAAAATGTATACATGAAACATGTATACCTTAGCGTTCACACTAACAGAACACTTTAAACATTTTAGTAAACAAACATGACCTTGTTAGCCGTATTTTAAAGTCGTAGTAGTTAAAATAATTATGGACTATGCTGCTTTGTTGCTTGTTTATATATATCCTTTAGGATAATTTAAGTAAATAAATTTTTGTCAGCTGAAGCTCCAGATTTCTTTAAACATTTGCATATAGGCCATATAGGCACTTCCATGCATGCACACTCATCTCAAATTCAGAATGTATCTAATGTTTTTGCTCAGTGAGCAAAAGTAAAAACTTAATCTATAACACAGAAAGGCACATGGCTCAATACTCAGCAACTCAGATTTTCCATATACCCATAACATATATATGTAAAGTATAGTATGCATGTCGTAATTGTAAACTATGTGCATGGTTGAATAATTGTTTTCATTCAACACTTCTTTTTGTTGTTTTTTTGCCCTTTTTGATAAAAAGTACATCTCTTTCAGTGGTTAAAGGGACACAAATCTTTATACTAGACCTTGCTGCCAAGATTGATCAGTGTGCTGAGTTTCTTTGTAAGGCTAAGTGGGGAGATGTTGATTTTCCTCCACCATTTGGAAGAGATGCATTACCAGAGGTTTGTATATAAATAAAAATGTTTGAAAAAACATAAAAATTAAAATGAAATATGAAACAATAATAATTTTCTATGTAAATGAATGAGTATAATTGTTTATCCATTTATGATGTCCACACGTGGGGGGGGGGGATCCGAAAAAAAATTGACTTTTGCTTAAGAGTATGGACTTTTATAAAGGAAATAAGTGGATTTTTGTGGAGGGGGGCGGGGGGTCCAAAATAAAAAAAATTTGGACTTCATAAATGGATGAGCATTTTTAACATTACACATTTTACTAATACTTCCATTAAGCTTTTACATCCTTCCCTTATTCCCCTTGGCTGTTAGAAGCACATTTATTTTCTGTAATACTTTTAAAATCCTTTTTAGGAGGCATATATTGCTGAGCTTGATGCAAAAAGTGGAGCAAGTCTAAAACTCACAATACTCAACAGGAGGGGTCGTATTTGGACTATGGTTGCAGGAGGAGGAGCATCTGTTATTTATGCGTGAGTCAACTTAATCTACAATTATACGCTTTTACTGTTATAACTTCTAAACGAGTAAACACTTGTAATTTTATTCTAAATTATAGAGACACCATTTGTGACCTAGGGGGTGCCTCTGAGCTTGCTAACTATGGTGAATATTCTGGAGCACCAAGTGAACAGCAAACTTATGAGTATGCCAAAACAGTGCTCTCTTTAATGGTAGAAGAACGCCATCCAGAAGGTATAGTAATTTAATTACAACAATGTATTTCCTGAAGGAACATATTTAAAAAAATAAAATTTGCCTAATTGTCCTGAATGTCTATTTTTCATGTACCTATTTACAAATAATTTTGACAATGAGAATAGATATATTTAGAATTTTTAACTATAGTTTTCTATCATGAAATTATTGTAATTAATTGAAGAAAAAATTCTTTTTTTATAACAGTTGGAAATTTAAATAATTTTTCAGGCAAAATACTGATCATTGGTGGTGGCATTGCTAATTTTACAAATGTAGCTGCTACATTTAAGGTATTTTCTTTAATTATATTTCTAAAATATGTTGATCTTATAAATTTTTTTAAAGAAATTTTTATCTCTGAAATGTATTATGTATATAAAACAGTGGTATAGACATGTAGGGCATTAAGACCTCCTAAATGCTAGCTGTCTCACATAGTTACTAAGCTTTTTGCAACATTGCTTTGTCATTTTCAATAATTACCTGAATTACCATTTTAAAAATTTGAACTTTAACATCCTTAAAAAATATACATACATACATACACACACACATATATATATATATATATATATATATATATATATATATATATATATATATATATATATATATATATATATATATATATATATACATACATACATACATACATACACACACAACACCCTTTTCCCCTACAATGTCAAAATCCTGTCTATGTCACTGATTCTCAGGATATGTTGTAAGATACTAGAAAATGATTGTTTCAGGGTATTGTACGAGCATTAGAGGAGTTTCAATTAAAACTAGTTGAAGGCAATATTACAATCTATGTCAGGAGAGCTGGTCCAAACTATCAAGAGGGTCTAAGAATAATGAGAGAATTGGGTATGTTTATATTAAGTTTTTTTTTCACTGTCTTCTGTAATGATGACATTTATGTAAACAGGTGCATAGACCTAAAGATAGTAAAGATGCTTTAAATTTTAAAAATTTAATTTTCTTTTTCAGAAGTTTGTATTTTAACTTTTCTATCGTTTTACAAACGTTTGCGTTGAAGTGCTATTTTTCAAAAGGTTGTTTTTGATGCTGCAAGGGTTTTTGTTGAATATTTGTGAGTTGAAAATAAATAAGGTATATTTGCAAAATATTTGCTTATATATAAACTTAGTTGAAAAGTTAAAAAAAAAGTTTTTGACCAGCATTGCTTTTGAATAATAATATGCATTTTCAGTAATTAATATAATAAATAAATGGCTCCTTAGTCTGATAGAAAATCTGATTGGAAATCAAGGTGCTGAACATGGGCAGTAAGTTGAGAAGAGCCAGATGCTACTCATGTATCAGGCCCCCTCTTTCCACACAGCTGATAGATCCAAGGGAGAGATATTGCTTATTTAACTTGGTATTAGCTGTGTTGCTGTCCCTATCTAACAACCTCATTTTCCGGGGGTTTGAACTCACGATTTTCAGTTAAGCTTTCCTGCCTGGCCACATCAAAACCTTACATCGAATAATAATGGTGTTGATTCATTTCTTATTCATCTGGAATTATTGTCATAACAAAAAGCTCTTCCCATGCATAAATATAATTTTATCCGTTATTTTATCATCTTAATAAATTTAATACCATATTAAGTCTTGTAATTGCTACTCTGGTGTTTAGGAAACAGACTTGGTCTTCCAATCCATGTATTTGGCCCAGAAACTCACATGACTGCTATTGTCAGCATGGCTTTGGGTAAAAGAGATATCCCAACAACTCCAAAAGCATTGCCAACTACTGCAAACTTTCTTCTTCCTTCTTCAACCAACCAGGTAAAGGTTTTTTCCTAGATTTATTTTGGGTTTGATTATACACTTCTATAAATAACTGCTGGCTCTTTTATTGCTAGATCAGTAATTTGTGGCCTTAACTGTCTTATCGAAGTTCATATTTGTCATGTTTAATTTTCCAATTATTTGGTAGTCTTCTTTTTTCACTTTCTATTGCTATTACATGTAGGCCTCAAACATTTCAAATTATCTGCAAGTTAGCGTTGATTAGAAAATTGTTCTTCCTTTTTGCATTCAGAGTTCTCAGGTAATTAATAGGTTTGGTTTCAGTGATTTTTGTTGTTCATTTCTTTATATTTATTGTCACATCTCTACACTTTTGTTCCTAATCATGTTACCATGCTATTATGTGTTGTAAAAAACTTGCTAGACAATTACCTTTCGACATTGGGGAATAAAAGATGCTCTTTGTTAAATAAAATGAAACTTGTTTATGTAAGACATCATATAATTTCTTAATTTTTACGTTTTAACCTAAATAATGTTGCTTAACTTACACTTCGTGTCAGTTAGTAAAACATAACAATTAAGATTTGTGAAATTTGTCTCACCCTTGTAAAAGAAAGATTCTTTTTCACAACCATCTGTATTGGTACATTTTCTAAAATATATAAGAATTTTTTTTTTCTATAATAGCTGATATAAAAATTAAAGACAATCATTACTATTTATTTTATTAAAGTAAGACATTAGATTCATGTCATTTGTTGTTCACAAGTGCTTATATTAAAAGTTTTTTGAGAATCTCATTATAGGATAATTTCAGAATGACTATACATATATATTTACTCTATAATTTCTATTATTTAGTAAAATAGCTTTTGTTTTAATGCACAACTGAATATGATTATTTTAAAAAATTTGATGCATTTTTTAAAAATTAAAAAATATGATTAGATAGTATAAAATACACAAATACATTTTTTTTTCTCCTAAGAGTTAATCGTATTTCCACAGATTTTCTTTCCAGGGGTAAATAAATAGACATAATAAAAATGTTACCATGTCAATAATATACCTGTATCACTAACACTACTCCAATGTGCTTGTCTCATATGTCTCAAATACATGTTAAATGTTTTTTAATTTTGAAAATATTGTGAAAAAAGATACATTTGAAATTTTGAAAGGTTTATCAACTTTAAAAAGAGGGTTTTGAGATAGCAATAAAACCTGATACTTTATTAAAAAAAAGTAGTAAACTAAGCTATTGAATAATATTAGTCAGTTTTTTTACATACTTTTCTCAACCAGTTATATTGATTTTTTTTTGTAGTTTTTTAAATACATTTTGCTTTTCTCATCTGAAATGCATTTTAAAATATTAGTCGTACTAGCAATATTGTTTTTAACTAAGCTAAATTGTTTTTAAAAAAAGTAGTTTGTGTATCACATTAAAACAGTAGATATGCTGTAGTCATCTCCATTTCTAAAGTCTGCACTCATGTTTAATTTATATTTTTTACACATTTTCTCCACTTTGTAAATTTTTGCATGGACATGAAATGAACAGTTCATAAAATGTGTAGCAAGCTTTATACACCTATTCTTCTGCCTTTTTAATAGCTTTTAGCATTTTGCATTTTCAAGCAAAAAATACAATTTTAAAATCTTAATTTTCCTTGAGTGTGATAAATACTTTAAGAGTGTTTAAAGAGCTCTGCAGTAACTTTAGAATGTCATGTCACATATTATTGTTGTAATACAACATTCAAAATTCTAAAAGCTTAAGTAATTATTTTTTTAAAGTATCAGTTCATTTAAAAAAGAAATTAAAATCCGATACTTATATTTCATAAAACAATGTACGTTTATTCATCTGTGTTATATGTATAACCATCTGTAAAGTAAGCATAAGTTGTTAAAATGTTAGTAATGCAATAATTTTGTTTGATCATAGATGTAGGAAGTGGGGCTGCATCTTACTTTTTCTTAATCTATAACGGAAGACAGCTAGCTGGCACTGTACAGTGTAGTTGGATTTCAGCTTCAAGATGTCCTATTTTTGTGCTTTCAGCAAAAGTTTTCTTTTAAAACTGAAATTAATTGTCTTGGATATTTTTTTCAGCCATCTCCTTGCACTAGTCGACGTGGATCACAAGACAAAGGTTCTACCCCTAAAGTTCAAAACAAGTCTTCACATACACAACAGAATGGTTCAGCAGCAAGCTCTGTTGATTACAACCTGTTCACTAAAGACACAGAATGCATTGTTTGGGGAATGCAGCAACGTGCTGTACAAGGCATGCTTGACTTTGACTATGTTTGTTCACGAACAAAACCTTCAGTAGTTGCTATGATTTATCCATTCACGTAAGTTTTGTGTAATATATTCTCAAATTTAGTGTTATAATTATATTTTCATTAAAAGAAGTAGAGGTTATCAGCAAATGCTACATCCAACTTTGTTTTTCAGTGGTGACCACAAGCAAAAGTTTTATTGGGGTCACAAAGAAATACTCATTCCAGGTAAAAAAATTTCTCCATTGCTGATTTCAAATAAGGTAGCTGTGTAAAATGTTTATAAAATTTAAATATTGCAGAAAAAGTCTTTTTGACTCCCTCCCCTTGTTTATAGTTTGGAAGCGTGTTAGAATAAATATGAATCTTCTCATTTCAGTTTACAAGAATATGGGTGACTGCATGAAGAAACATCCTAGTGCAGATACACTTGTGAATTTTGCATCATTAAGATCAGCTTATGACAGTACAATCGAAACACTTAATTATCCACAGGTAAAATTGAAGCGTTTATCAGAGTTGACATTCGATATATAGCAACGCATAGCACCACTTAATGCTAATTAGCATTACTAATATTTTTTCAAAATTTATAGATTAGATCCATATCAATTATTGCGGAGGGCATTCCTGAAAATCTGACTCGTAATTTGATCAAAGTGGCAACTGAAAAGGGTGTAATAATCATAGGACCAGCAACTGTAAGTAGACTGGTTGTTTCCTGTTTTAGACTTAAAATGCAGTATAACCAAATAATTCATAATCTTTAAAGATAGGTTTTCTACCAATTACTTGTAAAAAAAGCAACTTGTGTTTTGTCTTTAAGGTTGGTGGTGTAAAACCAGGTTGCTTTAAGATAGGAAACACAGGTGGCATGCTAGATAATATTCTTGCATCCAAGCTTTATCGACCTGGCAGGTAAATTTAATAGATATTTGAAAGTTTTTATGTTTTGTTTAGGTATTTATATAATTATATATTTGGTTTGCAATTATTGAATTAAATACTTTTGTGTTGCCCTGTCTTGTTTTTCCTTTCCATTTCCCTGTTTATTTTTCTATTTTATCAACTTAGGATTTAAAATACTGTTTTTCAGTGTTGCTTATGTATCGAGATCTGGTGGGATGTCCAATGAACTCAATAACATTATTGCTTTAAATGCTGATGGTGTTTTGGAAGGAGTGGCTATTGGTGGAGACAGGTGAATATTCTCTATTTTTTGATATTGTAGTTAATTTAATTCTTGCATTTTTCAGATAGAACTAATCTATTGAACCAGCTGCTGTGTGGAGCTTTATCTCTTTATGAATCAGTTTAAGTTAAATGGTGTACTAGAAATATTTTTTTGTCACATTTTTTTAGTATTTACAGCCCATAAACTTTTTCTCTGTTTATTTGAAACCTACAAATGTAATATAAAAATTTATAGTAATTAAATGCTCTAAATTAAGTTTGAAGTAATTGATTTTTGTTTTTATAGTAGCAATGTCAACTCTAAATGTTAACTTGGAAGTTTTAAAATAAAAAGAAAACTTAAAGCAACAACTCTTGGGCACTAATTGGAAATGATGATGATGAATGTAATTGTATAGAATGACAGCTGAATGAGAGGAGACATAGTTCTAAAAAATGCAGTTTCATTTGCAAGTCTTTTGCACGCAAAAAATTTAAATAAACAAAACCAACTTTACAGAAAGATAGCAAGGAGTAATCACAACTATAAATGGTACCTAGCAATTTAGTTACCTAGATTATCAATTAAAGACAAAGACTGCAAATTGTGAATATAGAAAATATTAAACGGTAGGAACATTGTCACATGATCGCAGGTCAATCCACAGATGCTTGGGGCGTCATTCTAGCCTTGATGAGTTTTTGGGTTTTAAGTAGTATAACGGCACACAAATTTTCTTCTTATATTGGGAAATTTGAATGCTTAATATTTTTAAAAATAAACAATAATGCTCAATGACCCATGATAATTTTTTTTACTGTTTTGTTTAGATACCCTGGTTCCACATTTATGGATCACATTCTGAGATATCAGGCTAATCCAGATGCCAAAATGATTGTACTTCTAGGCGAGGTTAAAAACTTTCATAGATTTTGAACAAGAAATTATAATTGTTTTTTTTTACATATTTATTGGTAATATAGTTCTGTGAATGCTTATGTTTTATTTTAATGCTCAATATAATTTATTACAATTTTAATTCTATCAATAATAGGTTGGTGGAGTTGAAGAGTACCAGCTGGTAGAAGCTATTAAACGAGGCAAGGTTGATAAACCTGTTGTTGCATGGTGTATTGGAACCTGTGCCAAGATGTTCACATCAGAAGTAAATACAATTCTTTAGAAAGTGTTAGATTATGGTTAGATGTCATCCAATTACGACATCCACAAAAATTTGGAATTTTAGACCCCACCCCCCCTCCCCTTGTCAGCTTTTGGCAACATCCACCCCCCCCCCCCCCATTGTGGACATCTCAAAAGATGCTGTAAAATTACTAATTCATTTACATGCAATGTGTACATTAACTGATAATGTAATATAGGGATTTATTTTATTATTTTCTGTAACATCTATTATTAGGCCTAAATAATAATTGGGAGTTAAAACTTTTCCAAAATGTCTGTTAGTCTACGGTGTGTAAACTTACCGTGTGAATATGCTAAGCTAAGACTATCTAAAATTGTTCTTTTGGGTCGTCCATAAATGACGTCACACTCGTAGGAGGGGGGGGGGGGTCAGTAATTTTGTGACGGTGTGTGATGAGGGGAGGGGGTGGTACAGATGGTGTGACGTCACTTTTGCATTTTAAAAAACAGAAAATGAATTTTAGCTGTTATTTCGCGTTTTAGAAAACTGTTTTAATAAATTGTAATAGGAATTGATTAAGATACTCTATGTTGTCAAGTTCAAACAAGATTTTGGAAAAATATCATGTTTTAAGAATAATTATACTGCAATCAGTTTGCTCAGTGGGACACTTATTTCAGTTGACATCAACAAAAATACTTTTTTGCCTTTTACTTAGTATAACTTTAAGAAGAAATAACAAAAATAAAATCTTAGGTTGCATGTATCTTACTTAAAAAATTTTCTATTTAGGTTCAATTTGGCCATGCTGGTGCTTGTGCTAATGCGGATGCTGAAACAGCTGGTTCAAAAAACGAAGCCCTTAGAGCAGTTGGAGCTATTGTGCCTAGAAGTTTTGATGAACTTGGAATAACAATCAAGTAAGAAAAAAGATCTTCTATCTTACCTCATATACATGTATTATTTACGTAATGCAAGAAGAAAGACAATTTCGAAATAATGTTTGCAGTGAAGTCTACTCAAAACTGGTGTCTGATGGAATTATTGTGCCTAAACCTGAAACTGCACCACCAACAGTTCCAATGGATTTCAACTGGGCTAGGGTATTTCTTTCATTGTATTTTTTTTTTGAAACATGATCTAGGAGGTTGTTTTTTTACTATTCTAAGAAATATTAGTTTTTAAAAAAACAGATGTATAACGTTTTATGGAAGGCATAATTTTAAAGTAGTAACTTTGATATTATTTATAGATTTGCGTGGTATAAACAATTTTTGTGTGTGTAGGAATTGGGCCTAATCAGAAAACCAGCATCCTTCATGACAAGTATTTGTGATGAAAGAGGACAGGAACTATTGTATGCTGGCATTCCGATCACTGACATATTTAAAGAGGATATGGGCATTGGAGGTGTACTCAGCTTGTTATGGTTTCAACGAAGGTACTAGTTTTTAGCAGAAAAAATAAAGAATTATAATAAATTGCAAAAGTACCTTTGTAACTTATGTTTTTTTAAAAGTAAATTAAAGCAATTTTCTATTTGTGAGTTCAGTTTGCTGTTAAATAATAATGTTAACACCAATGCAAGTTGATGGTTGCATTATATTCAATAGATGGAAAAATCACTAATTAACCCGTTACAGGTCTATTGCCCAGCTGTAGGGGAAAGTACAATGATGCCCTGGCTAGTAAAGGGTTAATTATTGCAATATAATTTATAAAAAAACAAATGTTTTGGCGTTTCTTCTTATAGTTTTTCTTTTATACAAAGCATTCATTATTATATTATTCTTATATTTGTTACTGGGGAAAGACAATTTTTTTTACTACTAGAAGAAATTAATTTTGAGTGCTAATTAATTTTAGTGGTAAAAATGTGGTCTTGAAATTTTATCTGAAAAATCAGTCTTCATAAATAGATTTGCAGTGTAAGAAATGGGGTGAATGAGAATGTAAAAGAAAGTTACATTGCACTATTTGCACCATGGGTATGAATAAGTCTTTAGATTAGAAGAAATATGTTCAACTACACATTATTCATATTTTTCTTACATCACTTTACAATTTGAAGATAATTAGAATTATGTGTAATTTTACACTTTTGTAGGCTGCCACGGTATGCAACCAAGTTTATTGAAATGTGTCTCATGGTAACAGCAGATCATGGTCCAGCAGTATCTGGTGCACATAACACTATAGTTTGTGCTAGAGCAGGAAAAGATCTCATCTCCAGTCTCACATCTGGTCTCCTTACCATTGTAGGTTTAACTGTTTACTTAAATGCATTTATAACTTATTTTCTAGTTCATTTTGAAGGATATTTTCAAATATGTAATTTTTTTTTATAGGGAGACAGGTTTGGAGGAGCATTGGATGCAGCAGCTAAACAGTTTAGTACAGCATTAGACAGTGGCCTCATACCTATGGAGTTTGTCAATGACATGAGAAAAAAGGGAACACTCATTATGGGCATTGGTCACAGAATCAAATCTGTGAGTGTTTTAGCAGTTATAGTGCATAGTTTTAATAAATTTCATATATCAGCACATTTAGCTTTAGATTAGTGACACTCATTATTTTAGTCATATTTTGAAGATAAATATTAATTTAAAATATTTTTTCTGTGTATTTTAGTTGAATAATCCTGACATGAGAGTTGTTATCTTAAAAGAATATGCTCAGAAACATTTTCCTGCCACACCACTTCTTAACTATGCTCTAGAAGTGGAAAAGATAACGACTTCAAAGGTATGTTTGTTTCTTAAAACATATTTTATTTTTAATTACTGTTTTTAAAAGCCAAACCATGCTGTTTGCTTGGATAACTTGTGTGAGACAGGATGTTATAGCCCCCAGTATTTAACAATGTAAACAAAAAAATTAGTTCAGAAACTAATAGGTTGATCATCTGTTGATGCTTTATTACTTTCTCATTTATGGAGTTATCATGCAAGAATCCAAATAGAGATTTTGACATATCTTGACATTTTACACCTTCCTGAATTAAAAAAAACACCAGTTTTGCAATTGTTTGTGTGTGAAGACGATAACTTGTTTTAGGGTTGTCGGCATCCGCCGAGTTCGCGGTAAAAACATGACCCGAAATCGCCCATTACTTTCTGATACCGGACACACGAGATTTGGTTTTGCATACTAATAAGTTTTTAATTTATGGTAATTAATTAAGTTTAAAAGGTCATTTCCTAAGGTTAATTAAAAAGTAGAGTGGTTGTCCCTTAGTTTTAATGGCTTTGCGACCTGATTGCATGCTGTCTCTGCTTTGGTCTTCCCTCTGTATCAAGGTTAGTTTCAAATACGTTGGAATCTCGATTTTTTAAAAGATTCCTCTAGATGAGAGTAGATTACTGATCAGACATATCTTAAGTAATTGGAAATGAAATTTGTTTTTGGATATTTTGACTCCGACATTAGTTATACCCCTCCGAACGTAGTCACTGTATGTAGGTCACGCTGCCACCATTGTTATATTTTTTCATCCCGATCTTCCTGCTTTAAGTTTGATCAACTAATAACAGCATTCTTATGGCATGTGCAAACAAATCTAATTTTTTATTTCAAAATATATTTACATACCCATCTTTAATTTTTTCAGCTCTAGTTCTAGTTTTGCAGAATATGTTTTTCCTAAAAATCCAATTTTGTCAGACTAGACTGACAAGAGTCAGACCTAGATCTAGGTTACCTGTCTGTTGCTATACACTAGCATTGTGCTAACTGTAATTTTAAGTATTCAAGTTCTACTTACCCTTAGATATAGTTATATGCTGAAAATCAGAATCCATACACAATTCACACATAAAAACATTGATCTGATAACTTCATTTCACTTATTACAAAATGGCTTTTATATGGACTCTACTTCACCTGCCCAAAATAACAAGGCAGTTATAGACACATTACAGTGTTCAAGTCATTTACTTTAGATTTCTGACTATGGAGTTCTTTCATTCACTGTATTTATATAAAATATTGCTTTAGAAACATTTTCATATTTGCGCAGCAGTTTTATAACATAATGGCTTAAAGATGGACTCTACTTCACCTGCCCAAAATAATGAGGCAATTATATGCACATAACAGTGTTCAAGTCATTTACTTTAGATTTCAAACTTTGTAGTTCTTTCATTTGCTGTATTTATATAAAATATGGCTTTAGAAACATTTTCATATTTGCGCAGCACACAGTTTTTTGGGGTTATGGGAGGAAGCCAACACAAAAATATAAGTTCTGTATTATTTTTATTCATTTCAACAAAATTTACAAGTTCTATATATCATTCTAGCTAAACTCTGCAAATATGAACAAAATACAAATGCAATTAAAATAACTATGCTCAATTTATTCAGGTATACCATGACTTGTCACAATTGGCCAATGCAAAAGTAAGGGGATTCCACCCCTCACAAAAAAATTCGCAAAAAAAAAACTATTTGAGCTAGACAAAAAATCTTTTTTGTTTTGTTTTCATTTTGTTGAGCTCTACAAGAATATGTAATTTTTATTTTTATATGATGATTAGTGCTTTTTTACCAAAATCCCTACTTGTTTCAGTTAGGTGGATCTGAAGTTTCAAATACAATTAAGCAAATTATTTACTCTATTTCCAATTTCTTAAAAACCTTCAGAATTTGATATTTGACAAATTTGTTTGCAAAATGGAGCAATTTCAGAATACAGATTTTAAAATGTGTACTTTTTTTGTTTCCTAGAAACCTAACCTGATTTTGAATGTTGATGGACTTATTGGTGTGGCTTTTGTTGATTTACTAAGGAACTGTGGCTGTTTTACTGCGTATGTATAGTTTGAAATTGTCAAATGTATTTGCTCCTTTTTAAAAAAAATATGAAGATTGTTTCCAAATTGTAAAATGTAATCAAATGCATACAAATATTCTACAGAGAAGAGGCTCAGGAATTTATTGAAATTGGTGCTTTGAATGCTATGTTTGTTCTTGGTCGCTCTATGGGGTTTATTGGTAAGTTTACAAAGTACAGCGGTTTTGTTTCAAACTGTTAATATTGGTTTTTTTTTTAAACGGCTGTATTTATTTAAATCTGTTTTGTTTAATGTTGGTTTGTATTGTAAGTTGTGAAGAATCGTAACGAATATTTTTACTTGTGTGAATCACATAAAATATTTTAAAATTCCTCCGCAGGACACTTTCTAGACCAGAAGCGCTTGAAGCAAGGATTGTATAGACACCCATGGGATGATATTTCTTACATTATGCCAGAAACCAATAACACTGAAACAAATTCTTCTTCTATTTAAGTTATTTAAGGATTCATTCCACGATAGCAGGACCAACCAAAACTGAAACTGATCTCTCAATGTTACTATATAATAATTTCAGATCACTTCAGATTTTGTTTTCTGAAACTTGGGACACAATTTGGTATTTAAACTTCATTTGCTTTTTTTAAAAAAAGCTGATATGAACCATGATTGTAATGTTTTTATGAGCTAAATAGGCTTGGTATTTCATATTTTAATTTAACTTCATGTTGTTGATTAGCATTGTAGTGATATAGAATTGATGGTATTAATAAGAGTAAATTTATACATTTTAAATTATTTAAATGTAATCAAATATAGTTTTTAAAAAAAAGACATTTTCTAGTTAAATGTTTTTAGTATATTTGACATATATGTCATTAATTTGATTCTCCACATTTTGAGTGAAAATTAAAACTGCTTATTCTGAATCCTAAAGCAGACATGTTTATTATATGTGTATTTTACTAAATAAATCCTTGGTGTTCATGAAATAATTGACTTGCACAGCATTTAATACTGAAGCATCACCTAGTTGTGTGATGCTAGTCTCAAGTTACATATTTAAATGAACCCAAAATGCTAACCCAAAAAGTATTTGATGAATTAGTTTTCTTTAAAAAAATAATTCGTTGTCTTTTTTGTAATTTGGATATAATTAAGGCTGTCATTTTTGAAGAAAAACTACAAACAATACATCAATGTTTGAGTAACCATTTGAAAAAAACCACAAACACCAGCCTTTATATGTAGTATGAGGTTGTAGCCTGGGACTTTTTCACATTTTGTTATCAATGGTCAATTAATTCAAGGTAGTTTTGTTTGTTTATGTGTCAGTGGCTTTATTTTCAGGATTTGTTTAATGTATACTTTAAATAACTGAACCCATTTGAGATTTTGTACTTCAAAAAAAAAAAAAATTACAAACATGTTAGGTGTTTGAATTTTATTGTTGTTTACTGTCAGAATGCAGACCTTTCCTTAGTTGTAGTTTATATCAGCAAGTAAATGAAATGGTGCTATATTATATAGAGGTATTTAACTTGTAGTATATTCATTTATTAAATATTACATTTTTTAATGATTTTTGTCATTGACATTTAATTTTAAATTAAGAAAATGTTTAGCCCAACACTTAAACTATAGCTGTTTTTATGTTAGTTTAATTTTAGGCTTAGTTTATATTAACAAGCAAATAAAGTGGGACATTCTAGTTATTTTCAATCTCAGTACTTGTTCAGTTATTTATTTACTAATGGTCTTCGAGTATGATACTTTTCCAATACCTGTAAAAAAGAAAGTAAACTGTTAGCAATCAATTTATTCTTAATAAAGGCAATTAGATTTTTGAGCTGTCATTAGATCTACATACATATTAACAAGGATATTTTGAGAAAAATCATCAAAATTGAGTTACAAAATATGAACAAACTGATATTGTGTAAGAGCTAATGAATTATTTAAAAAAAAATTGAATATCATTAAAAAAATTAACCCAAGCTAAATCTACAAAATGCTGAATCATAGTCATAATTTTATAATTAGATTTCACATTTTCTTTTCACATACTGGAATGCCTTAGAAGATCTCAGTTGAAAAATCACTTGTCTCAATAATTAAGGCCCGTCATATTTTTATGCCCTTTGAAAATTGATATTACGTTTTTGTGCAAATATTATTAAACTTTGGATTTTATTTAGGCTCAGCATATATCATTTTTCACTTTATTCTAAATTCATAGTTGCAACTGTAAAAAAAACACCCATCACTTTTCTGACATTACCTGCATTCCAGAATTGAAGAAGGCTCTTAATAAAATGTCCATTACAAACTCAAGTGGTAGATATTTTCTTTGTTTCCAATCTTAATTTTTCTGCCACAAGATAATCAAGTTTACCTAATGATTACAATACGAGTAAAATATAACAAACATAGCTTTGAGTTAAAAATAAATAAATAGAATAAACATTTTACTAACTTCTTGATTCTGCCATTTCATGGTCTACAGAAGAAAGAAAATATATATCACTGTTATGCTGTTTTTGGTAAACTTTCTGTTGATATAATATAAAATCAATAAATTTATCTATAAAATTAATATAGATTTAATTAAAATTAAAATAATAATACCAAAACTTATTTGAAACAGATGTTTTAGATTGATGTCAATTATGTTAAAAACATAACTTAAAAAATCAGAACAGTTGAAAAAGAGCAAGTTGATTTCAGGATAGCAAAAACAGACTGATGCAGTTGCCTTTTTGGTAATGTTATGTGACTGTGTGTTGAAGACCAGTGGCTTTGAGAGTGTTGATCTGCAGTTACATGACTGAGTGTGGTATTTATTATGGCATGCTAATATAGGAGAGTTCTGCAGTTACATGATTGAGAGTGGTGTTGACTCAGGCTAATATAGGAGAGCTCTGCAGTTATATGATTAAGGGTGGTGTTGACTCAAGCTAAGATGAGTTTTTTTTAAGTTAAAAATATTCATGAATGAAGCAGTATTATTTTAATTGATATGAAATTAGGCATGACCTTATTTGTATCACTAAATAATAATGAAGATAAATGCTTACTGCATTTGCCTTTAGCTGGCTGAGTTCGCTTTGAAGAACCTTATGCAGTGAAATCTGTTTAAATCAAATAAGCTGTACATGCAATATAAATCTATGTCATAGGCAAAGGGTGGAGGAAGGAGGCGAGGTAAAAAAGTTGTATGATAATACATTGTCTACTTAATTAACTATTTACTTCTGTGACCTATAGCTAAGTAGACATGGGAAATGTATTATACTATTATATTATACTTTATTACTTCTTGAATGGTTTACAGCAATTCTTAAAGAGTTGCCTGGGTAGCGCATCCATAGTAGACAATAACGTCGAGTTTTGTCTCTGTGAATGTAGTGATCGTCAGTCTTGATTGTGTCCTACTAACTGTCCGTTGTTTGGTTCCTGGCCCAATATATAAGCCTAGTCTACACAACCCTTATCATTTCTCCTGAGTCTAGGCTAGTGCAAAACATCCCATTTGCTTATTGTGGTTAACCAGAGTTATCTTCTCCTAAAACAAAAAGCCTCATCATTTCTCCAGAGCCAACAATTGAGAGTCACAGTCAGGCCCTGTCATGTCACTGGCTGCTCGAGATAACTTCAGGTCAGCCTGTGCTCTCGATAACCACCCACTTCATGTCCCCACACTGTCTAGCCAAAGATCCAGGCGAGGCTTACAATTAGCAATAATATCTCCCTATGGTCATCGGAAATGTGTCCGCGTTCACCTGTGCGTCATAAGTAATGATACTACCATGACGTCATTTCTCTAGCTTCATGCCTGAGCTTGGCTTTAGACATAAATCACCACCAGTGTCTTCCCATTGGCACGCCTCTCTCTCATGCTACTGCATATCATCCGTAGCCTAACTGAAGCCCTTAACAACAAATGCATGACAAAATGCTTTCCCCTGGCCTGCTGCACTCCAGATAATTCTAGATTAAACTCCTAGCAATTCTCATCTACAGGCAACTCCTTTATAATGGTCTACATTAAATTATATAATATATATATATAGATCTAGATAGTAGATAGGCTAAGTGGTTGTTACACAATAAACATCAATCAAATAATTCACTACTGACAATACTAATACTACAAACAAGCTAACACACACATTAGTGATTAAATCTTTTGTTAGAAATCTGTAATAAGTAATAGGCTCAATGACTCAATGAGTCAATATAGGCCTAATTATATTTATAAAATATATAGTATTTTTAGTATACTATATAGGATTATAGGCCTATAGAATATAGAAGAATACTATTACTATAGATACCTAAATACTAAATAGGCCTAGGTCTATATAAAATTATTATGGGTATTAATTCAATTCAATACACTATACACTATAGTATAGCCTACCTCACTTTCAATTTCAAGGACCTTCTGGTTGTTCATCATACTACTATTACTAGCTAGAATCTAATTCTAATGAATTTAATAATAAATTAATTTATCTAGTCTACTAACCCGTAGAACCTAGTCTAGTCTATTTCTAATCTAGACCTAGATCTAGATCTAGATCTAGTAATAATACTACTAGATCTTAGACAGATATCTAATACTAATATATAATTATATAGATCTAAGTGCTAAGAGGAGACTAGATCTAGATCTAAGTCTTTAAGATTGTTCTTGTTCTTGCTTTGAACTTTCTAAAAAATCTTATTTATATAAGTTTAAGTTTTATTGCGGTTAACCAGAGTAATCTTCTCCTAAAACAAAAAAGCCTCTTCAAAACTAGGCCATAAGATAATGTTTCCAGGAAGCGAAAAACGAAACAGAACGAAAGGAAAACAACTTGGACACTTGGTTGAACTTGGATCTAGATCTAGGTCTAGATAATAAAATAAATAAATCTAGATTTAGATTTTAGATCTACTATCTAGCCTAGTCTAGAAGGCTAAGATTTATCATAGTCTACTATTCATAGTATGAATGAGATTTTGATTTTTTAGAACTACTAAAGTAACTAATAACTACCAGGCTCAGACCAGCCAGGTAATCAGCGGTAATCTCCCACTCAGCTGTTTAGGCACTTAAATGAAAACTGGGCATGCAAATTAAATATTATTATATTAATGTAGGTAAAATCTTAGTTTAGCGTCGTAAATTCCAACGTAGCTAGTAATGTGCGATGAAGGTAACTAATGAATATTTCTTTCATTTGGCCATATTTATGTCATATTTTACATAATATAACAGATAATTGAACAACAAATCATAATCCAAGACCTAACCAGTCATAAATATCCTGGAATAAACTTTAAACTACCCCGTTCGAGACAACAATGAGTAAATACAAGCAGCGGCCATGTTTTAAAAACAATAAATTGTCTATTCGTATGTCTTTTGTGTTGATTTTGTGGTTTAATATGATTGTTTTGTATTGTTTTAATATATGCCGGGGGTCGTCCATAAATGACGTCACACTCGTAGGGGGGAGGGGGGTCCGTAATTTTGTGACGTTGTGTGATGAGGGGGAGGGGTTCAGATGGTGCGACGCGTCACACTTTTGCATTTTAAAAAAGCAATGTTACAAAACGAATTTTAGACGTTATTTTGCGTTTTAAAAAACTGTTTTAATACATTGTAATAACAATTGATTAAAATACTCTATTTTGACAGAGTTCAGACAAGATTTTGGAAAAATATAGCAACTGCAATTTTGAGGGGGGGGGGGGGGGGGTTGTAGGCTGAGGTGTGACGTCATTTTAGGAGGGGGTCTGGCTTTTTGTGACGACGTGTGACGGAGGGGAGGGGGGGGGGGGTAAAAATCGTCAAAAAAAGCGTGACATCATTTATGGATGACCCCCTGTATAGTAATTTTTCTTTTTTTTTAAATATAGTTGACATGAATGACTAATAGACCTTATCAGACTTAATAGTGTGCATCCAAGACCACAACAATTGTTGGGAGGTCGAACTTTTGAACACTTTATTTGCAGTAAGCAAATCAATATTAGATCGCTCATAAATGACGTCGCTCTTAAGATAGTAATGACAGCGTGCATTATTACAGAGCAAACATATGAACATATTGTTTCAGATAGAAATTGTGATTTGTGGTGGGGAGAGGTTGAGTAGAACTCAGCGATGTGATTTTGGAGACGGGTCAGGTTTTTTTTTTCTCGTGAAAACGGGATGGTTGTGGGAGAAAGACCAGCTGTAGAAGTATGACGCGTCATTCATTGGTGATCCATTTTCTCAGTGGGGACGAAAGAACTATTAAGAAGGGTCAAGAAATGTAAAAAGCTTGCCGAGTCGCATTTCTTGAACCCTACCTTTTTCATTCCCCCACTTAGCACATCGTCACCGAGTTAACGCTCGCACGTGACGTCATGTAGCGGTACCACCGACCGTTAGGCTAATTTATAGAAAAAAAACAACAACAAGCACTGCCTTTTTGACGCTTTTGCGACGTTTAGTTTGATTACATAAGTTGGTGTTCATTAAACAGCCCCTAATACATCTATCACTCGTCCATTTAAACGTACGTAGTTATTTCTGCAAGCTTGCTGTCTTGAGACTTTCGGCCCTTTAAAAATGTATTGAGCTCACACCGTATAGAACTAGACTACCCATATTAAGCTCCAAAAGAAGCTTGGTGAAAACAGGATGGCCGTCCCATTTTGTAGCTGCTCTGCACTTTATAAAAACCACAATAAACGATAAGATGACACTTATATTAAAGTAAATTATAGTTCTGAATCTTGATACATTAAAAGTGATATTCGGAAATTAAGAGCCAGACAGTCAACATGATATTTCAATTTAAGTCCAAGAAAATAAATTTCCTCAAACGATGGAACATTACTAAATTTTTGCGCAGTTTAGCGAAATTGAATTTAAGTATTTACGTCATCTTACAAAGCGCGATAGCCTACTGGTGCTCTAACGCGGCCCATGCTAATGGCCGTATTCCTAACGCCCCGCATTAGACACGGCTTATTCGTCGGCAGGCATTTGGTAGCAAGCCTTTTTGACGGGGATAATGTGTTGCGGCCGTTTTGCCAAATGTCTTAAACTAGCAGGCTTGCAACATTTGTGATGATTCGTTTCAAGCAAGGTTTACGTATACTAATGCTTATTTATCGTTATTTTGATTTAACAAAGCATTATAGACGTTCTCCATCAACCATCTAGGTATTTTTCCCAGTTCACCTCTTTCATGAGACCGACACGTCATAAATTGCAAAGCCGCCTGAGTTGACGTCACAAATCTTCACTCACTCCCGTAGCAAATCATATGTGACATCATTTATGGACAACCCCATATCACTCACTTGTGTACTTGATATTGACAATTTGACAACAAAGGATAACCAAAATATGTCTGGCAGGTGGAGACTTGCGATCGACCATAATGACAACACGCACTTAAGGGTTGGACTGGCTCATTGTTTTAGATGATGTTTTACGAGGGAAGCTGGTGGATAATACATTTTGTCTCTCTGTATATATAAATGATGACAAACATTTAATGTTGTCAAAATTATGGTTAGAGATCTTAGATAAGGCAGAGTGAAGCGTAATTTTTTACATTATGACATGTTGTGACATTGACGACAAAAATATGACGGAGGTTGGGGTTTAATTAAGGTAAAGAGAAGTAAAAAAAAATGTCATAAGTTACGATAGAATTACTAGATCTAGATCTAATTGTTGAAAAGAAAAACCTGAAATGAAAATAGTGAACATTCAAATAATAAGAAAAAACTCACAACAATTTAGTAATAGTAAGATCAAATAAACATTAGTAAAAAAAAAACATGATTTAATACATGGATACAAGTTGCATCTCACAATGCTTCTAGAATTAATAAAGTTGTTTGTTAGGAAATTCACATTTTAAAATAATGCTTTGTAATACGGACTATACAACAAGACGATCATATTTAAATACATTTTCATATGAATAGAAATGAAAGGGAAGCTACTCTCAATAACATTTTCTTAAGATGGCTGCTGTTTTTAATAGCAAATTTACTATCTCGAACAGGGTTGATAAAAATTAATTTCAGGATATTTAAATTGATTTAACCATCAATGGTGATCTATTATTCAATTATCTATAATACTTTATCAAATTATACGAAAATATACTCATATTTAATGACATATTCATTAATTCACTCTCTCCTACATTACTAGTTTTGGCCGAATTTACGACGCTAAACTAAGATTTTACCTTAATGTAAATATATTAAAAATAATATTAGGGTAATCTATCGTTTTAGGTACGTAAATTCACCCGAGACCAGTAATGTGAAAAACAGGTGACTCCTTAAATCTTATTTATGTTTTGAAAAATACAAAAATGTTTCCCTGTTTTTAAACAGTTGAATTAAAACTTATCAGTACTAAATGAAAACTAGCGATGTACCGCCGGCCTAATACCGCGTTTACACTTGCGACATGTATACTATACATTTCTAGGAAAAAAAACTTCGCAATAAGTGAGTAGGCTCCCCTATTATCATAGGCCCTATACTATAGCGAAGTTTTTTTTTCTAGACATGTATAGTATACATGTCGCAAGTGTAAACGCGGTATAAGAAATAAACCATTTTTTTTACAAGGGGCAGTGTCCGCTGCAATTTTCTAAAACAATTCATGATGTTTCAGGTTTATTTTTAAACTTTTCAAACAATTAAAACTAGATCATAGTAGACCTACAATCTTTATTTTGTGTCAAAGCCTAATATGATGTAGATCTAGTTTATTTTTCAATTTAAAAAACTCAAAATAGTCTGGTTACAATTTAGATATTTAAATACAAAAATGTATGACTGCCTGCAATCTCTGTCCATTATGAAAAACTAGCGTGCCCGTCGCTGCACTTTTCCGCCAGGATATAAGAAAGTCTGACAAAATATATAAGAAGGGTTTCAGCAATGCGTTACCAATCCTATATTCTTAGATTTGAGACTTAGTTTTTCTAAAACTGAGTTATTTAAATGTAAACAATGCCTGCGCCTGGATCATACTTATAGGGGCACATTTGGAAATTACATTATTCAGAGGTCTAAACAAAGCTTAACATTTTTATAGAAGTGAAAAATTAAAATTGGATATTTAGTACAAAAAGTACTTAATTAGTTAAAATCAAGCATTTTGATAATGCCAAAAAGTTAAGAAAAGTTACGTTAGTACTGATTCACACTGTGCTGTTATTTGATAATCAGTTTTGAAATTTTTTTTGAATTAAGTATTTATATCTTCACTAATTTTATTTTGACTGTGGTATAAACAGAAAATGTCAATGGACGCTAAAGAAGTCAAATCATGTTTAAAAGGTGCATTAGAAGCTATACGGGAATCAGACTTCAAGGAAGCTTTAAAGCATTGCAAGGTATGTAATGGATGATGCCAAGTTTGACATGTTTTTATTTTTTATTGTCCCATAATGGCATCCAGAAAGATCCCCAAAAAAACTTAAGCCTGAAAAAAATTCAGAAATTTATAAAGAGCCAACAACCAGAAAATTGATCTGTCCAAAATTAGGGCTTCCAACTGCAATAAAAAATGTTTGTTGGGTGAATTTCTATTAAAAAATAAAAAGTATTGTAAATTTTTCTATTTCCAAATGGGTTGTTATTATATTTCATATATTAATTTTAATATGTACAATTTCTCCAGTCATAGACCTTAATTATAATTTACTTAAGATTTATTTATTATTTTCCAGTTTGTGGTTAATAACAGAATAATGCTTACATATTAAAAATTTAAACAAAAAGGCAGTTTTTACTTTCTCGTATATATGAAGTATAGAGAAAGTCTTGTAATCATGCAAAAAAAAAATTGACGTTTTTACACCTCCCTGAGTTGGAAAAACCTAGTTTTGCAATCTTGTCCGTATGTCTGTGTGTGTGTGTGTGTGTGTGTGTGTCCGTGTGTAAACACGATAACTTGAGTACCGTTACAGCTAGGTTGATGAAATTTCATATATATATATCAAAATTGTAGATCCGTATCAACTTTTGAGCGATTTCCGATAACCGGAAATGGAACTTTTTCTACTTTCAATTTTTCAAAAGCCTATAACTTGAGTACCATTTCAGATAGATAAATGAAATTTCACATGTAATTAAAAGATCTAAATCTCTGCGTTCTTTCAAATTTTGAGTAATGTCCGTTGACCAGAAGTAGTAATTTTGCTATTTCCGATTTCTCAAAAAGCACATGTGAATTTATAAAGTACTAATAATATTCCACACTATTATACACATTCTGTTTTGCGTTCACTTGGTGTGCAATTCTTTTTTCTACACGATTCAACTCTATTTTAAAAAGTTTAAGTAATTAAAAATCATGTCTATTTCCCGAGTTGCCATCCCCTGTTGTTTTATATAAGAATATTTGAGAAAATTTAGGGGAGATCACTCCCGGTTAATTTTTTTTACCAATTCAAATATTATATGTAGTCGTTCTTCAGACAGGATTTTTGTTTTGTATTTTCCTAATAAAAGTTTTAAACACAACTTCATAGGCAGTCTTAGCAGTTGACAAAGAAAATTATAATGCCTTGGTTTTTATGGGAAAAGCTGCAGAGGGCTTGCAGCAGCCAGACCAAGGTTTAAAAGCTTATCGAAGAGCAGCAGAAAACCAACCTGACCAGCTGTTGGCATGGCAAGTAAGTTAAGTTTTTTACTTATTATATGAACATATCTGCATACATTTTCTTGCTTATCTCTATGTCACGTGATTAAACAAAATAGCATGTTGTCGCAAGTTGAAAACTTTAGAATAAATTTTCACACTACTCCATTATCCAGGGTTTGGCAAGTATTGTGGATAAAAACCCAGAGTTGATGGCACCAGAGGAAATTATTACTACCTATCAGAAACTTCTCAATATGAGTTCTAGGTAACTTAGATTTTGTTTTTACCAAATATCAGTTTTTGAAAATTAAAAAAAAAAAATTATTCTGAACAAGAGTTTCATAATTGTTTTTTATTACCATCTATACCAAATGTTTCAGTTATTTATTTTATTTTTTCAAACTGAATTTGTAGCCATATTTATCAATAAGTGTGTATGATAAATATGTACATTCACTTGTATATTCTTTTCAGTGATGTAAAAAAACAGATTCTCTACTGTCACAAACTTGCAGATCTCTATATAAAAATAAATGATACACAAAAGGTAACATCATCTATGAATTTTTACATTCTTTTAAACAGAATCATATGAAAAAAATTGTAATAGACTGAATTAAAAACTTAAATTTCTCTGAATGTATTCCATAAAATTTGACCCACATGTTATTTTAAAATGTTTTTTTTTCATAAGGAAATATTACAAAGAAAGGAAATCTTTAAATTTCACTTTTTTTTTGTTAAGGCACTTCAAACCCTGGTTGAGCTTTTAGAGCTAGAAAAAGAAAGTGAAGGGCGGATGAGTTCTTATAATTCTGTAATTAACATTCTCTCTCCAATGGCTCCACACCTTTCCAAAGAACATCTTGACCTGGTAAGAAATAAATAATTGTTAATTTACTAATATTCAGTTTAAAAATTACAAATACTATTATTTATGTGACATATTTTATTATGTTTTGAGTGTATTTTCAGTAAAGTATATTTGATGAACTTGACAGCTTTTAAAATATTCCAGCACTCATCTGCTATTAAACTTATAACATATGTATTTCTAAACTCTGTAGTATGAAGAAGCTTTAACTGAAATTCTTCAAAGCTCTGTTTCCTTAAGTCCAGTGGACCAAACTGGTTTTGTTGAGAAACTTCTTTTGTTAACATCTCAGGTAAATGATCATAGAATAATTCTTTATTTGATGATGGTAAATAAGAGGACTCAAGTTAATACGATGATATATCTATAAATGCACTAAAAAATAAAATTAACAAGACCTTTTTTTTTGTATGTTCAGCAAAAACCCATCTTTGTACTCTCTGTTTTCAGATAAGTGTTTACAAGGTGCCAGCATTAGCTGCAAGTCTAAAGGAGAAATTTCCCCTGGCACCAGCACCAACTGAGTACATACTTAGACATCACCTTGACAGTAACATTGGTCTGTAACTTTTCATCACAGATATGTCATGACACACATAAAACCTTTTTTATTTTTTACTGCTAAATGTTTGCTGAGTCATTACTGTATTTTGATTTATTGTTTTTGGTGAATATTTAAGTTACTCCTATCTTTAGGTAATGGCAGCATCTCATCTGAAACTTGCACTACAGTTAAAGAGCTCATGGCTGATCTCTCCAAGTTAAAACCAGACTCAAACATAATTCTCATTGCACAAGGCTTCACAGCATTTGTTGAGAAACAGTTTGACCAAGCATTAGCTTTACTTGAAGGTAAATTTTAGAGTTACTTGTAATAGTAGAAATATGTTTTAATTCAGTCACAATTGAAAAATTGATATTTTCAAAGTATCTATATATATAATTCTCTTCTTCGAGCCGTTAGAAAACAAGCTGCAAACGCTCTCCCTACCTCCCCACCCCTACATGGTTTTAGTGGGGGGGGGGGAGGAGGGGGGAGGGAAGGAAGGGGGGGGGGTTATGGTCCTTAACGAGCTACTTATAGTGTTTTAAAGAAATATTTTCAGTTTCAGCGTTGGTACTGTCGAATTCACAAATTATGAATTATTGAAAATTAGAAACAACTAAATAGCGGCGTATGTTATGCCGCGGGCCGGCTCGTTTTACATAAAATCTCATGAGTGTCCTCTTAATTTAGAACCACAACTTTGTATTCAAATACTTAAATAACTAAAAGCTACTTTTCTTTTCCGTGAAAGTTGATTAGTGTGACATGCCAACACCAACTCAATTTTCTTGTTTTGACTGTGCTCAGTAGAATCTCAAAGGGATCAATTGCATTAGTGATCCTGTCTGTATCCTTCTTCATACCCAGCAACTAATTCAGCCTCAACATTTGTGTTCAGTAGTGACAAATTCAGCCTCAACATTTGTGTTCAGTAGTGACAAATTCAGCCTCAACATTTGTGTTCGGTAGTGACAAATTCAGCCTCAACATTTGTGTTCAGTAGTGACAAATTCAGCCTCAACATTTGTGTTCAGTAGTGACAAGTTCAGCCTCAACATTTGTGTTCAGTAGTGACAAATTCAGCCTCAACATTTGTGTTTACTATTGACAAGTTCAGTCTGTCAGTGTTTGTGTTTACTATTGACAAGTTCAGTCTGTCAGTGTTTGTGTTTACTATTGACAAGTTCAGTCTGTCAGTGTTTGTGTTTACTATTGACAAGTTCAGTCTGTCAGTGTTTGTGTTTACTATTGACAAGTTCAGTCTGTCAGTGTTTGTGTTTACTATTGACAAGTTCAGTCTGTCAGTGTTTGTGTTTACTATTGACAAGTTCAGTCTGTCAGTGTTTGTGTTTACTATTGACAAGTTCAGTCTGTCAGTGTTTGTGTTTACTATTGACAAGTATAGTCTGTAAGTGTTTGTGTTTACTATTGACAAGTTCCGTCTGTCAGTGTTTGTGTTTACTATTGACAAGTTCAGTCTGTCAGTGTTTGTGTTTACTATTGACAAGTTTAGTCTGTCAGTGTTTGTGTTTACTATTGACAAGTTCAGTCTGTCAGTGTTTGTGTTTACTATTGACAAGTACAACCTGTCAATTTATGTGTGAATACATACTTGGAAAGTTAAATCCATTTTGTATTAAATATACACTTAATTTAATGTTAGATATTTTAAAAAAAATGTAAGTGCTTAGTTTATATCAGCAATCTAAATTGACAGCTGCTTCTGTCTATGATGAAGTGAGTGGCCTGTACTATTTAAGTCGGACATATTTGGAACTTCACAAGAATTCTCAGTGTCTTGGGACTAGCATCAAAGGTAGTTTTGAACATCCTAACACTTTCTACCTAACTTAAAATATTAACTTGCAGCTATTAAGTCAGAAGAACTAAAATAATTTGATTTTTCTAATGAAGCATCTTAAAAAAGTCAGCATATTTCCAGGTCTAGCAAAGCTCAACTCCAAGTGTCTGCTGTGTGCCTCTTGTGATCATGTGATGAACATGTTCAAGCTAGTCCAGGCTGAAGCGCTGAGGGAAATTAGCACACCAGAATCACAAGAACAAGCTCTTACACTGCTGGAAGAGGTAACATGATTTTTTTTCCCTATCATTAGCCACATAGTGGTGACATGATTTTGTCTTTGATTTTGCCTTGTCAAAAGATTTTACTCACTAGATTTTGGGTGTTGTGCTTGTCTTTCACTTGGCCACTAACAAGGCAGCTGTAATAAAAAAAACTCACTAGATTTTGCAGCATTGGGTAGATGATTTTTTAAACCCTACTTTGAAACTGGCTTGGCCATATTGTTTAGATTGATCTTGACATCAAATGTTTTATTTTTATTCTATTGTATTTATTTTGTTTTTATTGCTTTTACCATAATCATATTTTTGTTTGTTAAGTTTTACGTTTAAATTATTAGCTTTCAGAAAAAATACCCCTTGAATCATTCCTCATCAAAGCCTACATATACCTTGATCAAGGAGAACTTGCTGAAGCAGAGGTATTTTTAGTCTATAGGCTGAATCTCATTTTTTCTAAATTAATCTAAACGAGCCGACCCGCGGCATATCATATGCCGCTATTTAGTTGTTTTTTCTACTTTTCAGTAATTCATAATTTGTGAATTCGACAGTACCAATGCTGCCACTGAAAATATTTGCTTAAAAACACTACCCCCCCCCCCCCCACGTGAAAGCAGCCTCCTCTTAGTTACCTCCTCTAAGTTTAAAATCGTTTCAAATTAAATTTTCTGCCCATAATAACCGTCACCAAACCCGTCTCTATGATTGTAAAATGTAAACAGCGTGACCACAGCTCACCAGACAATGTGGGGGTGGGGGTGGTAAGTGATAATGATAGAGAGAAAGAGAGGGGACTGCAAGGAGGCGCTTGCAGCTTGTTTTCTAACGGCTCCCAGAAGAGAATTATATATATAGATGATAGCCATAAAAATAATTAAAAATGTACTATAGTCCAGATATCTTGAAAACACAGACTTCTTCTTAATGTCAATAGTATGTTGCCTCATGTTGATACACATTTGTGCACTTACCTCAAAGAATACAGATAAAAATACATTTTATAAGCTTATGAAATTGATTATGTACAGATTTGTGTGAGATACCTTCCACAAGAGCCAGTTTCAGTTCAAACACTGAATGCCATGATTTTGATGCATAAAAAAGATTATGTTTCCGCTTTGAAAATGTAAGTCTCTGGTCCAACCAAATTTTAGTGTTTGTGATAATAAATGTTCCTCTCTAGACTAGAAAGTATTATTTGTAATATTTAAATGTTTCTAGACTAGAAAGTATTATTTGTGATATTTAAATGTCTCTCTCCAGACTAGAAAGTATTGTTAACAATGATCCAACAGACTTTAGGGCAACATTAAAACTTGGACAACTTTTTTGGGAAATGCGTCTAAGAACAGATATTGACAATGTGAAGCAAAAATGTTTTGCTTATCTTTTAAAGGTATTTACTAATTCTTATTTTTAAATTAAGCTTTAATAGGCCTACAATTACTACAAAAAACTAACTTAAATTTTTGCAATTTTTCCAATTTATTTTTCATAGCCTTGCAGCCACAGTCTCAATTCTTTTAAATGTACTTAAAAAATTTCTTGTTTATATAGCAGTCTGCTTTATAAAAAGAAACAAAATTCTTGAAAAAAAACAAACTCCTTGCTTGCTTAGTTACGGAAAATATTTTTAAGTAGGGCCTATATATTTATGAATGAAATTTAAAAAAATGATGAAACCAGATTTTTATAGAATATCTGTTTATAGGCTGCTAAACTGGATCCCAACTACTACGAAAGTTTTTTATACTTAGGATTCTACTATAAAGAAAACCAGGATGATGTGTAAGTCATTAATTGATGTTAGTGTTCTTTTCATTACTGAAATGTTATTTTTTATTGAATAAATCTAATACTTTAAAATTTTCAAACAGAATAAAGTATTGAATAACTAATTTCAGTAAAGCAAGAAAGTGTTTCCAAAAAGCTTATGATCTTAACCACAACTCAGAGTTAGCGGCTTGTGCTCTTGTTGACAGCCTGGTTCAAGCTGGGGATGATGTAAGTTCTCTCCCTGTTTGTTGCTATAGATGAGCTCATTCCAGGCTGTCTACTCAAGGCTGTTTAAGTCAGGTCATGGTGGGTGAGTCAGGGCTAAGTCAAGGCTGTTTAAGTCAGGTCATGATGGGTGATTCAGGGCTAAGTCAAGGCTGTTTAAGTCAGGTCATGATGGGTGAGTCAGGGCTGAGTCAAGGCTGTTTAAGTCAGGTCATGATGGGTGAGTCAGGGCTGAGTCAAGGCTGTTTAAGTCAGGTCATGATGGGTGAGTCAGGGCTGAGTCAAGGCTGTTTAAGTCAGGTCATGATGGGTGAGTCAGGGCTGAGTCAAGGCTGTTTAAGTCAGGTCATGATGGGTGAGTCAGGGCTAAGTCAAGGCTGTTTAAGTCAGGTCATGGTGGGTGATTCAGGGCTAAGTCAAGGCTGTTTAAGTCAGGTCATGATGGGTGAGTCAGGGCTGAGTCAAGGCTGTTTAAGTCAGGTCATGGTGGGGGAGTCAAGTCAGAGTCAAGATTGACTGTCAAGTCAATACATTATTATTGAGCTTCAGAGTGTAATAAACAGTTTGTTTAAGAAACTAGTTTCCACACAATCCAGTAATTATTAATTTGTGTCTATTACAGGCCCAGAGCTTAAAAATTCTGGAGACAACTACATCACAGGCAGCAGCTGGGTGGTAAGTCAACGATTGATCACTAATTAAAAAAAGCCAAAAAAAAACTGAGGGATCTTCATTCATCTATGACTGTAACTCTGTATCTCTATGTATTTATCTATATATAATCTATATAGACATATATAAGCGGCCAGGTAGTTATCATTCCATCTTTTTGTCCTTCTGTCATCTGTACAGCAACTTTGTCTTTGTTGGCGTGGTGGTGAAGGTGCACATATTTATGCATGGGGAGGTGTCTCAGGGTATTTCTATTACTGTAGCGAAGCAGGGTTACTATTTATAAAAATATCTATTTTCTATCTATATATGTAAATATATATATATATATATATATATATATATATATATATATATATATATATATATATATATATATATATATATATACACATATATACACATATATATAAAGCCTATATAATTTATATAAATAAAAACTCTATCAAATTTTACAGTGCAAAATGGGCTTGGCTGCGCTTGGGGTTGTATCAAATAAAACATGAAAATCCAAGCAAGGCTATAATGTCTCTCCAGTCAGCACTTAGGGCAGATCCAAATGATAAGTAAGTTTATTGCACATGCAACTAAAGGGTTTAATCCTATAATCCCATATAATTCCTGTCTGACATGTTTTTCCTTGTCATCAGCCATGTGTGGGAGTGCTTAGCTGAGGCTTATTTACAGCGGGGGAGTCTGACTGCTGCTCTTAAAGCTTTTGCTAAATCTTCTGAGGTTAGAACTCACAGTTTCATAACATTTTTTTAAAGTAACTCTTGGATTAATTTATCAAATACAGTGAAAATAATTTAACACAAAAGTGATCCAATCAAAATATTTTTCTAAAAGCATACAACAATTACACTTACCAAACTGACATTTACTAAAATACATCAGATAAGAAACACTATTAAACATTTTGTAAATATATATGTATATATGTTTGTAAACTAAACAATAATATAAAAGATATATTTATTAAAAAAAAATATTTATAAGCTATATAAATCAAATAAATAATTTAATGTTTTTATAAACGCAATTTAAAACTGCTGTTGCTGTAATACTATATTGTTAACTAGAAATAATTTGTGGTATTCAGTGATTATTTTTTAGGATACAAACTCATTATTGTCTATGACTTTTTTCCTTCCATTTTAGCTGGATACAAACTCATTGTATAGTCTGTACAAGTACGTATGATTAACATATATATTGTTGTTTTAAATAATCAGATTCAAGTTTCAATTATTGCGAATCAATATACATGTTTGATACATTAATGTCTATTTAAGACTAAAAAGAAACTGAATAGTAGTTAACATTTCTTGTTTTCTTTTAATCAAAATGTGCTAAACTAAATTAGAGATTAAATCTTGAAGATTGCACTTGTTTTTAGAATTGCTAACATTAAACATCTCCTGGGATCTCTGTCTGAAGCTGTTGAGGAATATAAAGAGATCTTGAAAAAATCCCCTAATTATATTCCTGTATTAAAAGGTAAAAGCTGTCATTTTTTTAAGCTTTGTTCTGAGTGTTACAGCTGCTCTTTACTCTATGCTGATATGTTCTACAATATAAAATAAATACATTTTAAAACAAAATAACTGAAAGGATTATCTGCAAAATGTACTGTTTGTATCACCCAAATTATTAATAAAAATTAAAACTGGGGTACTTTAAAACTGTTGATTGATGACTGTGCATAACTTTTTATCAAAGGAGTAGCTGAAAGTTTAATCCATCTGGGTAAAAAAAACCTGGACAGCTGCTTAGATGGACTTGCCCAGGATCATTTTGAGGAGGCCATTCTGTATTTGACAAAGTAGGTTTCACCTGGATGGTTACAATAAGCAATAAATAGATTACTTTTTGTTTATCTTTACAATTCACACAAATAATTCTACTTTAAACTTTAGTTTATTAGGCCTACTTAGAAATAAAAGAAATAGATCAAAATACTTGATGAGAGTTAACTTCAAATGGCCACATGTATAAACTTTTTCAATAAATTTTAAGTGACCATGTTTATAAAAATATTTTAACAGAGCTGCTGGTCAAAGACCAGACATGTCTTGTCTGTGGAAGTTGTTGGGAGATGCTTGTACACAAGTTGTTTCACTAGCTTCAGATACTTACAGGTGACAAAAGTTGTGTTATTAGCTTAAGGGCATGGGCTGGTAATGAATACCCAATTAGCCAAAATTCTTATTTATAAACCTATTGCCATCATATCCAGCATACAGTTATAACTCAAATTTTCGGCTGTTTTTTTAATTATTAGGCTCAAAAACTCCAAAAAAATACCTTGCTAGTATTATAGATTTTTTTTCTTGTATTGCCCAGTGTACCAGTAAAGCTGTTAGGTAAAGTGACCTCTGACCTGGAAGTAAGAACTGTCAACAAAATGGAGCTTTTGAAAATCGGTGCTAGGTTTGAAATATTTGCCTTTCTTAATGCTACATTAGGCATAGATTGATGGTACTGTAGCAGTTTTATTCTCACATTTACTAATCTAGACATTTCGTCCCATTTCCACTAATCTAGATATTTCGTCCCATCTCCACTAATCTAGACATTTCCTCCCATCTCCACTAATCTAGACATTTCCTCCCATCTCCACTAATCTAGACATTTCATTCCATCTCCACTAATCTAGACATTTCCTCCCATCTCCACTAATCTAGACATTTTCTCCCATCTCCACTAATCTAGACATTTTCTCCCATCTCCACTAATCTAGACATTTCCTCCCATCTCCACTAATCTAGACATTTCCTCCCATCTCCACTAATCTAGATCTTTCCTACCATCTCCACTAATCTAGATATTTCCTTCCATCTCCACTAATCTAGACATTTCGTCCCATCTCCACTAATCTAGACATTTCCTCCCATCTCCACTAATCTAGACATTTTCTCCCATCTCCATTAATCTAGACATTTTCTCCCATCTCCATTAATCTAGACATTTCCTCCCATCTCCATTAATCTAGACATTTCCTCCCATCTCCACTAATCTAGACATTTCCTCCCATCTCCACTAATCTAGACATTTTCTCCCATCTCCACTAATCTAGACATTTCGTCCCATCTCCACTAATCTAGACATTTTCTCCCATCTCCACTAATCTAGACATTTCCTCCCATCTCCACTAATCTAGACATTTCCTCCCATCTCCACTAATCTAGATATTTCCTCCCATCTCCACTAATCTAGACATTTCCTCCCATCTCCACTAATCTAGACATTTCGTCCCATCTCCACTAATCTAGACATTTCCTCCCATCTCCACTAATCTAGACATTTCCTACCATCTCCACTAATCTAGACATTTCCTCCCATCTCCACTAATCTAGATCTTTCCTCTGGTTAGGTGCTATAGTCAGGCAGTGAAGATTCTACCAGAGAGTGGAGCCCTGTGGCATGATTTAAGCATCAGCTTGTACCACCAAAGCCAGTTATTGTTGAGCCTGGACTCTGTCGCTGAAGGTCTCCAATTGCTAGAAAAAAGTTGTCAGGCAGTCAAGAAGGCATTAGTGTTAGAGCCCAACAACTGGAGGCACTGGAATGCTCTAGGAGTTATTGCATGTTGCTCTGGTCAGTAATTATATTATAACAGATGTTTGGCTCATTGCTTGCTCTACTTTTTCCTGTATCTTTTGCCTACATTCTTTTCTAGCTTTCACCATTTCCTTCCATGGAATGGGGGAGGCCCTATGTTCCATAAGGAGCAAAGAGGACTAAGTCAAGTCTTTTGTAGCTTTTAAGGAGGGGAGGTGAAGGGTATACCAAAATTTCAATACTAAAAAAATAGGAACTGTAATTGTACGAGCTGACCCGTGACATAGCATATGCATTATTTAGTTGTTTTATTTTCTATTTTTCAGTAATTCATAATTTAATTCGACACTACCAATGCTGCGACTAAAAATATTTTGCTTTAGAACACTATCAGTAGCTCATGAAGGACGATTATCCTCACCCTCACTTTCCACTCCCCCCTGTGAAAACAGTCGTCCATGACGGCAGTTTGCAGACGACAATGAAAACATCAAGCAGAACTTGTTATTACCTCCCCCTAGTTTAAAAATTAAATTATCTGCCGCTAATAGCCGTCACTAATTAGACCCGGCTCTACAATTGTAAACAGCTCACCAGACTGGTGTGGTTGGGGTGGTAGCGATATGGCCTGTTGAGCATGCCTGGAGAGCGAGGGATGGGCTTGGGCGGCGTGTGTATACGTGGTGTTCCGCATGGTCCCTGCATGAAGAGAATTATATATATATATATTTTATTTGTACATTTTATTCATATTATCTTATTAAATTGTAACTGACCTCTTCAGTATATTTATTTTTTAGCTGAACAGAAGCCAGCCCTAGCTCAACACTGCTTTATCAAATCTATTGAATGTGAATCATCAGTAAGTTTAATTTGTAGCTCAAAGCAGAATATTCTTTATAGGGTAGTTCATTTGATCAGAACTGGATTGGGATTTTTACACTTGTAAAATATAAATGACACTCTCATTTCTTCTGACGCTAAAGTATGTATGATGTAGTGACTTTTTTTTATATCTCTAGTCTCTTATATATATATATATATATATATATATATATATATATATATATATATATATATATATATATATATATATATATATATATATTTATATATATATATATATATATATTTATATATATATATATATATATATATATATTTACTTTTTTTTTCCTACCTTATATAAAGAATAATGATTATTGTCCGTATTATTTGACAAAGATATTTCCTTTTTTTTAACAGAATGTCACAGCGTGGACCAACCTTGGAGTTTTTTACCTAGCTAACAGTGAAATCCAGGTCAATGCTTACACAATGTGACACTTGTATTTTTAGGCAGATATAAGTTTAAAAAACAAACAAACACCTTTTTAATCTATATATGTTCAAATGTGTAGTTATTTGATTGCAGGTTCAGTCAATTAGTAAGGGTTTATTTTTTATTTCCAGCTAGCCCACAATGCATTCAAAGCTGCTCAGAGTATTGACCCTACCTACATGGCATGTTGGGTTGGCCAGGTAATCTTTGCAGATGGGAAATTCAACCTTATGCAATTGGTCAACGTACAAATACATTTATGTGCTTTATTAATTTATTTCATCAAAAGCATTTACTAAACAACACATAGTGCAGCACTCTTTGTTTTTTTTTACAACTTTTTTTCTCTTTGCTAGTTTTTAAAATATTTTTGTTCCATTTTCACTTAAGGCATTAATTGGTGAGTTTTTCTATGTTCTGTATTTACTGAAGGCATTAATTTCTGAGTTTTTCTATGTTCTGTATTTACTGAAGGCATCAATTTCTGAGTATTTCTATGTTCTGTATTTACTGAAGGCATTAATTGGTGAGTTTTTCTATGTTCTGTATTTACTGAAAGCATTAATTTCTGAGTTTTTCTATGCTCTTTATTTACTGAAGGCATTAATTGCTGAGATTGTTGGCCATGAAGAAGCTATGGATCTCTTCAGACACACAACAGAGCTAGGCTTCCATGTGAGGTTTTAAACACATTCAAAATTTTTAAAATCAAAGTTTTTGTGCTTTTTACTTTTGAAATGACATGTATGCATTTATGAATAACCAGATGGTCAATTCTAAGAACAATGTAGGTTGAATAATTTCTCATGTCTTCTATAGCTTGAAAGTGCCATTGGCTATGGTCAGTGGGTGTTGGATGTACTTGGTGATGTAACTAAGAGAGAGACCAGTTTCTTTCACTTCTGCATTCAGCAGATGGCAGCCCTACCTGCAGCATGTGATGCATTAACTAGATATACCTGTATGTTTTATTTGTATGTTGAATTTAGGTTAGATATCCAGTATGTTTTGCTAATATGTTAATTATAACACTAATAACCCTCCTAGTATATGGTCCACTGACCTGTGGTACTTTAACTACACTCCCAGCATTTGGTCCACTGACCTGTGGTACTTTAACTACACTCCCAGCATTTGGTCCACTGACCTGTGGTACTTTAACTACACTCCCAGCATTTGGTCCACTGACCTGTGGTACTTTAACTACACTCCCAGCATTTGGTCCACTGACCTGTGGTACTTTAACTACACTCCCAGCATTTGGTCCACTGACCTGTGGTACTTTAACTACACTCCCAGCATTTGGTCCACTGACCTGTGGTACTTTAACTACACTCCCAGCATTTGGTCCACTGACCTGTGGTACTTTAACTACACTCCCAGCATTTGGTCCACTGACCTGTGGTACTTTAACTACACTCCCAGCATTTGGTCCACTGACCTGTGGTACTTTAACTACACTCCCAGCATTTGGTCCACTGACCTGTGGTACTTTAACTAAACTCCCAGCATTTGGTCCACTGACCTGTGGTACTTTAACTACACTCCCAGTATTTGGCCCAGTGGACCAAATGCTGGGAGTGTAGCTACTTTTGCTTGTTATTTATCCAGCATTAACTACTTTTGCTAGTTATTTATCCAGCATTAGCTACTTGTAAATTTTAAAAACTAATTGGTGGATAGCCGGTCAATTGTTTTTTCAGGTCGTATCAAAACTGATCCAGTTGCATTGAACATGTTGGGACTATTGTATGAGCATCAAAATCTTTTGCAGTCTGCTGTCAATGCCTTTAGAGAGTAAGGTTTTTATGATCCTTTTTATTTTAGCACTGTTGTTTCAAAAGAGAAAAATACAATTGTTTCTTTTCGTCTTTAATGAGTAAGGTTTTTATGATCCTGTTTATTTTAGCACTGTTGTTTAAAAAGGAAAATATCATTGTTTCTTTTTCCCCAGGGCAGTTAAATTACTTGATATTGATGACCCATTGAACCACTCAGTCAGTGTAAAACTTAACCTAGCTCGACTTCTGTGGTAAGTTTAAAGATTTTATTACATTAAAGGTAGTTAAACACTACTGGCATCTGACAAGTGATGGTGCAGATACAGTAGAACAAATCACTTGTAAGACAAGATTCAAACCCTAGTCCTTTCAGTCACCTTATATTTCTTTCTTTAAAAATAATGTTGAGTGCTATTTAGACAAGAATCTTATAGACAAAATTATTTTATGTAATACAACCTAACCATTGTTTATCTATTTAAAAATGTCACTGAAATTATTTTTATCTCAAGCAAACAAGGTAAAAGTGAGGAATCTGTGTCCCTCTTCAAGTCTTGTGATTTATCTTCCAATGTTGAACAAACTTGCCAGTTGGGGCTTGCTTTATTCAAGTGTCATCAATTTTCTGAAAGCTACAGGGGTAAGTGGTAATGTATTGTAAAACTACTGGGGTAAGTGGTAATGTATTGTAAAGCTACAGGGGTAAGGGGTAATGTATTGTAAAGCTACTGGGGTAAGTGGTTATGTATTGTAAAGCTACTGGGGTAAGTGGTAATGTATTGTAAAACTACTGGGGTAAGTGGTTATGTATTGTAAAGCTACAGGGGTAAGTGGTAATGTATTGTAAAACTACTGGGGTAAGTGGTAATGTATTGTAAAACTACTGTGGTAAGTGGTAATGTTTTTAGTAACATTTTTAGAATTTAAAAAAAAAAATCTTCAATAATATAATGAATAAATCCATCCAAATTTTGCATATTTTAATTTATCTACCCATATGATTGTTGCTTTTATCTCATGTACATCTATAAAATCTTTAGAATGCTGTATTAAAAAAAAAATCTTTGTTTCCATAACGACATGTCTGTTACAGTTTATAAAGATGCATTGAGTATGTCAGAGGGCACAGCATACAAGTCAGAGATTTGTACTGCACTTGGAATGTTAGCTTACATCCAGGGGGATACTGCTGATGCTAAAGCTAAACTCTTTGATGGGTAGGCTGCTCACTGGCAGTGTGGTTCTGTTACATTTCTCTATCTTACCTTTATTATAGAAGGTTATCCTGGTGACTTACTGTTTTATCCCAGTGTCTGTTTTATCTTATTTACAAACTGTTTTATCCCATTGACTGACTGTTTTATTTTATTTACTGTCTGTTTTATCTCAGTGACTGACTGTTTTATCTCAGTGACTGTTTTATTTCAGTGATTGTTTTATCACATTGACTGACTGTTTTATCACATTGACTGTCTGATCTATCTCAGTGACTGTTTTATTTCAGTGATTGTTTTATCACATTGACTGACTGTTTTATCACATTGACTGACTGTTTTATCACATTGACTGACTGTTTTATCACATTGACTGTCTGATCTATCTCAGTGACTGTTTTATTTCAGTGACTGTTTTATCACATTGACTGACTGTTTTATCACATTGACTGACTGTTTTATCACATTGACTGTCTGATCTATCTCAGTGACTGTTTTATTTCAGTGACTGTTTTATCACATTGACTGATTGTTTTATTTTATTTACTGTCTGTTTTATCTCTGTGACTGACTGTTTTATCTCAGTGACTGATTTTTCAAATCTTGTCAAACTGCAGGTTTCAAACCTCTGCGCCATCTCCCCATGTCCTACTTGCTGTCAGTGCCCTGGGTTTGCTGCAGCAAGATATGACTCTAGCTTCAGCTGGACAACAGGAACTCTTCAATAGGGAGGACCAAACAAAGTTTACAAGGGACATCACTCTCTTACAACTTTACACTTACTTATTAGAGGTAAATTCTAATTGACTGATTTAGCTCACAGAGTTCATGTTGTTCAGTGAGAATAGAGCTTGTAAGTCTCGGTCTCTCTTACTTAAACTTTGAAATCTCGTTAGTCAGGGAGAGATAAATTTTGGAACTAAATTAATTTTTGTGATCATGATTCACAATAATAACAAAAAAACATGGCAACTATTTGTTACTCAGCATACTAGGCCTCACTTCAAGATTGTAAAATATAAAGTGTACACACATTGCATAATTGTGAAAATTTACTGATAATAAAATCAAATTAAGTACTGGTAGGCCAAGACTATTTTAATAATATTGTATTAATATTGTAACGATATTTAGGACAACTTTTTACAGATTTGAATCAATTATAACAATCTTACGCTTCTTTAAAAAACCACACACAATTTTTTTTACTTAGGCTATATCTTTCTTAAAGCTAGCAACTTGTAGTCTATCATTATCATTGATTAGAATTTTAAATAACTTAACATAGTGGAAGTAACATATTACCCATTTAATAAATATATTCACATTTGATTTGAAAAATACCATCTGGCAAGTACAAAAATGATAACTTGGTGACCTACTTACAAGCCCAATTTTGACATTATGGTAGCTAAGACATTAATTGTTTGTTTCAAAATAATTTCACTTTTCTAATGATATTTTGTGTGGTCAATAGGGTCATGTGGACAAGGCCATTGAATGGCTGCAAGAATTGGAACAAGGCAAGCCAGAACTATGGCCCCTGTGGGAAGGTTTTGTCTCATATTTTGCTGAACAAAAAGATTTCTCTCATCTCATATCTGTTGTGGATCATCTATGCCAGGTTTATTATGGAGGTTCAGAGCTGACTTTGAAAGAAAATACCAAACCCATTCATGTACGTTCACCATACATATTATAGTTATCACACCTAGAGGATGCTTAATGGGCAGCTTGTTCTTGACTTATGTTTATAAATTATTTGTTAAGTCGTATGTGACAGCTTGATCTTGACTTATGTTTTTAAGTTATTTGTTAAGTCGTATGTGACAGCTTGCTCTTGACTTATGTTTATAAATTATTTGTTAAGTCGTATGTGACAGCTTGCTCTTGACTTATGTTTTTAAGTTATTTGTTAAGTCGTATGTGACAGCTTGCTCTTGACTTATATTTATAAAATATTTGTTAAGTCGTATGTGACAGCTTGACTTTTCTGATGTTTAGAGCCAAGAAACTCTCCTGGGTTTGGTGCAGCTGTTGCATGGTCACCATCACAGGCAAGTCAGAAGAAAAAATGCTTTGGTAACAGCTCAAAAGGCTTTCCATACTAATCCAGGTCAGGACTTTTTTTATTTTTTGTTATTATTTTACGTTGATTTTAAAATATAAATATAAAAAATATGTATCTAATTATGAGAGGTATATTCCCCATTTATTTTAGGCTCCAGAACTTCTTTGATGACTTTAGTCTGTGCCCTTCATGCTGAAGGTGCCATTGGTACAGCATTGACAGGCAGCAAGCAGATGTTTAGGTGGGAACAAAGTATCCTCGGGTCACTGTTAGATACAGGTCAGTTGACTGTTAGATACAGGTCAGTTGACAGATACAGGTCAGTTGACTGTTAGATACAGGTCAGTTGACTGTTAGATACAGGTCAGTTGACAGATACAGGTCAGTTGACTGTTAGATACAGGTCAGTTGACTGTTAGATACAGGTCAGTTGACTGTTAGATACAGGTCAGTTGACTGTTAGATACAGGTCAGTTGACTGTTAGATACAGGTCAGTTGACTGTTAGATACAGGTCAGTTGATTTGTTGGTTGTTTTAGGTGATCTGTCTGAGGAACTTGAAGTCTGGTGCCTTCAACTGTTGGTAGTTTGTTGTATTGAAGCAGCTGATGAGGCTCTTCTAAACTTGACTTTGTCAAGACTTGAGAAGAAACAATCACTGGTAACTATAAGCTTAACCTGATCTGTTTGCTATGTCAGTTTTTTCACTGGTAACTTCAGTCACCAGAACCTGATCTTAAAAAGTTAAATTTATAAAGTCACTGTGTTCAAATTGTGGAGTTGAGAATGAAAATATTTTCCCACCCTACAGGCTGTAGAATTTCTCAAGTCTATCAAGGCCTTTCTGTCACAAGAGGCAGATGTGAACCCTTCTGGCAAACTCCCTCTTTTGGTTGGTATTTCAGACTTGCTCACATTTCTTTACAGAATCAATGTACTGGGGTTAAAGTGTAACAAAATGTATGGTAGCTATGTGAGTCTGCTAGTCTTGAGATGCCATTTAATTAGCTGTAATGTTGATAGTATGGTGAAGTTTTTCTTGAATGTGATGGGAGTCTTCAGGTCTTGTTACTTTTATCATTCATAAGTAAGTTATTGTTAACAGTAGGCCTACATTTTAGTATTATTGTTAACTTTTATTCCTGACCAGTTCTGATTAAGAAACACTACTATGCTAGTTGTACCAATAAGTGTATTTATATCCCCCACAAACCCCAATACAAAGCTTCATTTTTTCAACAGGTGAGCTGTGCCTTGAGCTATCAAAGTCAAAACTTTGAAAATGCGACACAAATTTTAAAACACCAATCTCATGATAACAAGTAAGATAAGGCCCACGAAATATTTTAAAATTGTATAGTTTTGGTTCTTTGTTTCCTGGTTTGTTTAGAGTAACTTTTTTCCAAAATACATTTACAAATCTTCTTAAAATGTTGTTATTTAGCCTGTTAATCCTGAGGAATTTATTAGAAAGAAAAATACAAATGGCTTACCATGGTTTAAAGGTAAGTAATTTCTTTCTAATGTCCCTCAACATTTAGTTTTAAGTCAGTTTTTAATATTTTCTCTTTGGAAAGGCTTTAATTCACTTGTAAGATATGGCAAATGTAACCAAAATGTTTTTAAGTTAATTGCTTCTATTACAACTTTATTCAAACATAACATTACGTTTAAATTAGATAGAAAAAATGAATTTTGAAGAACTTTGACTTGTTTTTCTAAAATCAATTAAACAACACAATATTAAGCTAATGTTTTAAGACATTTGACCTTTTTTCTAGGATCAATTGAACAATGCAATATTAAGCCAAAGTATTGATGAAGCTATCGAGACGCTGAAAACCAATGACATAAAGTCAACAATAGCATTAGTGTTTGAGGGTTTGAGAGCTGAGGGAATCAATGACAAAAGGTAAATAGTTGAAGTCTAGGGGTTTAATGATGATCACTTGTTTGTTACAGTGTATCATTACATTTGATTCGTAGATGTGTCATCCAGTTTTTATTTTTCTACAGGAGAGCCAAACATTTGTTTGCTACAGCATTAGACCATTTAGATGTTGACAAGGAAATTGGTTATTGTAGCTCCTTCATCAGACAAAGGCTGCTGGCAAACTTGGCTGACTCAGCTCAAGACAAGAGCCTCAGGGCTGTAAGTGGTGACACACTTTGTAGGTTTTATAGTGGTGACACATTTTGTAGGTTTTGTAGTGGTGACACATTTTGTAGGTTTTATAGTGGTGACACACTTTGTAGGTTTTATAGTGGTGACACATTGTGTAGGTTTTATAGTGGTGACACATTTTGTAGGTTTTATAGTGGTGACTCATTTTGTAGGTTTTATAGTGGTGACTCATTTTGTAGGTTTTATAGTAATGACACATTTTGTAGGTTTTGTAGTGGTGACACATTTTGTAGGTTTTATAGTGGTGACTCATTTTGTAGTTTTATAGTGGTGACACATTTTGTAGTTTTATAGTGGGTACACATTTTGTAGGTTTTATAGTGGTGACACATTTTGTAGGTTTTATAGTGGTGACTCATTTTGTAGGTTTTATAGTGGTGACTCATTTTGTAGTTTTATTGTGGTGACACACTTTGTAGGTTTTATAGTGGGTACACATTTTGTAGGTTTTATAGTGGTGACACACTTTGTAGGTTTTATAGTGGTGACACATTTTGTAGGTTTTATAGTGGTGACACATTGTGTAGGTTTTATAGTGGTGACACATTTTGTAGGTTTTATAGTGGTGACTCATTTTGTAGGTTTTATAGTGGTGACTCATTTTGTAGGTTTTATAGTAATGACACATTTTGTAGGTTTTGTAGTGGTGACACATTTTGTAGGTTTTATAGTGGTGACTCATTTTGTAGTTTTATAGTGGGTACACATTTTGTAGGTTTTATAGTGGTGACACATTTTGTAGTTTTATAGTGGGTACACATTTTGTAGGTTTTATAGTGGTGACTCATTTTGTAGTTTTATTGTGGTGACACACTTTGTAGGTTTTATAGTGGGTACACATTTTGTAGGTTTTATAGTGGGTACACATTTTGTAGGTTTTATAGTGACAACACATTTCAGTAGTTTTTATATGCACATAGTGGCAACACATTTTTTAGGTATTTTAGTGGCGACTGGATGTAAGTTTTAGAAGCTTATAATAATTTTAGTACTGTATGTAAGTATTAGCTTTTATAACTGGATGTAATTTGTTCACCATTGAAAACTGCAGGCTCTTCTGGATGATGCTAGAACCAAGGGAGACACAACAACTCTAACTATGTTTGATGAGCTGGTCAGCAAATAGTTTTTGCTCTAAATGTACCATTTAAAATGTTTATTGAATAAAATATTTTAAAGTTTTGTTTGAATTTGTTTATTTTTGATAAAATTTGTAAGTGTTAACGAGAATACTATACTAACTTCTTCTTTTGTATCCCTTTCATACCCAAGACACATGGGGCATATGAAGTAGAGTTCATCTGATTCATTGACCTCGGCATATGAAGGATAGTGTGGTCAGCACTATGCCCAGCCGCCTTTGTTTTCCTAACGTAAGTTAGGTACCCATTAGAGTTGGTTGGACTCCGAGACTGTCGCCTGCTTTGAACTCGAGATTCGGATTAGCAGTCTAGCTCTGTACCGCTGAGGTCAGGAAATACATAAAAACTACAGGATTGATACAAAATTCGTAGTAGCAAACAATGCGAATATTGTTAAAGGGAAACAACCGAATAAAATAATTGCATGATAATTTACAAGGTTACTTCCCTTAGATATAAAAATTGCAAAATATTTATATATTGTTTAGTAAATTATATATCATCCAGTTGTTACTTTTTTTCAAAGGGCTTTGTCACTGTCTGCAGCAATTGTGCTTAACTGTTCTTTCATAATCTATATGTTCCTAGTATTCTGTTTCCTTCATTGTTGGTACAATCAAACCAAAACATACAACATATCTAGACTAGCAAAAATGAAACAAAACTCAAAATGTATAAGTTTTAATTTTTGTTTAAAAAATTGTATAAACACCATTGAAACAAATATAATAAAATAATAAACGATAAAAATGTCACTTAACCAAACAATAATACTGTTGAATATAGTATACATCGAAGTCATTCTTAACTTTAAGAATAGAGTGATCATTGTTTTATAAATAATATGACGGTTTAAGTACAAATTAAAATACCATGCAAAACCAGGTTTTTATGTAAAACTATATTAAGTATTTGTTCCAATAGGCTTGATTGTAAAAAAAGAATACAACTGTCAATTATGAAGAACTCTCTTAGTGCATGAATTTTTGTCAAATAAATATACCATGCAAGAAAAAATGTTAATAATTTGTTTGGTTTCTGCTAAAATAATTCCCCATTCCAATTTATTCTGTATTTATATTTATAGATTATATAACTTTTTACATAAAAATGAAAAGCAGAACGTGAAAAAATTACCAACATCGGCCAGCGATGGTCATAATGTAGCAGTTTAGATGAGTTGTACACAAGCTGACAAGCTAAATGACACTCACTGTTTCCCTTCCATAGAGCACAAGATCTAACATTTAAGACAAAACTCTTATTTGTAATTATTTATTAGCCAAGTTACCAGGCTTTCTAGATACAGAAAAGCAAATAATAAATGTGTTGTGATGTAACACCATTCATAAAGACCAAGGTGAGATAACTCACACATCAAGACCAAGGTGAGATAACTCACACATCAAGACCGAGGTGAGATAACTCACACATCAAAACCAAGGTGAGATAACTCACACATCAAGACCGAGGTGAGATAACTCATACAGTTTAGCAACCACATGGAAGAGAAAGCTTATGAGCATTTAACCTTTTTAAAGAGAAAGAAATGAGTAGACAAACCCGTAATTTAGTTGATGTATGAAATGACTAAACATGATTCAAATCATAATGACACTAAGTATATGTCATGCTAAGATTGCTTTCATAACTGTTAGCTTAAGCTCTTAGTTCAATATAAAATGTGTTTACAATACGATGTGTGGTCCTCTACCCCAATAGTTTCTCATAAAGCTAGATCTAGAGAATTCTGACTAGAAATAAATGCGACTGCACTGTACATTTAAAGAAAGCTAAAATATGCTTTTTCTCCTTGCACACAGGTGGGAAGGTGACTCAAGCAAAGGGGAATTAAGTGCATTTAAAAAATTAGTAGTTACGTAATAATTTGCAAATACATGTGTGTTCTAAAAAAGGATAATGTGATACACAATTAGCATGCACATTACAACAATAATTTGGAACAAAATTTTAGATCTCAATCTTTAAAAAATTACATACTTATTGAAGTCTAACAAGATTGATAAGTAAAAATAATGTAAAATGTAAAAATAATTCATTTATCACAGAATACTACATTGGGGTGGACAATGGATGGAGGTTTATCTGTTGAAAACTTTTTTTTAACTGAACCAATATTCATTTCAACTGAAGTTATAAGAAATTTTAATTCTTGAAAAGAAAGAAATAAAACTTCAATTATTAAAGGCTGAGCAACCTAAAATTTTCCCCATACATTTAATTATTTTTAGCCCCCCCCCCCCCCCAATATATTTAACATTGTGTTAATGAAAAAGAGTACAAAGTTTACTTAGGCATATATGAATAACACCATATTAAAAAAAAAATTATCAGGCATTCAATGCCTGCTAAACAAATCATATAACTATAGAACTAAAGTTGTCCATTGTATTTCAAATGTTAACCAGATTAAAAAGACAATTTCATGAAAGTTTAAAATGTTGTTTTTTTAAAATTAGTAAAACAAAATCTTATCCTTCATAGTTTTCATCGCAGGGAAAAGTAAATAAATATATCTAATTTCAGAAGTTTGATTAAAAATAGATTGTGTTAAAAAGTTATTGAGTAAATAATTGTATTGCATTAAAGCAAAACTAATTTTTAAATACAATTATAGTAAAATATTATATTTTAATTACAACAACATAATATTTATTTTTTTAAAAGGTTAATATATCTATAGCAAACCAGATCCACTGATTTAAAAAAATATTAGTGGATGAATAAATAATAAAAAATATATATGTGGTACATTTACAAAAGGCCTTCAAAATTGTCTTAACAGAGGAGTTAACAAACATTCTGGATTATTGTGCTAAACCAGTGTTTGCTATATCTCTATGATGAAGACTTGTCTAGTTTTACAAATGTGAATTACAGAAACACAAATCTGAATTACAGAAACACAAATGTGAATTACAGAAACACAGCAGTCGATGGTACAAAATTATTGATATAAGTACACAATAGTTGATGAAGGTACAAATAAAGATCACATAAGTTACAAGGAAATCAAGGAATCTAAAACATTTTCAATTATAGCAGGATGTGAAATTCTTTCATGGTCAATTCATACCATTTGATGAAAGTTTTTAAAAAACTAACCTGTATGCTAAAACACATACATTGCTGACAACAATCTAGAAAGTAATTAACAGTAACTGTCACATTGCTGTCAAGTTTTAGGAAAGGGACAGAAACTTTTTTCTGTTCAATTTTCACAAAGCTATGGTTTTTTTTTAATATTTTGTCTAACAGCTCAAAAGAATAAAATAAATTCAGTATGGATAAATGAATTCTTTGGTAAAAATGTAAGAGCTCTTTAAGAATACTAATTTTATTTAGTTTTAGTTAATTTATCTAGTAGTACAGACACAAATCTACAGCAGCAGCCATTTCAATAAACTAATTGAACATCATTTAAGTACCCCAGAACTGTGACACTAAAGAAATTAAAACGTTTGTTACATATGTATTTAAAAAAAAAACAACACTTTTATAAAAATCAGGCGCCAATAAAAAGTTGAATTTTATGAAGATTCAAACATTATGTGCAAGTTACAGAGATGATCTAGATGTTAATAAATGACAACATACCGTGGGCAATGAAGCACCTGGGTTTTCATACAGGACAACTGACAACATCAATGTTACAAATTTCTATAAATAAAAATGTTAAATAACAATGTCTTAAAAATTATAATATCACCTTATCCAGGATTAAGCTTGTTAATAATTGACAAACTGTCTTTGATTATGATACAACAATAAAACATATTAAACTATTAAACGTAAAATGAAAAGAATCATAAGACACAAAGCATTTCTTTGAGAAAAGGTAACTAAGCTGGACTTCAAGTACACTATCAACAAACTTTTCCCCAGATGTGGAAACCTTTTAAACCATGGCAAATTTGATCTTATTTATATTACCCTATAAATTGCTAAAAAATTTCTTGCTTCACTTATGTTTATTTTAAAAATGCAGATGGGCAACTTAAGTATGTTTATAGGGATAATTTTTTTTAATCACAATTGTATACAGATATACAGTTTTTTTTCAATATGTAACTTAAAATAAAACAAAAAAATCACATTCTATTTTTTACTTGTTTTTTTTATGTATAAAATTAATTCAGCATAGACATTGAACATGATCAATGTACCAGTCCACACCCCAGTGTGAGGACACAATCACAATCATCCACACCCAAGTGTGAGGACACAATCATCCACACCCCAGTGTGAGGACACAATCACATGAGTCCACACCCCAGTGTGAGGACACAATCACAATCATCCACACCCCAGTGTGAGGACACAATCACAATCATCCACACCCCAGTGTGAGGACACAATCATCCACACCCAAGTGTGAGGACACAATCATCCACACCCCAGTGTGAGGACACAATCATCCACACCCCAGTGTGAGGACACAATCATATGAGTCCACACCCCAGTGTGAGGACACAATCACAATCATCCACACCCAGTGTGAGGACACAATCATCCACACCCCAGTGTGAGGACACAATCATCCACACCCCAGTGTGAGGACACAATCACAATCATCCACACCCCAGTGTGAGGACACAATCATCCACACCCCAGTGTGAGGACACAATCATCCACACCCCAGTGTGAGGACACAATCATGCACACCCCAGTGTGAGGACACAATCACAATCATCCACACCCAAGTGTGAGGACACAATCATCCACACCCCAGTGTGAGGACACAATCATCCACACCCCAGTGTGAGGACACAATCATCCACACCCCAGTGTGAGGACACAATCACAATCATCCACACCCAAGTGTGAGGACACAATCATCCACACCCCAGTGTGAGGACACAATCATCCACACCCCAGTGTGAGGACACAATCATCCACACCCCAGTGTGAGGACACAATCATCCACACCCCAGTGTGAGGACACAATCATCCACACCCCAGTGTGAGGACACAATCATCCACACCCCAGTGTGAGGACACAATCATCCACACCCCAGTGTGAGGACACAATCATCCACACCCCAGTGTGAGGACACAATCATCCACACCCCAGTGTGAGGACACAATCACAATCATCCACACCCCAGTGTGAGGACACAATCATCCACACCCAAGTGTGAGGACACAATCATCCACACCCCAGTGTGAGGACACAATCATCCACACCCCAGTGTGAGGACACAATCATATGAGTCCACACCCCAGTGTGAGGACACAATCACAATCATCCACACCCCAGTGTGAGGACACAATCATCCACACCCCAGTGTGAGGACACAATCATCCACACCCCAGTGTGAGGACACAATCACAATCATCCACACCCCAGTGTGAGGACACAATCATCCACACCCCAGTGTGAGGACACAATCATCCACACCCCAGTGTGAGGACACAATCATGCACACCCCAGTGTGAGGACACAATCACAATCATCCACACCCAAGTGTGAGGACACAATCATCCACACCCCAGTGTGAGGACACAATCATCCACACCCCAGTGTGAGGACACAATCATCCACACCCCAGTGTGAGGACACAATCATCCACACCCCAGTGTGAGGACACAATCACAATCATCCACACCCAAGTGTGAGGACACAATCATCCACACCCCAGTGTGAGGACACAATCACAATCATCCACACCCCAGTGTGAGGACACAATCATCCACACCCCAGTGTGAGGACACAATCACAATCATCCACACCCCAGTGTGAGGACACAATCATCCACACCCCAGTGTGAGGACACAATCATCCACACCCCAGTGTGAGGACACAATCATCCACACCCCAGTGTGAGGACACAATCATCCACACCCCAGTGTGAGGACACAATCATCCACACCCCAGTGTGAGGACACAATCATCCACACCCCAGTGTGAGGACACAATCACATGAGTCCACACCTCCGTGTGAGGACACAAACAAATGACTGTCATAGCTAATAAAATTATCACAATGCAAACAACTCATAAATGTTTGAATTAAAAGTTTGGCTACACCACATTTGAGGTACTGACCACATTTATTTGTAAGTTGAGTAAAACACGTGTACATCAAAAAACTTTTTTTTATTAAAGTCTTAACACAGGATATGTAGCATTTTAGCTGTATGAGCTTATAAAAAAAATAAGACCATACTTTGTAAGAACCACTTCTTCCATAAATTATTTCAATAAATAATCCATACGATTTTTGTATTATACATATTCACACTATTGCACAGAAGAAAGCATTTGAAACCTTTTTTTTTCCAGATTTTAGTTTGAATACTCTTTAGTCTTATAAAGCACTGTTACACATTTAATACATATTAACTCTTATATCATAGTAAATGTGTTCTTTTATGCTTTGATTTAGGATTTTGATAGGTTCCATTAGTGTATTCTTTTTTTTTTTAACTTTGTAGAGCACCACCCTGTTTTTGAATGAGTTATGCCCTAAAATGCTAAAAAAATGGCTCTTAAGTGAGGCAGGGATAAAAGAAATGAAAAAAATTGCTGCTCATTAAAAAAGAAAAACTCAAGAGATTCAACAGTGAAATTTGATGCCACATTGGAATTCTTCAATTGGATCTAATAATACTGATTAGAGCTGGGTTCAGACTCACTTGCACTCTTTACACTTGGTTGAAGATGTCTCCTAAGTGATGGGATGGGAATAGAGCTGAAGGCTGTTGTAGACATACAGCTACTCTGGTCAAGAATCTTCATCACTGCAGGTTGATAGAGTCAGTTGTGTGACATCACTCTGTAAGAAAAATTGTCAGCAGTTTGATTGACATTACTCTACAAGGAACTATAGCTGAAACAGCCCCACTCATTAAAAAATACAGGATCACCACATTAAATAAGGCAATAGAGAGGTTGCACACACGTGACCAAAGCCATGTGATGTTTACATCCCCCCCCTATGTTGATGCCCTCGCCTAGCACTGGTCTTTGCTATGTATTTTATAGTGCTAGTCCTAAGTTTATTTTAAAAACCTGCCACCCGCAGAACAGCAACAATATTTGAAGAAACTTAAATTATTCAGGAACCTTTATTGTTTTGTGACCAGCTGATAGACAATATGAATATAATAAATAACTGACCAAAAGGTAAACATCTACTATCCGATCTTTCAATTTTCTAACAAGTTGGATAAGTCATGGCGCTGGACCATCTCATTTGGATGAGGATATTGATTAGTATGATAATGATGAAGAGTCTGATGTAGACTATGAATTAATTAATAATAAAGAAAGTGGCAATGTGTATTTTTAGCGATGAAGATAATGCTAGTTCTAGTAGTGACTAGACCAAGAACGATTGAACAATTCAATGAAGATAGTGATCGAGACTGGTCAACGATTTTGACTGAGGTACAGCTTTGTGATTTTGTTGAACAAATAGCACCATGCACTACAATAAATGTTGATACTTTCCAAAGATAATATTTTATGTGGAGCAATCAGTACTTAATACAATGCACTTTATTTCTTGTATTTAGGGTGCAAGATAGAGTTGCTATTAATTTTTTCCTGAAACAACCAGTGTTAAGTGCGGAGTCATTTCCCTTTGGCTGGGATTTCAGAGTATAACATTTTGGAGAGTGTTTTGAGTGGATTTTGTAAACTTTTAATAATCGAAACATTTAACTTTGAAAAAAAAATTGCTCATAAAATTTTTTTAAAAAATCGAGTATTGTCTCCCTTGGTGAAATGTTGGAAAATGTTTTGTGCTGGGATTTAGTAGCGTTTTTTTAGGAGATGATAAACATGAAATAAAGTCTTTCCATTCTCTAAATATCAGATAAATGAGATAAAATGATAATTTCTAAACCTCATGATATGCTGGTGGTGGTCTGTAGTTGTAAACATAACGATACATTGGTGTGTAGGTCAGATCTCCCATGTTGGAGCCTGGAGGTTCATTGTCATCCTCTTCATCATCAATATTTACAGCACCGCCTATACTTTCTGCATAAGTTGGTGGGTCTGTGAGACAGAGATTTGACCTTGTAACAAACAACTATGTGAACAAATGTTAGCAATATACACATAATGACATCAGTAGACAATTTTTATCTCTAAGATAATATACACATGACTAGTCTTGTAGAAAATAGTACACACGATTGTATAAGATAATGTACAGCTCATAAGAATGTAAATAAAGTTACAACTAAACACTGTAGTTTTTTGGAGTCCATGCTAATTTTTAAAATGACTGACCATAATTTAGAAAAATAGTGTCATTCATATCTAAACATTGGATTTAAAAAAATGTATAAGTAGATAAAAAAAACCAACAAGAAACAAAAGAGCACCCACCATCAAATGGTGGAGGGGGGGTTATCATTTCTCTGTAAGGTGGTGGTACAGGCAGAAGACTCATGGAAGCAAATTGGGCTTGTGTTTCTCTATAGTATCGTGAGTCTGTATATCTATAGCTTGGAGCTTGTCTGAAAGGCACAGTGCCAATCACCACAGGCAAATGCATGGTTAAATTATAGGCACCATTTATATGAAGAGCAACCTAAAATTAAATGCAAATGTAAAAGGTAAACTTCATGAATAGTGAGATGTGTAATGCAGTTAAAGTTACAGGTAACAAATGTTAAATCAATCAAAAATAGAAAACAAAAGAATTGAGCCATGAAAATGTTTTGTTTTGAATCAACTGATCAATTAGAAAAACTATTCACCTTGACATAATAGTCTACTTTCATGACACAACAATTGATGATGGAGGGGGTGACAGCAGGTATCTTTAACAGCTGAGAGTCCCATGAGCCTCTAGTGCCTGGGGCAACAGGAAGACCTGTTAGAACAGTAAACTTAGTTCGTCTGATCCGTGATTTCCCGCTGGCAAAAAATGTTTGAGATTGATAGAGAGTGGCATATGGTATAACTGTACGAGATGAGTGATTGTCAAATTCTGCAGATATAGCTATGGATTCACCTGGAAAAAAAAGAAAAAATTAAAGAAAACTATAAGTACTTAAAAACATAAAAAAATCGAGTTAAAATAAAAGTAAACTAGCCTGGACAGTATCCTCGTCTGTCTGTTCTGGAGGTGATAGAGATTGGACCTGATGTGCAAAGCCAACAGCAAAGAGTTTTTTCTACACTACTTTCTACTTGAACCTAAAATAAAAAACAAAAGATTAGTAAATTCAAAGTGATCTAGAAGAATAAGTTCTAAACCAATCTTTATATATGTAGTGCAAAATACAAAAAGCTTTAAATCTTAAAATATTAAATTACTTATAAAAGAAGTAAATAAAATTCTGATTTGTTAAAAAATAAAAAAAGTAATCCTGATTTGTAATTGATTTTAAACAAAACAAACCTGATATTCTGGACGATTAATATCTATAGGACTTATAACAGTGAAGGCTTTTTTGGTTTTATGATTGAAAGACCAAGGTTTATCCATCTCTGCTTTCAACCAGTATCGTATGCTGCCATGTTTTCCCTCAAAGCTTGTAGAAATACCACTATAAACATTCATTTTTGAAAACTAATTAGGCTCATTTAAAAAATAGATATGTTTCTATGTAATAAATACAAAAATGTCAATGTTTGACTATATTATGTGAAGATTCAAGTTTGCTGTAACACTTACCCCATTGGTAAATCAAAAGCAAATGTCAGTTCATGATGTCCATCTGTTAAAGTATCCCGTCCATCTGCCACTTCTGAAAAAAAAAAAACTAACACTTTCTAAAGAATGTAAGATTTCTACTGATAATCATTTCTATAACTAAAAAGAATAAGACTATAATTTTACTATGATAACGAGATTCTACAAGTAACCCTTTAAAACATGGTGATCCAAGGGACAGATGAGGTAGAGTGACATCTGATGAGATGTGGTAGCATTATACCCTAGATGCTGCATCAAGCTCATTATTTTTACTGGCAGGTATTTGCCTAATTTTAGTATTTATGGTTAATGTTTACTTACCAATTTATTTAACTTTCAAAACATTTATTTTAATCTTTAACACTAATAGGGCTATATTTTGTAACTTATAAAACTAGGTTGATATTAATGATAGTGTTGTCTTTTTCTCTAAACAGAAACCTAAACCAAATCACCACATCAACTTCAAATTTAACCAGTCATTAAAAACGGATTTTTATCAAAGAGATGCCTGAAAGAAACTCTGCAAAAGAAACTCTAAGATTTGACAAACAAATAAGGTGGTAATGTTAGTGTATTTATCATCGTTTTGATGAGGTCATTATTAATGTGCATTTTTTTTGGCAATGGCATTTCAATTCTGTGTTAACCCTAGCATCAATGACATAATTTTAATGTGTGCTTTTCCGGCTTTAGAATTGTACATATATTACAATGAAATCATACATATTGCGTTTAGTTTTGATAGCTTCCCATATGTTACATGTGACATCACGGTCTTTTACTATGCATATTTTTTTAATTTCCTTGGGTTTCTCTAAAGCGTTACCGACAGACTATAAATAGAGTAACTATTATTAATAATAGGCTAATGTTAAAGATAGGCAAACTTTTTTTTCTAACATTAGGGCTTAGGGTTAGAACGTTAGGCCATTAGTTAAAATTAGTAAGGCGTACTAAAAATATTGGCCGATGCTAGCCGGAAAAAGATACGCATGCGCAATGGAGAGAAACTACAACTTGCCATCGCGGCGATGTTTTGGAAGGTACTGCGCATGCGTGTGTTAACAACCGCAGAACCCTAGCCCTAACCCCAGCCCTAATCATATCCCTAACCCTAATCCTATCCCTAACCCAAATCCTAACCCTAGCCATAGGTCACTGCGCATGCGCAGAACTATCTTTTGCGCCTAAACATTGGGGAAAAAAATCTTTTTCCCAGTTTTAGTCACTTCGATAAATATTAAATATTACTTGCCTCCTCCAAACAATACTTGTCTTTTGAAGAAATATTCGACCTCTGCATTATAGTGTTCAGTGTAAGATCCAAGACGACTCCCTGTACTTCTTGATTCAGTCCAATGTACTTTAGCAACACCTTTCATAAAAATTCGAAGTGAACGCATTTTCATATCGCCCTTCAGCTCAACTATGACGCTGCCTTGGACTCGCTCCCCGGGATGGTAAACTGATTTACTGCCAGCTAAAATTATCTCAAAACATTTCAGTTTACCCATTGCTGCTTTGTATAGTATTTTCTTTACTGATAATTGAGTCACATTTTTCGAAATAAGACGAAAAGCTGTTGCAGAAACTTAAACTCAACAAAGGCTAATGTTATGATTTTCCTCCATCTTCCTGTTGCGCGATGACCCGGAAACGAACTTCAAACAAAATGTTATGGCGCCGTACGGTTCCCGTGTATGTAGTCTAGTAGTAGCAGTAGTAGGCCTACACAAAACGCTTTGCTCTACGAACAGTTTTCTCCTAAAATAAGTCACATAGTGCACAGAAAAATACACAGACGAAGATCTCTCCGCAGACCAAACCATGCTTCGTCCGGGGCGTACGTTCAATATATATATATATATATATATATATATATATATATATATATATATATATATATATATATATATATATATATAGTGGCGTAGCGAGGTCGGGTGTCACCCGGTGCGGCACTTAATGGTGTCACCCCCCAGAGGCGTAGCGACCCTTCCAGGGTACAAACTTTCAAATTTTCGATTTGCACTCCCCCCCCCCCCTCAAACTTTCGATTTGCACCCCCCCCCCTCAAGTTTTCGATTTGCACCCCCCCCCCCTCAAACTTTCGATTTGCACCCCCCCCCCTCAACTTTTTCTCCATATATTTTGCTATTTTTTGCCGCCTTGGTGTCACCCCCCCTAAATGGTGTCACCCGGTGCGGTCCGCACCCCCCGCCCCCCCCTCGCTACGCCCCTGTATATATATATGTGTGTGTGTGTGTGTGTGATGGTTTTAGATCGTTCCGTAAAACTTGACGCAAGATGCGTTAATGTTATCCTTTTAAAAAAGAAAAATAATAAAATAATGTCAGAAATAAATATGCTTAATTTAGGCTTGTGTTGTGTGTTCTATCTTTGGAACAGTCTCTGTTATAATATGTTACATAGTAACATTATACGTTTGTTAGAATTAAGGTCATACACAATAGCAAATCGGCAGAATCTCTTCGAAACGAATCTCTCCCGAACGAAATGGAATTTATATAGAAAATATTTACTTTTCGAGTGCCCCCCCCCCCGGAGAAAAAAGTCTGGAAGAAACACTGATTAGAATGCGACATGGTTATTTAGCTAGAGAAAACAAACTGGAAACCAACGGACACAACAGCTCGAAGTCTTGGATTTCACAGATTAGATGTGCGCTGCCTTCTCACACATAGTCAACAACAAATGCAGAACAAATTGCCTGGTTGAAGAAGCAGTAATAACCGGTCTAATGATAGTGGAATCGCCCGTGACGTTCAGATTACAATCAGCAGCGATGAAATTCTTTGAACTTTCTAAACCAATGTGGAATTCAAATGCATTATAAAAAAATTCAATCAGGATCTACAGCTAAATGTGAGGTCTCCCAATACTGTATGGCTCGGGGGTAGATAGTAACAGACTGTGGAGAACGAAACAAGAGCAACGAAAAAGTTTGTGAATAGGACACAATATCAGGAAGACAGTAAGTAAACATCATAAGCAATGCTGTTAAGTTCACGCTCAAAGAAAATAGACCAAAAAACTCATGAAGGAAATCGTTTAAAATATAAATGGGGGAGGCTGGATTATCAGGGATCGATCTTCATAAAAATCAAGTCAGTTGACGAAATGTTGCTTACGCCTATTCTCCTTAGGAACCCAAAAGGAATAAAAAACAAGAATATCAGAAGTGTTGAGGGCAACTCGGGATATAAACATGATTTTATATCCATTTTTAATTACTTAAAACCATTTTAAAATAGAATTAAATCTCGTAGAGAAAAAAGAATTTCGCACAAAGTGAACGGCAAACAATATGTGCATAATAATGCGGAATATTATTAGTAGCCCACTTTATAAATTCACATGCGTTTTTGGAGAAATCGAAAATAGCGTAAATTATTACTTCCGGTCAACGGAAATTACTCAAAATTCAAAAGAAGATCTCGTACTTACATGTGAAATTTCATTTATCTATCTGAAATAATACTCAAGTTATAGGCTTTTGAAAAACTAAAAGTAGAATAAGTTCCACTTCCGGTTACAGGAAATCGCTGAAAAGTTGATACAACTACAAATTTGACATAATACTTATGTATGAAATTTCATCAACCTAGATATAACGGTACTCAAGTTATCGTGTTCACAGACATACATACAAACACACACACAGACATACGGACACAATTGCAAAACTATTTTTCCGACTCAGGGAGGTGTAAAACTTCGAAATCTGTGAAAAAAGTTTAAGTATTTAAAATGGATTAAAAATCATGTCTATATCCCGAGTTGCCAGCCCCTGTTGTTTTATATAAGAATATTCGAGAAAGTTTAGGGGAGATCACTCCCGGTTTACTGTTACACAATCGTACAATACAATTTAATTCAATTGGTTTCTGTTCTAAGTGTTAAAACTGCTATCTACTCACAAATCCAGTGTCAATTCTTCCGATTTTAGTCGGCGATAAAGCACCCCTCCCCCAATCTTGGAAAATGTTGGAAATCCGTTTTTTGTCGGTCTTTGTTTCTTAATGTTATTTATTTGCAGTTAAATCAGTGTGTAAAAGGCTAGTAGCCGTTTAATTTCTTAACTTTGGCTGTTTATAATTCAAAACAGCAGCTTAAAATGAAGTTTTGCATTTTTCCCTACCCCTTCTAGCGCCCCCTCAGGTCGGCAAGCCCCGGAGCATCACACCCCCCTCAAGAGCGAACACTCCACCCCAATAACGCTAGTAGCAGTTGCAGAGTTTCTTCCAGACATCTCTTCGGCTCCCCCCCCCCGAAGAAAGTCTACCGCTCCCCCCCCCCCCCGAACGAGATGGAATTTATATAGCAAACATATACTTTTACTAGGGTCCGCCCCCAACCGAAAAATGTTGACCCCCCCCCCCCCGAAAATATCAAGTCTCCCCCCCCCCCCCGAGAAAAAAAGTCTGGAAGAAACACTAAGCAAGCAGTTGCCGTGCAACCATTATTCCCCTGAATGTTTGAAGGAATGTGGCTATTATTATGGAAATACAGCCCCATTAACATACATGTAACATACATTTACTACTACATTTACTACTACATTTACTATATACTACATGGACCACCACATTTAACATACATTGACTACTATACGTAACATAGATTGACTACTATAGTTAACATTCATTGGCTTCTACATGTAACATACTGCATGCCTATCGAGTAAAAGGTAGATAACCCATATCTCAACGCAAAGTCGTTGTCAGCTTAAACCAAGGATTGTAATTAAACTCGTCACTAATCCATGTATCATGACAACTGATTGTTCAGCAATAGGTTATGTGGGTGGGGGAAGGGGGAGCAGTCATTTTTTATGAGAACTTTTTTTAGCTACCAAGCTTTGTCAGATATTTTGCAATTTACCTCCTACTAAAAGAGCTTAACACCATCCCGTTTTTATGAGATTTTACTTAGTTTATAGTTTATAATGTCTCCGTCCTTCTATTCGTATGTTTGTGACAAATCTTGCAACCATTTTTATCCACATCTAGTGCAGCTAGTTCGTTTTAACTTCCATGGTGAACGGAACTTATAACTTGAGTACCGAAATATAACATTACCTATGTGCTCAGTTCTATCAACTTTCGAACGATTTCCAGTAATGTTCCAGTTAGACCAAGTTTCCTACATAAATAAAAGATCTTATTCTCTTGATTCTGTCAAACTTTTAGTGATTTCCGGTGACAGGAAGTAGTGCTATTTCCGACATCTAAAAAAGGATCACCTCTGACGGACCGATTTCTTTCAAAATTGTTACCTAGGTCAAGACTCAATGGCAATGCACAGTGACATAAACGTAACTGTTTCCTTTATGAAGTAGGTAGGTGGGGCTAAAAGTCTCAATTTTGTCGATTGATTAATTAGACTCATTTAGAGTTAATAAAAATTAATAAGACTGTTAAGGTGCAACACACACACATTTAAACAACTGCAAATTTAATATTAAATATGAAATATCTATCACTGAAACGGTGCTCATGTTTGTTTACACCCCCCCACCCAAACACATAAAAAGCAAGAGAGGGGATGAGGTGGGGGGCGGAGACGGACATGATTGCAAAAGTAACTTTTTCCGGCTCCGAAAGCTTGTTAGGTTAGGTAAGTTTTACCTGTCGCCCTTCCTGGGACATAGGCCGCTGACAAGAGCTTTCCAGGCGCCTCTGTCCTGGGCTAGTCTCTCCAACTGTCCCCATGTGTATCCAATCTTCTTGGTGTCTTCTTCCAGGTCACGTCTCCAGGTCTTTCTTGGTCTGCCTCTTCTCCACCTGCCCTGTGGATTCCAGGAGGGGGCCTGTCTTTTTATGCTGGATACAGGTTTTCTGAGTGTCCGGAAGGTTGTAAAACTTCAAAATTTGTCAAAAACTCGATGTAATTTTTTCGCAAGATAACAGTACATCCTTTATTTTTCGTAAGCGATAATGGAAGGAGGTCTAAAATTGCAAAAACTGTCAAAATATCTGTTAATTTTTCAGCACGATATCAATACTTCCTCCATACTGTCTGTACACAAGAAACTTTATCCCAATAGCACTGAAAGTACCATGCCTTCAAGTGTTATTTTTTTAGATGTCAGTGTATTTAAAAATGTATCATTATAGCAGCTTTTTATATTTATTGTGTAAGAAAAGTTTTAGTGACGGACACTGACACAGTCTCATCGGTGCGGTTACGAAAGGTATCACCCCCACCCCTCAAACAATTTTCGGTTTGGTATCACCCACATCTTATTATCTTATTATTTTAAGTGGAAAAAAATTTGTTTTAGATTGTAAATTTTTTTGAATAGTTTGATTTACCTGAAAGTGATAGTTTTAAAGGTCACTGTCATTGATATATTAAGGTGGTGTCAGTGATATCTTAAGGTGGTGTCAGTGATATCTTAAGATGGTGTGAGTGATATCTTAAGGTGGTGTCAGTGATATCTTAAGGTGGTGTCAGTGATATCTTAAGGTGGTGTCCGTGATATCTTAAGGTGGTGTCATTGATATATTAAGGTGGTGTCAGTGATATCTTAAGGTGGCGTGAGTGATATCTTAAGGTGGTGTGAGTGATATCTTAAGGTGGTGTCAGTGATATCTTAAGGTGGTGTCAGTGATATCTTAAGGTGGTGTCAGTGATATCTTAAGGTGGTGTCAGTGATATCTTAAGGTGGTGTCAGTGATATCTTAAGGTGGTGTCAGTGATATCTTAAGGTGGTGTCAGTGATATCTTAAGGTGGTGTCAGTGATATCTTAAGGTGGTGTCAGTGATATCTTAAGGTGGTGTCAGTGATATCTTAAGGTGGTGTCAGTGATATCTTAAGGTGGTGTCAGTGATATCTTAAGGTGGTGTCAGTGATATCTTAAGGTGGTGTCTGTGATATCTTAAGGTGGTGTCAGTGATATCTTAAGGTGGTGTGAGTGATATCTTAAGGTGGTGTCAGTGATATCTTAAGGTGGTGTCAGTGATATCTTAAGGTGGTGTCAGTGATATCTTAAGGTGGTGTCAGTGATATCTTAAGGTGGTGTCAGTGATATCTAAAGGTGGTGTCCGTGATATCTTAAGTTGGTGTCCGTGATATCTAAAGGTGGTGTCCGTGATATCTTAAGTTGGTGTCCGTGATATCTTAAGGTGGTGTCAGTGATATCTTAAGGTGGTGTCAGTGATATCTTAAGGTGGTGTCAGTGATATCTAAAGGTGGTGTCCGTGATATCTTAAGTTGGTGTCCGTGATATCTTAAGGTGGTGTCAGTGATATCTTAAGGTGGTGTCCGTGATATCTTAAGGTGGTGTCAGTGATATCTTAAGGTGGTGTCAGTGATATCTTAAGGTGGTGTCAGTGATATCTAAAGGTGGTGTCCGTGATATCTTAAGTTGGTGTCCGTGATATCTTAAGGTGGTGTCAGTGATATCTTAAGGTGGTGTCAGTGATATCTTAAGGTGGTGTCAGTGATATCTTAAGGTGGTGTCAGTGATATCTTAAGGTGGTGTCAGTGATATCTTAAGGTGGTGTCAGTGATATCTTAAGGTGGTGTCTGTGATATCTTAAGGTGGTGTCAGTGATATCTTAAGGTGGTGTCAGTGATATCTTAAGGTGGTGTCAGTGATATCTTAAGGTGGTGTCAGTGATATCTTAAGGTGGTGTCAGTGATATCTTAAGGTGGTGTCACTGATATCTTAAGGTGGTGTCAGTGATATCTTAAGGTGGTGTCAGTGATATCTTAAGGTGGTGTCAGTGATATCTTAAGGTGGTGTCAGTGATATCTTAAGGTGGTGTCAGTGATATCTTAAGGTGGTGTCAGTGATATCTTAAGGTGGTGTCAGTGATATCTTAAGGTGGTGTGAGTGATATCTTAAGGTGGTGTCAGTGATATCTTAAGGTGGTGTCAGTGATATCTTAAGGTGGTGTCAGTGATATCTTAAGGTGGTGTCAGTGATATCTTAAGGTGGTGTCAGTGATATCTTAAGGTGGTGTCAGTGATATCTTAAGGTGGTGTCAGTGATATCTTAAGGTGGTGTCAGTGATATCTTAAGGTGGTGTCAGTGATATCTTAAGGTGGTGTCAGTGATATCTTAAGGTGGTGTCAGTGATATCTTAAGGTGGTGTCAGTGATATCTTAAGGTGGTGTCAGTGATATCTTAAGGTGGTGTCAGTGATATCTTAAGGTGGTGTCAATGATATCTTAAGATGGTGTGAGTGATATCTTAAGGTGGTGTGGGTGATATCTTAAGGTGGTGTCAGTGATATCTTAAGGTGGTGTCAGTGATATCTTAAGGTGGTGTCAGTGATATCTTAAGGTGGTGTCAGTGATATCTTAAGGTGGTGTCAGTGATATCTTAAGGTGGTGTCAGTGATATCTTAAGGTGGTGTCAGTGATATCTTAAGGTGGTGTCACTGATATCTTAAGGTGGTGTCTGTGATATCTTAAGGTGGTGTCAGTGATATCTTAAGGTGGTGTCACTGATATCTTAAGGTGGTGTCACTGATATCTTAAGGTGGTGTCAGTGATATCTTAAGGTGGTGTGAGTGATATCTTAAGGTGGTGTGAGTGATATCTTAAGGTGGTGTGAGTGATATCTTAAGGTGGTGTCAGTGATATCTTAAGGTGGTGTCAGTGATATCTTAAGGTGGTGTCAGTGATATCTTAAGGTGGTGTCATTGATATCTTAAGGTGGTGTGAGTGATATCTTAAGGTGGTGTGAGTGATATCTTAAGGTGGTGTCAGTGATATCTTAAGGTGGTGTCTGTGATATCTTAAGGTGGTGTCAGTGATATCTTAAGGTGGTGTCAGTGATATCTTAAGGTGGTGTCAGTGATATCTTAAGGTGGTGTCAGTGATATCTTAAGGTGGTGTCAGTGATATCTTAAGGTGGTGTCAGTGATATCTTAAGGTGGTGTCAGTGATATCTTAAGGTGGTGTCAGTGATATCTTAAGGTTGCTTTTCGGTGATAGTCCTGAAGGTCACGTGTCAGTGATGTCTAAAAGTAGTGTGTCAGTGACAGACAAGGCTCATGTTTTATTCCGGCCCCTGAATTGGAGACGCCCTCAGGCCCGCGGTAAAGCGTTTGCCGACCTGAGGTTGAGGCCCGCGGTAAAGCGTTTGCCGACCTGAGGTCGAACCGCCGGTCTGACGATTAGATTTTCTCTGCGCAACTCGTCTGCACAGGTTGGCGCTGATTAGCCAGTTCGATATCGATAAAGTAAGCCTGCTCGGGATTAGCGCTTATACCGACTACGTAGAGACGGCAATAGCGTGCAGACTATTTAGGTAATCAAATCAGGCTACATTGGTCCAGGAATTCCCCAACAATGGCTCGTGTTTGGGATAATGATATTGAACAACGCGCCTCGCCTCGCCCCTCTCATGTAGCAACCTTCGACTAAATATGTCGGCATTAATAGAAGAGATTTCGGCTGCGAGAAATAATAGTGTAAGTTAATTTGAATAGAGAACAACATATATGGCAGATTGGCAGTAGAAGACTTGGATAGAGAACAAAATAGTTGGCAGAACTACATTAGAAGACTTGGATAGAGAACAACAGAAATGGCAGAGCTTCAAGTAGGATAAAACAATAACGGATTTTCTATAGGAAAACCTAAACAAATAGAGGGATAAGTACCGCAGAATGTATAAACATAGAAGAGTAAGTTTTCAAACGATTTATTTATTTTAAAAATTTCATAATATAGGCATATCTTACTTTTGTATTTTAACTATTTAAATCTTATTATATTGTTAAAGTTTAATATCAATGTTTTTTTAAAAGCCAGTTTTAGTGTACTCGTCAGCTTAAGTAGAACCACTGACTAAAGTTTAAGTGGGGCCACTGACTAAAGTTTAACTGGGGCCACTGACTCAAGATTAACTGGGCCACTGACTAAAGTTTAAGTGGGGCCACTGACTAAAGTTTAAGTGGGGCCACTGACTAAAGTTTAAGTGGGGCCACTAACTAAAGTTTAAGTGGGGCCACTAACTAAAGTTTAAGTGGGGCCACTAACTAAAGTTTAAGTAGAACCACTAACTAAAGTTTAAGTGGGGCCACTAACTAAAGTTTAAGTAGAACCACTAACTAAAGTTTAAGTGGGGCCACTGACTAAAGTTTAAGTAGAACCACTAACTAAAGTTTAAGTGGGGCCACTAACTAAAGTTTAAGTGGGGCCACTAACTAAAGTTTAAGTGGGGCCACTGACTAAAGCTTAAGTGGGTCCACTGACTAAAGTTTAAGTGGGGCCACTAACTAAAGTTTAAGTGGGGCCACTAACTAAAGTTTAAATGGGGACACTGACTAAAGTTTAAGTGGGGCCACTAACTAAAGTTTAAGCGGGGCCACTGACTAAAGTTGAACTGGGGTCACAGACGTTTAACTGTGGCCACAGACTAAAGATTAACTTGGCCACTGACTAAAGTTTATCTGGGGCCACAGACTAAAATTTATGTGGGGCCACTGACTAAAGTTTAACTGGGGCCATAGACTAAAGTTTAACTGGGGCCACTGACTAAAGTTTAAGTGGGGCCACTGACGTGGGGCCACTGACTAAAGTTTAAGTGGGGCCACTGACAACAGTTTAACTGGGGCCACTGACTAAAGTTTAACTGGGCCGCCATGTATCTTTTATAACAATAAGCAGCGAAGAATTAATTTACTTATTAATATCATACCAATTCTTCCCCCCCCCCTAGGTTTCGTTGCTAGACCCACCCATCAACAGATCGTGGTCGTTGTACACCTCGTATGCGGGTGTGGCGGGTATCCACAGCGAGGTGCAAGCAGGGGCGGCAACTCGCAATGCGCTGTTGAATCGGAAATCATCAGACACGATTACAACTGTTCAAGTAGGTCTTCTGTTTTAATACGTCTAGCTCTTCTGACCGATGACATGTAGCTCTTTTGTCTGATTACAAGTAGGTCTTTTGTCTGATTACAAGTAGGTCTTTTGTCTGATTACAAGTGGGTCTTTTGTCTGATTACGTATACATCTTCTGTCTGATTCAACGTAAATCATCAATTGATCATATACCAGTCTTTTGTCATAATATATGCCATGCAGTACTAATTCGATATTTTACTTGCACAAGTAGTTTTACTTTAAAGTTCTGATATTTTACTTGCTCACGTTGTTTTACTTTAAAGTTCTGATATTTTACTTGCACAAGTTGTTTTACTTTAAAGTTCTGATATTTTACTTGCTCACGTTGTTTTACTTTAAAGTTCTGATATTTTACTTGCACAAGTTGTTTTACTTTAAAGTTCTGATATTTTACTTGCACAAGTTGTTTTACTTTAAAGTTCTGATATTTTACTTGCACAAGTTGTTTTACTTTAAAGTTCTGATATTTTACTTGCACAAGTTGTTTCACTTTAAAGTTCTGATATTTTACTTGCACAAGTTGTTTTACTTTAAAGTCCTGTTATTTTACTTGCACAAGTAGTTTTACGTTAAAGTTCTGATATTTTACTTGCACAAGTTGTTTTACTTTAAAGTTCTGATATTTTACTTGCACAAGTAGTTTTACGTTAAAGTTCTGATGTTTTACTTGCTCACGTTGTTTTACTTTAAAGTTCTGATATTTTACTTGCACAAGTTGTTTTACTTTAAAGTTCTGATATTTTACTTGCTCACGTTGTTTTACTTTAAAGTTCTGATATTTTACTTGCACAAGTTGTTTTACTTTAAAGTTCTGATATTTTACTTGCTCACGTTGTTTTACTTTAAAGTTCTGATATTTTACTTGCACAAGTTGTTTTACTTTAAAGTTCTTATATTTTACTTGCACAAGTTGTTTTACTTTAAAGTTCTGATATTTTACTTGCTCACGTTGTTTTGCTGCTAAAAAAATGTTTTGTTTCCCACCCAACAGACGCTCCACCGCAAGGATCTCCAGTCGATCAGGTTCAACAGGAGATCCTTGGAGCACTCCATGGTGGCGTACACTGAGAAAATGAAGGACATAGCAGAGAAAAAAATGAATGACGACAATGGTTCTAACGAATCGTTGAACTTGCCCATGGAGAACATCCAATTACGTAGAAAAATATCTCGCGATACCACTGGACAAGAAGGAGTTCGGAAAAATTCATTTTTACCTCCGCTAAACTCTGACAGCCCAAAGAGTCATTTCAAATCGGAAAGCATTCAAAGTCCTCAACAATCACAGGACATGACTAGCATGGAAACACATGAGATGATGGGAGGAAACGGCGCCATTTTTCTAATCAGAAAGAAACAATCAGCAGACGACATCCAGGAGGAGAAATCGTCCAATCAACAAAACCGCAGACGTCGCGTCGGCGTGTATATGAGACCGGATATTGAAACGTCTGACTTCCATGCGCAAGTCAACCAATCAGAAAACGCTCCTGATCGGCATGAGTCTACTAACGCAGACATTGCCGAGACAGGAGAATGCATTTTAATATCGCCATACCCAGAGTACCACCGTGACCTGAGGAAGAAGCGAAACATCGAGGTGGAGCCGCCCGTAACCAAGCCGGGCTATTGGAGCTACAGGACGCTCTACTCCCCCAGACGGGACCCGTCTGTCGCGCCTAAACGCAAGCCCTCCAGGCTGCCACGGATGACCGGCCCACGAAGGCCAAGGCCGCCTCCCGTTCCGTGCAAACCTGTGCATCAGGTGTTCCAGTACTCGTCTGCCGTGGAGCGCGCGCTGCTGGGTCTGGTGGACGAGCCCTGTGTCATAGACCTCAAAAACCGCGTCTATCGCAGCAAGGCCAATCTGGTATCCATAGACATTGATGAAATCAGACATGCGCACTCGTTACGTCCTATACGCGAGTCGTCAGGAAACGCTGGGTCAGACGAGTATCAAGACACGACAGATTCCTCTCAACCAAACGGACATTTTTTCTGACATCACGGAAATAAATTCAGGTCTGAATCGCAACAGAAAGATAATTCATCACATGGGATCATTTCAAAACTCAGACTCTAGTTCAACATATTTTTTTTTATAAAAAATATATTTTCCATTTCTTTTGGGGGAGGGGGGGGGGGGGGGGAATGGCCGTGATGTTTTGTAAGAGCAAAGGATTCTTTATTTTATTTCTGTATTATTTATTGCCATACAAAAAAAAGTTATGCAATCATTCGTTGCCGGTGATCTTCTTTGATTAATTTTCTTTAACGAGTTTCGTTATCACTACAGCTTTCGTAAACAGCTCTCGTTAAAAGCTGTCAATCACAGCTGTCGTTAACAGCTCTCGTTAACAGCTCTCGTTAACAGCTTTCGTAAACAGCTTTCGTAGCAGCTTTCGTAAATAGCTGTCAATCACAGATCTTGTTAACAGCTTTCGTAAACAGCTTTCGTAAACAGCTGTCAATCACAGCTCTCGTTAACAGCTCTTGTAAACAGCTTTCGTAAATAGCTTTCGTAAATAGCTCCCGATTACAGCTGTCGTTAAAATTTATCGTAAAGAGCTGTCAATCACAGCTCTCGTTAACAGCTCTTGTAAACAGCTTTCGTAAACAGCTTTCGTAAACAGCTGTCAATCACAGCTCTCGATTACAGCTGTTGCTAAAATTTATCGTAAACAGCTGTCAATCACAGCTCTCGTTAACAGCTTTCGTAAACCGCTTTCGAAACAGCTTTCGTAAACAGCTGTCAATCACAGCTCTTGTTAACAGCTCTCATTCCTAGTTTTCGTGGCTTTTCGACTATTTGAGAAAAGCAGATCACGGCACACTTGAAGGCAGCTCAAATGTACAGCTCTATTGCAGCCAGAACCTCCGTCTTTTGTTTAGCGGACAGAGTTTCTTCCAGGCATCACTTCAGGGGGGGGGGGGGGGGCTACCCCCTAAGAAAGTCTACCGCCCCCCCTCGAACGAAATGGAATTTATATAGTAAACATATACTTTTACTAGTGTCCGCCCCCCGCCCCCCGCCCCGAAAATATCAAGTGCCCCCCCCCCCCCCCCCGGAGAAAAAAGTCTGGAAGAAACACTTTTAGCGAGATAGCTGTTCCGGGCTTGCCGGGCTATTTTTCTCTTTCTTCCTCTCTTCTCTAGTTTTCTGTAATCAGCATGTCGCCTACATACACACATGCATAAGCATCTCTCTATTTCTCTCTTTCTGCCTCTCTCTCTCTCTCTCTCTCTCTCTCTCTCTCTCTCTCTCTCTCTCTCTCTCTATATATATATATATATATATATATATATATATATATATATATATATATGACATTGTTAATAAACAATATATTGTGATATTTCTTGCATATTTTGTAATTTACTCGCATTATTACATGAACGAACGCATGGCTTAACATGCTGAGAATATGTCTTGTAAAAATATACATATCGTGTTGATAAACAAATGGACATAGTTTTGTTTCGATTTAGAAAATAAAAATTAAGTAACAAAATATTTTTTATTTTTTAACTTAGCCTTTTTTAAAATTATGTCTTATTATGTACTAGGCATACTGCCTAGCTTCGCTTAGGTTTTTAAAAGGCATTTGAGAATTTGAATACTTAATTATTTAGCGATGGATTGGGTGTGGAGTGCTTTAATAAGTTTAATAAGTTTAATTTAAACAGTAATGCTAACTTTAGAAAAAATGTTTTTGTTAGTCATTTACATGCAGATCCGTAGCGAATTTTTGGAAAGTACGCAATGTATAACTAAAATGGAATTAGAACTACACAGGTTTCATGAACAGTATATCTCATAGTTTATATTACATTGCCTTTTGAAATTAATTAATTAATTTAATTAACATACTTAACTAAATTAACAACTTAATTTTGTACTAAAACAAATGCTATACTTCGTCATTTTCTGTTTCTGTTTAAAATAGTATACAATTATTTGAAAAATAATAATTTTAAAAACGTTACCTCCCTTGAAAACTGAACGTATGACGTATGTCATTATTTACTTATATTGTTTGCTTATATAAGAAATTACGTTATATGAACTTATTTAACGACTATAATGGCTGTTTCCGACGGGAATAAAGTTTTTTTGTTACCCTCCATGGTCGGTCTACGACGTCACATAATATTAAGGGGATCGTTCGTCAATTTATTTATATATATATATATATATATATATATATATATATATATATATATATATATATATATATATATCTCATATAAGGAGAATTTCACTCAAGATCATCTTTTAGCCCTCGTCGAGGGCTTTGAGTCTGACCAACAGTTTTTCCATACGGCCTAGTCATCTATAGTAGTGTATGCAAAAACTTAGCATGATGTACAGACATTAAGTAACCTAAAAATTGTGTTAAAATTTCCCTGTTTTTCCCATAAAATACAAAGATTATATAGGGAAATACAACTGGTCAGTTTTGACCGCTTTACGAAGTTTTCCCAGAATTGCCGAGTTTTTTATGAAACCCCTAGGTGTTCTTCTACCACCTCACAAAATATCAAGGGGGGTCGTCGGAGGAAATTTTTTTTCGTAATAGAGCTCATATAAAGAGAATTTCACTCGCGGTCACTTTTTAGCCCTCGTCGAGGGCTTTGAGTGTAACCGACAGTTTTCCCTAAAGGTCAAGCCATTGACCTAGGAGCATGCAAAAAATTAGCCAGATATACTGAGCTTAAGTACCCTAAACTCTGCGTTGAAATGACCCTCTGTTTTTCCCATAAAATACAAAGATTATATAGGGAAATACAACTGGTCAGTTTTGACCGCTTTCCGAAGTTTTCCCAGATATGCCGAGTTTTTTGTGACACTCCTAGGTGTTCTTCTACCACCTCACAAAATATCAAGGGGGGTCGTCGGAGGAAAAATTTTTTCGTAATAGAGCTCATATAAAGAGAATTTCACTCGAGGTCACTTTTTAGCCCTCTTCGAGGGCTTTGAGTGTAACCGACAGTTTTCCCTAAAGGTCAAGCCATTGACCTAGGAGCATGCAAAAAATTAGCCAGATATACTGAGCTTAAGTACCCTAAAGTCTGCGTTGAAATGACCCTCTGTTTTTCCCATAAAATACAAAGATTATATAGGGAAATACAACTGGTCAGTTTTGACCGCTTTCCGAAGTTTTCCCAGATATGCCGAGTTTTTTGTGACACTCCTAGGTGTTCTTCTACCACCTCACAAAATATCAAGGGGGGTCGTCGGAGGAAAATTTTTTTCGTAATAGAGCTCATATAAAGAGAATTTCACTCGCGGTCACTTTTTAGCCCTCTTCGAGGGCGTTGAGTGTAACCGACAGTTTTCCCTAAAGGTCAAGCCATTGACCTAGGAGCATGCAAAAAATTAGCCAGATATACTGAGATTAAGTACCCTAAAGTCTGCGTTGAAATGACCCTCTGTTTTTCCCATAAAATACAAAGATTATATAGGGAAATACAACTGGTCAGTTTTGACCCCTTTACGAAGTTTTCCCAGATATGCCGAGTTTTTTGTGACACCCTAAGGCGTTCTCCTACCACCTCACAAAATATCAAGGGGGGTCGTCGGAGGAAATTTTTTTTCGTAATAGAGCTCATATAAAGAGAATTTCACTCGCGGTCACTTTTTAGCCCTCGTCGAGGGCTTTGAGTGAGACCGACAGGTCTGCCCTACGGTCAAGCCATTTTCCTATAAACATGCCAAAAATTAGCCAGATGTAAAGAGGGTAAGTGCCCTAAAATCCGTTTTGAAATGACCCTCCGTTTTTCCCATAAAATACAAAGATTATATAGGGAAATACGACTGGTCAGTTTTGACCCATTTCCCTATTTTTCCCGGACATGGCGAGTTTTTTGTGACACCCCAAGGCGTTCTCCTACCACCTCACAAAATATCAAGGGGGGTCGTCGGAGGAAATTTTTTTTCGTAATAGAGCTCATATAAAGAGAATTTCACTCGCGGTCACTTTTTAGCCCTCGTCGAGGGCTTTGAGTAAGACCGACAGGTCTGCCCTACGGTCAAGCCATTTACCTATAAACATGCCAAAAATTAGCCAGATGTAAACAGGGTAAGTGCCCTAAAATCCGTTTTGAAATGACCCTCTGTTTTTCCCATAAAATACAAAGATTATATAGGGAAATACGACTGGTCAGTTTTGACCCATTTCCCGATTTTTCCCGGACATGGCGAGTTTTTTGTGACACCCCAAGGTGTTCTCCTACCACCTCACAAAATTTCAAGGGGGGTCGTCGGAGGAAATTTTTTTTCGTAATAGAGCTCATATAAAGAGAATTTCACTCGCGGTCACTTTTTAGCCCTCGTCGAGTGCTTTGAGTCAAACCGACAGGTCCGCCCTACGGCCAAGCCATTTACCTATAAGCATGCCAAAACTTAGCCAGATGTAAATAGGGTAAGTGCCCTAAAATCTGTTTTGAAATGACCCTCTGTTTTCCCCATAAAATACAAAGATTATATAGGGAAATACGACTGGTCAGTTTTGACCCATTTCCCGATTTTTCCCGGACATGGCGAGTTTTTTGTGACACCCCAAGGCGTTCTCCTACCACCTCACAAAATATCAAGGGGGGTCGTCGGAGGAAATTTTTTTTCGTAATATAGCCCATATAAGGCGCCGGTCAGTCGAGGTCAGTTTTGACCCCTTCTCCGTAGACTTTTCGGCCAACCGTCACCGGCCTTCGTGTTCTATTGCCCGAAGGCACCATCGTGCCAAATTTGACGCGCCTGCGGCGCCGGGAAGTGCCCTATCGGGCACTTGACCACTTTGCTTTATATATATAGATTACCTCTGTAGGCAGTGGTGTAGTCAGATGGTGCATGACGACTGTCATGACGACATATCATAAAACCACTGGTTAAATCAATTGAGTTATGTATTGTGCTAGACTAGGTTTTAGCACAATAGTATATGACTATGAGTAGGGTTCATTCGTGAGTTATTATTATGGTTAATGACCATATATTGGCTTAAGCTATCCCATGATGTTTTTATCATGTAGATGTAAGCTATCCCATTGTTATCATGGCCATAAATAGGTGTAAGCTATTCCATGATGTTATTATCATGGCCAGAGATAGACTAAATCCAATGGCTTAAAATATCATTTACACCAACAAAACTACCCCACACTTAAGGAAATCTATTTTCGGACACAATAACTTGTATCGTTTCCTTTTGCATATAGATCTGTGAATGGGTCTAATCGATATTGTTTATTGAGAAATTGCTGAACCTTTCAGCTATATCGATTGGTTTCAGCTTTCAGTCATGGTCTGATGGTTGTGATAATTATAATTAGCAGCATTGTGTTTGCGGGCTTGGTTAGCTAACTAGTGTGTTTTGTACGATAAGGGTCTCAATAATTTGGTCACGACGCTATCGATTTTAGACTCCGCCAACATGGGTTTCTTCCAAGACCTAAAAACATTTTTAGACTGTTGGTCCGTGGGCCGCACTAGGACTCTAAAGTGTACTCCTCGTCACCGAGACACATGTATATTGGGCTTTCATAATCATCAACAACATCACCAGCATCACCGCCACCATCATCATTATCATCATCATCACCACCACCACCATCATCACCATCATCATTATCATCATCACCACCACCATAATCATCATCATCACAACCATCATAATCATCACTATCATCATCATCTTTTGCTTTCAAGTAATGGAATCTGAACTCGATAATTTCTGGTTGGCAGCCGTGCTCCCTACAATTCGACCACTGCATCCAATGTATGCGCTTCAGGCATTTAAACTACTTTTTATAAGGGTCATTGACTCACAGAGTGAATGGGGACACCCATGTACTACTGCAGTAAATGACAATGACATCTCTACACCCATGTACTACTGCAGTAAATGACAATGACATCTCTACACCCATGTACTACAGCAGTAAATGACAATGACATCTCTACACCCATGTACTACAGCAGTAAATGACAATGACATCTCTACACCCATGTACTACAGCAGTAAATGACAATGACATCTCTACACCCATGTACTACTGCGGTAAATGACAGTGACATCTCTACACCCATGTACTACTGCAGTAAATGACAGTGACATCTCTACACCCATGTACTACTGCAGTAAATGACAGTGACATCTCTACACCTATGTACTACTGCAGTAAATGACAATGACATCTCTACACCCATGTACTACTGCAGTAAATGACAATGACATCTCTACACCCATGTACTACTGCAGTAAACGACGAAGTAAGCGTGTTCTCAAAACCCTACAACCCCCCCCCCCCCCCCGACTTCCCCGAGACGCAAACATTTTTGTGCACCAAAGTTTGCTATTTATATTTCGGGTCTTCTTGTTGCGTGACTTACATCCGTGGGTGCACAGCTTGGGTGGTGAACACAAATAAAAGAACCAGGCATGTTATGATAACAAACACGTACAGAAGTCATCAGTTTAGAATAAAAACTCATTTGAGATACCATCTCTAAATTCCATCACAACGTGTCGACCACATCAAGCATGCGGACCAGCAAACGTTCTCTCCCTGAAGACTTCCACGACAGCAAACGTAAGCGAATTCGAAAAACTACAACGCAGCTACAGGCCATAACTTCATGGGATCAGACACCGTACCTTGTATTGTTAGAGGTGTTTAAACATTTGTCAGATAAAAGCCGATGTGTGGCATCACAGGTAAACTTTTGGTACAACTTTATACTTTGATACGTATAGGCCTATAAGGGCCTTGTTGGTAAATAAATACCGTATATATATATATATATATATATATATATATATATATATATATATATATATATATATATATATATCCTAATATATAAAAAGCCATGTGCGCTCTTCTCTCTCTCTCTCTCTGTCCGCAAAATATTTTCGCCGGACATCACGTCAGAATCGGCAGCGATATATGGATACCTTTATACGGACTTTTGTTGAAAATAATATGTTAGATGTTTTAAATGTATAACCACAATTTTATTTAAAGAAGAAAAATAAAAAATAAAGGCGTATTCCAATGTAGAGAAACAGTATTATTTATGCAACCAGAAAAGTGTTTAAACTTGGGTCTATGAACGCATGTCGTAATAATGACGTCGCTTATTGTTTACACTAAAAAAAAAGAGCACGAAACTGATGACGTCATCTTCCGAGTTTAGAATAAAAAGAAATGAACTATTTCATTTAAATATGATTTAGAGCTATGTACGCTATGAAATGTATACAATACGATTTTCTCGGCCTAAACTTTGATATTGATCTAGATCTAGATATTCTAGATCATCTAGATCTAGAGATTCTAGATCATATAGATCTAGAGATTCTAGATCTAGATCTAGATGATCTAGAAAGCTAAGTTGTCGGGTGCCCGATAGGGCACTTCCCGGCGCCGCAGGCGCTTCAAATTTGGCAGAATCTTGCCTTGGGGCGACAGAACACAAGGGCCGGTTGGCCGAAAAGTCTACAATGAGGGGGTCAAAACTGACCTCGAGTGACCGGCGCCTTATATGGGCGAATTAATTAAGCATTCAAATTCTCAATGTTTTCGAAAGCCTAAGCGAAGCCGGGCAGCATGCCTAGTATATATATAAAGACCTAAATATACTTACGTCCATATCGACCACTTTGGACGAACCGGCCTTCTCTTATGTCCAATATACTAGTTCATAAAAAGATTTTTCTAATGTGTAATTTTGAATGCTAATAACTGTAATGCTAATTAAAAGAACGTGCTAAATTTGTTTTTTTTTCAGTTTTAGAAGTAAAAATATATCTGTTGACCCGTGAAGAGCGGTAGTTTTATTTGAAGGACTACTTTCTATAATATCCAGTGGTTAAAGAAAAGTTTCCTACTCCTCTTCCCGCCGTTGTGTGGGGTCTTAAATAGACGACACCCCACACAGGCCCAAATTTTTTAAAAATAAGGGATAACCCAAACTTGTATGCAATTGGTGAAAGTACCATTTGACTTGTTTCCTTTGTAAAGAAATCACCAATCACTTTTTGTAATAATAATAGGTTCATTCATATATTTTAAACATGTATTTTTAGAATTTAAATAAAGGGCTAAAATTCGCTTTAAAAATAACTTCAGTGTGGCTTCAGACTTTCCCCCCCCCCTCCCATTCGCCTATTTTTTTGGCAACAAATCATCACAAGAGTCTTCGTCATAGTGACGTGATTTATGGATGAGTCCTTCTGAAAATAGCAAGGTAATTCAGGTTTATTCACCGGAACTACTTTTTACTACTAAATATAGTAGTAAATAGTGGTTTTACTATGTAAGCAAAGAAATCTAGTCACGAGGTTTTTATTTGCCTAAACTGCCGATCGGGAAAAAAAATCCAATTACAAATTCTTCTAAAACAAAATCTTACATTTTCTAACAATATTTTATTCTTATGTTGTAGACCTTCTATTTTTTGCTAGGTATGTCGGGCATGGAACAATGCATTCAAAAACCCATCCTTGTGGCGGTCAAAGTCCTTTGTTGTTGGTGGCCCTAACGCCCAGAACGCAGGTTCGTATTATAATAACATTTACAGATTTTTTAGAATAACATTTACAGATTTTTTAGAATACCGTTTAAAGATTTTTTTAGAATAACATTTAAAGATTTTTTAGAATAACGTTTAAAGAGTTTTTAGAATAACAATTAAAGATTTTTTAGAATAACATTTAAAGATTTTTTAGAATAACATTTCAAGATTTTCAGAATAACATTTCAAAATTTTTTAGAATAAGATTTAAAGATTTTTTTAGAATAACATTTTAAGGTTTTTTAGAATAACATTTCAGGATTTTTAGAATAACATTTCGAGATTTTTAGGATAACATTTCAAGATTTTTTTAATAATCACCCAGCTTTTCGGGCCATCCAGTTCACGAAATTGTTCGGCCACAATCTGCAAGAGTTGAGGATCACGTGCCGACACCTGACGTCCAGCACTTGTAAGCTGATCATTGAGAACCTGGAAGCTGTTTTCCTGCTGCTGGCAGCCTCCAGACTCCGGCTCTTGGTCGTAGCGGAGCTGGAGCTGGACAGGTTCTGGAGATATCCGAACCTTAGGACAAGTGCTGCCATCTGTCTGGTTAACTTTATACAGTCGCAGAGCGGCCTGGAGGTGAGTGCTGGTCAGTTTGTGGAGGTGAGTGCTGGTCAGTTTGTGGAGTGCTGGTCAGTTTGTGGAGTGCTGGTTAGTTTGTGGAGTGCTGGTCAGTTTGTGGAGTGCTGGTTAGTTTGTGAAGGTGGGTGACGGTCAGTTTGTGTAGTGCTGGTCAGTTTGTGTAGGTGGGTGACGGTCAGTTTGTGTAGTGCTGGTCAGTTTGTGGAGTGCTGGTCAGTTTGTGAAGGTGGGTGACGGTCAGTTTGTGTAGGTGAGTGCTGGTCAGTTTGTGTAGTGCTGGTCAGTTTGTGGAGGTGAGTGCTGGTCAGTTTGTGGAGAAGTGTGCTGTTCAGTTTGTGGAGTGTTGGTCAGTTTGTGGAGTGCTGGTCAGTTTGTGGAGTGTTGGTCAGTTTGTGGAGGTGAGTGCTGGTCAGTTTGTGGAGTGCTGGTCAGTTTGTGAAGGTAGGTGACGGTCAGTTTGTGTAGGTGTGTGCTGGTCAGTTTGTGTAGTGCTGGTCAGTTTGTGGAGTGTTGGTCAGTTTGTGGAGGTGAGTGCTGGTCAGTTTGTGGAGGTGAGTGCTGGTCAGTTTGTGGAGTGCTGGTCAGTTTGTGGAGAAGTGTGCTGGTCAGTTTGTAGAGGTGAGTGCTGGTCAGTTTGTGGAGGTGAGTGCTGGTCAGTTTGTAGAGGTGAGTGCTGGTCAGTTTGTGGAGTGCTGGTCAGTTTGTAGAGGTGAGTGCTGGTCAGTTTGTGGAGGTGAGTGCTGGTCAGTTTGTGGAGGTGAGTGCTGGTCAGTTTGTAGAGGTGAGTGCTGGTCAGTTTGTAGAGGTGAGTGCTGGTCAGTTTGTGGAGTGCTGGTCAGTTTGTGGAGTGCTGGTCAGTTTGTGGAGGTGAGTGCTGGTCAGTTTGTGGAGGTGAGTGCTGGTCAGTTTGTAGAGGTGAGTGCTGGTCAGTTTGTGGAGTGCTGGTCAGTTTGTGGAGAAGTGTGCTGTTCAGTTTGTGGAGTGCTGGTCAGTTTGTGGAGGTGAGTGCTGGTCAGTTTGTGGAGGTGAGTGCTGGTCAGTTTGTGGAGTGCTGGTCAGTTTGTGGAGGTGAGTGCTGGTCAGTTTGTAGAGGTGAGTGCTGGTCAGTTTGTGGAGTGCTGGTCAGTTTGTGGAGTGCTGGTCAGTTTGTGGAGGTGAGTGCTGGTCAGTTTGTGGAGGTGAGTGCTGGTCAGTTTGTAGAGGTGAGTGCTGGTCAGTTTGTGGAGTGCTGGTCAGTTTGTGGAGAAGTGTGCTGTTCAGTTTGTGGAGTGCTGGTCAGTTTGTGGAGGTGAGTGCTGGTCAGTTTGTGGAGGTGAGTGCTGGTCAGTTTGTGGAGTGCTGGTCAGTTTGTGGAGGTGAGTGCTGGTCAGTTTGTGGAGGTGAGTGCTGGTCAGTTTGTGGAGGTGAGTGCTGGTCAGTTTGTGGAGTGCTGGTCAGTTTGTGGAGTGCTGGTCAGTTTGTGGAGGTGAGTGCTGGTCAGTTTGTGGAGGTGAGTGCTGGTCAGTTTGTGGAGTGCTGGTCACTTTGTGGAGTGCTGGTCAGTTTGTGGAGGTGAGTGCTGGTCAGTTTGTGGAGTGCTGGTCAGTTTGTGGAGTGCTGGTCAGTTTGTGAAGGTGGGTGACGGTCAGTTTGTGTAGGTGAGTGCTGGTCAGTTTGTGTAGTGCTGGTCAGTTTGTGGAGTGTTGGTCAGTTTGTGGAGGTGAGTGCTGGTCAGTTTGTGGAGTGCTGGTCAGTTTGTGAAGGTAGGTGACGGTCATTTTGTGTAGGTAAGTGCTGGTCAGTTTGTGTAGTGCTGGTCAGTTTGTGGAGTGTTGGTCAGTTTGTGGAGGTGAGTGCTGGTCAGTTTGTGGAGGTGAGTGCTGGTCAGTTTGTGGAGGTGAGTGCTGGTCAGTTTGTGGAGGTGAGTGCTGGTCAGTTTGTGGAGGTGAGTGCTGGTCAGTTTGTGGAGGTGAGTGCTGGTCAGTTTGTGGAGGTGAGTGCTGTTCAGTTTGTGGAGTGCTGGTCAGTTTGTGGAGGTGAGTGCTGGTCAGTTTGTGGAGTGCTGGTCAGTTTGTGGAGTGCTGGTCAGTTTGTGGAGGTGAGTGCTGGTCAGTTTGTGGAGGTGAGTGCTGGTCAGTTTGTGGAGGTGAGTGCTGGTCAGTTTGTGGAGGTGAGTGCTGGTCAGTTTGTGGAGGTGAGTGCTGGTTAGTTTGTGGAGTGCTGGTCAGTTTGTGGAGTGCTGGTCAGTTTGTGGAGGTGAGTGCTGGTCAGTTTGTGGAGGTGAGTGCTGGTCAGTTTGTGGAGGTGAGTGCTGGTCAGTTTGTGGAGGTGAGTGCTGGTCAGTTTGTGGAGGTGAGTGCTGTTCAGTTTGTGGAGTGCTGGTCAGTTTGTGGAGGTGAGTGCTGGTCAGTTTGTGGAGTGCTGGTCAGTTTGTGGAGAAGTGTGCTGTTCAGTTTGTGGAGTGCTGGTCAGTTTGTGGAGGTGAGTGCTGGTCAGTTTGTGGAGGTGAGTGCTGGTCAGTTTGTGGAGTGCTGGTCAGTTTGTGGAGGTGAGTGCTGGTCAGTTTGTGGAGGTGAGTGCTGGTCAGTTTGTGGAGTGCTGGTCAGTTTGTGGAGGTGAGTGCTGGTCAGTTTGTGGAGGTGAGTGCTGGTCAGTTTGTGTAGTGCTGGTCAGTTTGTGGAGTGTTGGTCAGTTTGTGGAGAAGTGTGCTGTTCAGTTTGTGGAGTGCTGGTCAGTTTGTGGAGGTGAGTGCTGGTCAATTAGTTCATATTGCAATAATAATTTTGTCGTTTATTCAAATGGCAATCTTTGTATTTATGCTGTTAATTTAGTGACAGCAAATGATAGTCTAACACTTAACAGACGACATAATAATAATTATTTTCAGTGAACAAGTGTACCAATTGTGGACAAAATAATGGACATTTTATAGATCATTCATTTTGTTGAATCAAAATTAGCTTGAAAAAAGTTATAAAATCGTGTATTTCAGGAGTTTGCAATGAAATCGGCTCAGTTTTCATTACAACAAGGCGTTTGTCTATTAGACGTGTTAGCCGCAGCCTCGGGACCTAAGATAACCACATTGGACATAGAAGATTTCTTTAGTAATCAAAATGCTGTCGGCGTTTTTGGTGCATTCAAAACTGTGTTACTGGCGAGTCTGGCGACGTTGTTTGAGTTCACTCGTCACATGCATGGCATGGCGTTACACACATCTCATGTCATGGTGTTACACATCTCATGTCATGGTGTTACACATCTCATGTCATGGTGTTACACATCTCATGTCATGGTGTTACACATCTCATGTCATGGTGTTACACATCTCATGTCATGGTGTTACACATCTCATGTCATGGCGTTACACATCTCATGTCATGGTGTTACACATCTCATGTCATTTCACTCGTCATCAACATGTCATGGCGTTACACATCTCATGTCATACACACATCTCATGTCATTTTACTCGTCACCAACATGTCATGGCGTTACACATGTCATGTCATAGAGTTACACATCTCATGTCATTTCACTCGTCATATACATGCCATGGCCTTACAAATCTCATAAAAATATCATCAAACAAATCAGCAGTACAAATCTCATTTTAAAAAGTAAGAACAAATGACATTAAAAGATGCGTATCAACAGTCGAGATTGTTAACATTCAGGGCTAACTAGAGATTGTTGACATTCAGGCTTAACTATAGATTGTTAACATTCAGGGTTAACTAGAGATTGTTGACATTCAGGGTTAACTAGAGATTGTTCATATTCAGGGTTAACTAGAGATAGTTGACATTCAGGGTTAACTAGAGATTGTTGACATTCAGGGTTAACTAGAGATTGTTGACATTCAGTGTTAACTAGAGATTGTTGACATTCATGGCTAACTAGAGATTGTTGACATTCAGGGCTAACTAGAGATTGCTGACATTCAGGGCTAACTAGAGATTGCTGACATTCAGGGCTAACTAGAAATTGTTGACATTTAGGGCTAACTAGAGATTGTTGACATTCGGGGCTAACTAGCGCTAGTAGCAAATTCTTCAGCCACAAAAAATGACTAAGTTATCCTTTTGAATGTAGAAATTTGAGAACCTTTCGAGTCTGGCACTAAATTACTGTTACCTGAGCGATGAGCTTATGGAACATCTGGCGTTGGTTCTTAAGGGACGACTGAAACGTTTCACGATAAGGGCCAATCACGATGAGCCTGGCGGTAAGATTTGATAGGTCTGTGGTCAACATGTGGAATCGACAGAAACATACTAGGGAATAAGATGTCTGTATTTGGTGGACAGTGTTGTTTAGATTTGTAGTCGATATAATGTTATATATATATATATATATATATATATATATATATATATATATATATATATATATATATATATATATATATATATATATATATATATATATATATATAATATGTATCCATTTCTATCTGCACGGTACCACCCAGAAACGATCTCTAACAAGAGATGGAGTTTACTGAAATTGGCATGCCCTAATTTAGCGGTTTATTTGACAATGTCGGCAATCATTGAGGTTGACAACGTTCTTCAGATTTTAGCCCCGAGTATGCCATTGGTCAGTTTTTACATGTGGCCAGGGTTTGATCCCCGATTAGATACCCAATTAGAATGGCAGGTAAGCCTGAATCCGTGTATCGTGTGTTCTATTAGAAGGCAGGTAACGCATTCGTCCGTTACATGCAGGGGTTGACTGGCCCGATCGGCTACCGGGAAAAATTCCGATGAGCTGTAGTTATAGTTCTATCAGTATTTTAATTAATTAAAAAAAAAATGTTGGTTTTTCTCCATTTTACCATTTTTATTCCCTCTTACCAGGGCGTAAAATTCCATTTTAAGGGGGCAAAAATGCATCCAAAAAAATTCAATTTGGAGGAGGGCCCCTTTTAAAATTTCAATTTGGCGGAGGGCTCCTTTAACTTTTTTTTGGGCCTTTTGGACACGGCCAGTCCACTTCTGATTAGATCTGTGTTTGGTAACGTAGCAGATGTTCCGTATACTTAGGTGTTGAGAGATGAATAAATAAATGTCTATCATATATATATATACAGACATACATATATATACATACATATATATATATAAGTATACATATATATATACATATATATATATATAAATATACATATATATATATACATATATATATATATATATATATATATATATATATATATATATATGTATATGTATATATATATACATATATATATACATATATATATGTATACATACATATATATATATATATATATATATATATATATATATATATATATGTATATATATATATATGTATATATATATGTATATATATATGTATATATATAATTATATATATATATATGTATATATGTATATGTATATATATATATATATATATATATATATATATATATATATATTTATATATATATATATATATATATATGTATATGTATATATATATATATATATATATATATATATATATATATATATATATATTTATATATATATATATATATATATATATATATATATATATATATATATATATATATATATATGTTATCCAAAAATGTTATCCAAACGCAGACTTGTCCGATGATTTGTAATCTGTGTATCAGTGGTCTCACTAGGTCGGGTGTAACTTGCTGCTGTAATGTAACGGTTTTTCGATTTGGTGCCAGACTGTACATTGTGTCACACCCTGTATGAGCAGTATCGACCCCGCCTTATGACGCTACTGGCATTATCTATCTATCTATCTATCTATCTATCTATCTATCTATCTATCTATCTATCTATCTATCTATCTATCTATCTATCTATCTATCTATCTATCTATCTATCTATCTATCTATCTATCTATCAATCAGTCAATCTATCTATCTATCCATCTATCCATCCATCCATCCATCCATCCATCCATCCATCTATCTATCTATCTATCTATCTATCTATCTATCTATCTATCTATCTATCTATCTATCTATCTATCTATCTATCTATCTATCTATCTATCTATCTATCTATCTATCTATCTATCTATCTATCTATCTATCTATCTATCTATCTATCTATCTATCTATCTATCTATCTATCTATGTCATCTATCTATCTATATCTATATCTATATTTATATATATATTTATATGTGGGTGTATATGTATAATCTAGTATATAGATATCGCCTCAATAGAACCAGACTGTTCTAACTCCACTATTCAAAAATGTTCACATGGCTTTAAAGATCTATTTCCCTTAACATTACTACATTAAGGAATAGGTAAAAATAAAGTGTTGTATAATAATAGTGAGAGATATGGCCATGACATTTTTGCCATGATGCCTTGGTGGATTTAGAACACAGCGGTGTGTTAATCTCGCAAAAAAAAAAAAAATGAAGTTAGAACAGTCTGTCTCTAAGGAAACGATATGACACCCTGCTGTGTTTAAAAAAACATGTATATTCTGAAAATTTGACCTCTTCCCCACGATGTGTGTAGTTGACAGTAACCATGAATCATGTTGCCAACCACTTCCACGAAAGTTTGGAAGAACTGGTTTTCAACGGTGACAACTTCCCAGACAGCTTAGACGACGAGCTAATCCGAACAATAGCTAGGTGTAATCAACTCAGAATTATTCGAATGAAAATCACCGCTAATATAAATGTAGGTAGTAATTACATGGTACTTTGATGGTTAAGTCTAGTTAACCTTTAAGGTTCTCAGAATTTTGTCAGACTTGCAGAGAAAGTGTTTTATATTTATGAACATGCTAACTGTATGAATCATTTGTCCGTGGACACAGGGCCTGCATTTTGTGCGGAGCTTGTGCGGGTTGTTAAAGGAAGACGATTGCACGCTGAAAGACGTTTGTATCACACTGTGTGACATTTTTGTGCCAGACGATGTGCATGCCAGGGATCAAATCAATCAGCTTGTACAAGAGATGCAACCTTTCATCGACACTCGGGGTATTGACTTAGAGTTTCGATCCCTCGACGATTTTTGAACTGGCCTAACATGCGAGCTGCTGAAAATTGCCATCAAGCAGGGTAACAACTGTACGGACTGGAAAGTGGAACGTGGAAGAAAAATCAAAATTTAAAAACACATTTTTTTGGCAACAAAAACTAATTGATCGATAAATAATTGATCTGTTTGATAATGCTCTAGTCATTTGTTTGAAAAGAAAACCATATATTCGTATTAAAGTGAAATATCTAAATCAATTTAGGCCTAGGTATTTTATTTTGTTTAAAAATAAACTCAGAGGCGTAGCGAGGGGCGGGGGGGGGGGGGGGGGGGGAAGGACCGCACCGGTGACACCATTTAGGGGGATGACACTAAGGCAGGGGCGTAGCGAGGGGGGGGGCGGGGGGTGCGGACCGCACCGGGTGACACCATTTAGGGGGGTGACACCAAGGCAAAAAATAGCAAAATATATAGAGAAAAACTCGAGGGGGGGGGGTGCAAATCGAAAGTTTGAGGGGGGGGGGGGTGCAAATCGAAAACTCGAGGGGGGGGGTGCAAATCGAAAGTTTGAGGGGGGGGGGGTGCAAATCGAAAACTTGAAACTTTGTCCCTGGGAAGGGTCTCTATGCCTCTGGGGGGGTGACACCATTAAGTGCCGCACCGGGTGACACCCGACCTCGCTACGCCACTGCACTAAGGCAAAAAATAGCAAAATATATAGAGAAAAATAATAATTCCACTTAATTAAGTGATTAATTCGAGTGTTAAATAGTGTTTTAAGAGGTGCAAATAGAAAGTTTGAAGGGGGGGGGGTTGGGTACAAATCGTAAATTGAAAGTTTGACCCGAGAAGGGTCGCTACGCCATTAAGTGACGCACCGGGTGACACCCGACCTCTCTACGCGACTGAATAAACTAACACTAATAACGGCCCATAAAACGGTGCTTACTTATTAATTGCCTCATTACAAATGTTTTGTTTTGTATCTGTACTTCTATACATGTTGAATGCGTCATTGCCTTAAAAATGGTCACGGGGGGGGGGGGGGGGGGCAAGAGGCCTATGCCTCTATAGGGCAGGCCTCATACTTAAGCTACCAATGTTTTTAATAGAGAAAGCAAGTTTGTTTTTCTTATTTTCAGTGCAATTAAAAACTTATTGTTACAGTTTTTTTACAAGCTTTTATTTAACTTGCTTCCTCCGTTTGACCAATTTTTTTTCAACTTTGGCACGTGGGTCAAGATCCGACGACAATGCAATGTGACATCAAATATTTCTTCATTGGGTGCTTCATTAATTTAAAAAAAAAACTAATTAGAGTTTCCTAACTAAATTTCCTATATAAAGTACTATTTAATTCCCGAGGGCGTTTGTCTGAGTTCATTTGGTGTGCAATTGTTTTTAGTCATGGAATTGTATTTAATAAAAATTTTAAAGTATTGAGTTTAAAAAAAAAGTTTTAATAACAAGCTATTATATAATAATGCATGGGGGCGTCTATAAATGACGCCACACACGCTTTTCTTTATAGTTATTTAACTAGTAGTGCATTATTATATATTTAAGAAAATCGTTTGTGTTCAACTTTTTTTTTTCAATTCGCTCTTAATGACGCCGAGGCCATATATCACTAAAAATGTTTGTTTTAAAACCGGATCAGTTGCTTGCGATCTCTATGTAACTCTTCATGGAGCCTTCAAGCTGTAAGCGCGCCTAGCAGCCCCCTCTCTTCCTCTCTAGGCATATCCCTACCACCCCCACATGGTCTGGTGAGCTTTGGTTCACGCTAAATGTTTACAATCGTAGAGCCGGGTTTAGTGACGGCTATTAGGGGCAGATAATTTAGTTTGAAACGATTTTAAACTTAGGGGAGGTAACTAAGAGGAGGCTGCTTTCACGTGGGGTGGGGGTATCGTCCTTAACGACCTACTGATAGTGTTTTAAAGCAAATATTTTCAGTGGCAGCATTGGTACTGTTGAATTCAAAAATTATGAATTACTGAAAATTAAAAAAATAAAACAATCAAACAGCGGCGTATGATACGCCGCGGGTCGGCTCGTAATTTTTATTCTACCCCTTCTTAGTATCTTAGTCCGCGGTCGACACTCAGATAAAAAATCAACCAGCCTACTGGTAGGCCTATTTAATCTTGTGTTCTCCACTGTTATTAATGAACTTAGTCATCTTCTAAATCGATTTTAATTACTAATTTAATCTCAAATTAGATTTAAAATTAGATATTTTTGCATTATCATTAAAGACAAAAGTATCTGGAAAGTTAAGCGAAATTGCTGCGACAAATATGAGTTACAAGATCTATTACAACCCACAAACAAACAAAGAACGAAACAAACAATGGAGCGAACACATTGTAAACGAAATACAAGCTTATAAAAAAAAAAGTCTTCAACTTCAACAGAATAGAGCATACTTAAAATTAAAGCGGAAAAATAAACAGTAGAGCTTTTCTAACTAGATTCTACTGCTAATCTGGTTGATTTTATGTTCCATCAAATGATGAAGTAAACCTTGAAGTTGAAAATTACAATTAGAGTCTAGTTCCGAAATGGAACTCAGAGGGCCTGTTGGTTAGCTTTAGTTTAAACTTAAACAGAATATTTTCCCCCAAAAGTGAAATTATTTAGATCTAGATTCTAACTGAACATTAGCGAATCCGAAAATTCACAGAAATTCGGAAAAGTCACATCTTTGTATTCAATTTATCATAAAGGTTTTAAATAAGTTTTGTTTTTCAGCTGAACACACATGCGAAAACAATTTATTTGTAATCTATTAATAGGCCTAGCCTCATTCCAAAAATAAATAAATAAACTAGACACGGAAGCTACACATTTTTGTGGCCAACTTCGAAATGCACGCATGCGCTCAGGAGCATTACAAATTGTGAGAAAACGAAATCTGAATTTAGTACATTAAAAATAAAATAATATATAAAAGGAGAAAGTATTTGCTATATTATGACAGGAAAGGAAATTCAAGGAAAGTCTAACTACAAAAAATTCATTTCAGGAGTTGTCGAAGGTATTAAAATGCTTTTATTTTTTATTTTTTAAATATTCTGTCGTCTCTATTATGTTTCTGTAATCAATATGGCGACTTCCGGTATAGACTAGTTTTAACTTTTGTAGTATAGAGTAGGCCCCTAGACTAGATCTAGATCTATCTATATGCCCTATAAAGATGTAGAATCTAGATCTAGACTTTCTAGACTCTAGATCTAGTAAGTTAGTTCAATTAAGTTTAAAGTATTTCTGTGACTTTTTTTCCGATAAAATTTTTCCACTGTGACCTTTTTTTCCTAGCAAAAACTGACTTTTTTTCTGTTGTTTTTTTTCCTGTGACTTTTTTTCCGTTCACCGTGATAGCTAGACTAGTATCAGTTAAAGTGTGTGTACACAGCATTAACTATTTTGGGGTTAGAAATTAATTATTTTTATTGTGGAGTTAGTCAAAACTAGGAGATAAAATCATAATACTTAAGGCTGATGCTAGCCGGAATAAGATACGCATGCGCAATGGAGAGAAACTATGACTTGTCTTCGCTGCGATGTTTTCTATGGTACTGCGCATGCGTGTGTTCACAAACGCAGAACCCTAACAACAACCCTAATCCTAGCCCTAATCGGAAATCCTATCCCTAACCCTAATCCTATCCCTAACCCTACCCCTAACCCTCATTCTAACCCTAGCCATAGGTCACTACGCATGCGCAGAGCTATCTTTTGCTAAGTGGAGACGTTGGGGAGAAAAATCTTTTTCCGAGTAGTCACTTCGAATACTTAATGCCCTATGGCCCGGCTACATTTGCCCCAAATGCTGATTTTGGGGAGGCTTTAAAATATAAATGCTAAATTATAAAATTAAACCAATTTAAAGTCAATTTAATAGCCTTTATTATTATTTGTATATTGTGTATGATGTGTTAGAATAATTTGGCATTAATTTCAATACTAGAAAATACTTGGATTAGTAAAAAATGTAGGCTGACAGGTGCTAAAAAGTGTGGCTCTTAGTGCCCTTCTATACCCTAGGTACTCCAATTTTTGAATTTATTTACATTTTACATAGTTGAATCTAGCTTCAAGCTTCTATTTATTTTGAAGTGACTAGATCTAGAATTCTAGATCTACTCGGATAAAGATTTTTGGGCATTAAATACAAAACTCAATAGTTCTGCACAGGCGGCGCAGTGACCTGCGGTAGGGTGAGGGATAGGGTTCGGGTTCTGCGGTTTGTAAACACACACACACATGCGCAGTACCATCGAAAATATTGCCACTAATTAAGGTGGTAGTTTCTCTCCATTGTGCATGTCTTTTTTTCTGGCTGGAATTGGTCTATTTATTTTTTATAGGCCCTAGTGAATTAGAAATAGTATAAGTATTAGTGCGCCATCACTATTCCTGAATCTGATAATGAAATATAATCAAGCCATTTCTAGTCGATCTTAGGTGCAACTATGTTTAGAATTGGCATATTAAAAAATCTAGAACTAGAATATTTATAGATCTAGAATCTTTAGTTGAATACTTTTCTTCTTGTACAAAACTGGCTTCTGATTTCCAGGAACAAGTGAAGGGGAGTTTCAGTTTAGTTAGGTTCCAAACCAGTAACTACCACGGCTTGGGAGGCATGACGTTTTCCACTTGGCAACGAGACTACATTTAATTGGCAATATTTAATAATTTTATCTATAGGCCTAGGCCTAATTATAGGGTATTTAGAAATCGTAGTTCCTAACACTAGCAAATCGAAAGAACTTTTTAACACACAAAAAAAGCTAATCCACAAAATCAAATAGCATTAAAGTTATCGTTTTAATACAGGTTATGTGTATGTATAACTATAGACCAAACTCAATGCTGTGTCCGAATAGCAACCTTGGCTATAGGAACAGAGATGAAACCCCTCCGCTTTTTTCCGGAAATCCGCTTTTTCCATTTGAGATAGTTTCCGCCAAACGACTTTTTTGAAAAACATAGACAATTTTTTCAGTGGATCCATTTTCCGTTTTGCTACCCATATTCAGATAATCTTCCCCTTCTGCTTTATGACTGTTTTACTGGTTTAGAGAAGAAAGCTGTTCTTGTGGTAACTACGTCATATGATTTAGGGAAGGGTATTACTTAGTCTACGGCGTGTAAACTTACTGTGGGTGTGTGAATGTGTTACAACTATGCATACAAATAGTTATTTATTGAAAGAATGATCACACATAAACACTATTTACCTCTTGTTTTTTTGTTGTTGTATTTTGGTAATTTAAAAAAAAATTGAGAAAAATTAAAATCAGGTGAATAGCTTGTCCATTGGAATTTTCAGTAGTTTTTTCTCTAAAAAATCTAGGGAGCTTGACCATTTTCCTTACAGTCAGCTGTTTATTTGAGATAACCTGTGGAACCGAACCTTGGGATTTGGTATAACAGTTGTGTATTGTTCCACCCAGCCTCGCTGCTCCACAGCCATTTAGATATTTTTTCTTACATAAAAATAATGAGATTTTGCAAGATTAGATGTTTTTTATGGTCAAAACCCAAACTGCTCAGCATCTCAAGCCATTGTTTGTTATCAAATTCACTTGTCACTTCCTCCCGGCTGCTAGATAACAGGAAATCATAACATTTGTTAATGAACTTTTTTAGTTTATCATTTATTCTGTACTTAGTTTATTTATTAGTTTATATTACTGTTTGTTGTGAAATTTATTGTGTTGAATTTGTGATGTTTATGCCATGCAGTACTCAAATATATTTTATTATTTTTTTACTTTTAATTAAAAAATGAGATTAACTATCTATACAAATAATTTTTTTCTGTTTGCTTTTTTTAAAAAGGTTTCTATGGCAGACCTTGGAGTGCTGACCAAAGAAAATTGCTGTTTTCTTGGTAAGTTTCTTCACATCATCTATCTTAATCTATATCTATAAAAGTAAAGTGGGTGATGTACGGCTAGTCTATCATACAAGTGGCTGGGTGGTGTGTCACATCATGTGCATTAAGCACATGTTTTTGAGTACTCAGTAAACTTAATCATGTGATTTGGATTTCATCAGTATATTAGAATAATTTGTACTAAATATAGAATAGGCTGCAGACATCCATTATTTGAGTAACTACCCCAGAGGCAAATTTGTTGTTTCTGACTTTAATACTGAGTAAAATGTAATTTTTATTCCATCCTCATTCATCAATATGTGAAACACTTGTGTCAGAGAGAACTACAGGCTCTCTCCTTGGGTGCGGGGAAACATGTCGTTCGTTAGTTGGTGATACTCATGTGATCGCCAAATGGCACCTTACTGCCGAGTGCACGCTTGTGAAACAATTTTTTTCAGCAGAAATCTTAACAGAAAGACATTTGATAGCAGGCTTATGGTAAACCTAAATGCATTAAACGCTGTATAACTATAACTTTGCTATCATAATTTAATACTGTATTGACTACATTTTGCAACATTATGTTAAGTGTTGAATTAATGCGAAAACTTTGCAGTATGGAGCATGTTGATCTACTCTGTGTGTGTGATATATTTGGGTGCTGTGGTGGGGGTAATGAGAAGTGTAAGATGAAGGATTGTTTGTGGTAAGAGGGTGCCCTATTGCTTGCGTTTTGGGTATGGGGTGGTGAGCTATGACTAGAATAATTAGGGGTATGGTGTTGGGTTTTGTTTGAAGTGCTGTTCATGTGTTGTGTGGTGTGGTTTGGGGCAAGCTGGTTGGGGTTTGGTCTATTCTGTGTGTTTTGAGATAAGTGTGTAGTGGAATAGGCTGTGGTTTATTGATTATGGTGTGGGATTAGTGATTGGGTGTGGATCATGTGATAACTGGTGTGAGGTGTGGGTTGTGCTATATGAAGTAGTGGGGTGTGGGTTTTAATGTATATTGTAGGGTGTAGTGACATGTGGACCAGGGGTTGTGTGGGGTTTATTTCGGGGTATCGTTCATAGTGTGTTGAGGTGTGGGTTAATATGTGGAGCACGGTGGTTTGGGTTTTGATCCATGTGGTGTGTTTTGTATGTATGTGAAGTATGAGTGTGTATTGTGGGGTTAGTTTGGTGAGGTTTGAGTTACACTATATAGTGTCTTGGGGTGTGTTGTGTTGTTAAGTAAAACGGGTGGTGTGGGCTTTGGTTTGTGCTGGTTGGGGTGCAGTTTTTTATTTCCCCTTCTGTTATTAAATACCCTTAATTCTTTTTAATATCTAATTTTGTGAAATTAATATATTTTATTTCACGACAACTTAAAAAAATCTGTTGTTTTTGTTTAGTGGCATTCTTTTTCTATTGTCCAAAAAGTTCGGTGCAGAGTTCCACACCGTGGCAAAGCAGGGGTATGTAGCTCGTACTCTATAACTTGCTAACACATTATTTTTAACAACATTAAACAGGATGCAGAAATGTGGTCTCAACACATACATGTATGCACCAAAAGATGATTACAAACACAGGGCATATTGGAGGGAACTTTATTCTGTGGAAGAAGCAGGTATGGTTTCTTTAAAAAATAGTCAAATATTGTAAAAAGTAGTTTTCCATATTAAATTCTTGAAATAGTGGTTGTTAAAATTTAAAAATGACTTTTTTTTTCTAGAAAATCTTTCACATCTTATAAGTGCTGCTAAAGAAAAAGATGTTACTTTTGTTTACGCCATTTCACCTGGACTTGACATCTCATTTTCCAATGTTAAGGATGTTCAAGCTTTGAAAAGAAAATTGGAACAGGTATAAGAAAATTGTTCCACCTGTTTTTGCAAAACAAGAAGACCCATTTGTGTAGTAAAGGTGGTTAAATTGTGATGTTAATTAAACTTTAGACTATATTCATTAGCTCATTTAGTACTTTCTAATTAATTAGGTGGCAACTTTTGGTTGTGAAGCATTTGCTATGCTGTTTGATGACATTGATCCTGAGCTATCTGAAGCTGATCGTAGTGCTTTTCAGTCATTCGGATTGGCACAAGTATCTCTTTCCAATGAAGTGTTTGAACATCTCCATCAACCAAAACTCTTTCTATTTTGCCCAACAGGTAGGTCTAGAATTTTAAAAACTTTGTAGCAGTTAAATTCTATAAATTTAATTTTGTTTAAAAACATTTGAAAGAATTTGTAATTCATTTTGATTACCTTATTTATAGAATACTGTGCTTCAAGGGCTGTTCCAAGTGTTGTTTCTTCTGAATATTTAAATACAATTGGATCCAAACTTCTTCCTGGAATAGATATTATGTGGACAGGTATTGGAAATATTTTGATTCAGCTAAAGTAACATTTTGTGAACTGTAGTCCTGTTAAACTTTATCTGGCTCATTAGGTTTTATCTATATTCAAGATAAATTGTTACAGAGCTATAAATGAAGAGAATAACACAACTAAATAAAACTAAATCAACCCTTTTGGTGCTGAAATCAAAGTCAGTGAATTCACACACCACTCATTAATTTAAATTTGCAAGCTGAAATTCATATATCTGGCCACATAGGATGGCTTGGTTAGAGTTTGAGTGCTCAGTTACTATCCTGAAAGACTTTGAGATTCATTCACTGGCTTTAGTCCCAGATGAATATCTAACTTGATTCAGTGGAATAAAGATTGCTTTGCACAGTGCTGACCTCACTATACCTTTCTTTGCAGATGTATCATTAACTTTTTGGGATACTTGACCTAACAGTGTAGCACTTAAAATATGTGTGTTGTCAGTGTGGTGAGCAGGCTGCACTTGTAAAGCAAAATAAGCTTTTTGAATTTTTAAAATATGATTTAAATTAGAAGAATTATTTTCTTTTTGCAATTTTTTTTACTTGTAGGTCCAAAAGTTGTTAGTAAAAAATTAACTGTTACATCATTAGAGGAAATAGCATCGGTTTTGAAGCGACCAGCAGTGATATGGGATAATATCCATGCAAATGATTATGATCCAAGGCGTATATTTCTTGGTCCATATGATGGAAGGTCTCCAGAGGTCATTCCCTACATTAATGGAGTTATGACTAATCCAAATACAGAATTTGAGGCCAATTTCATGGCAATTCATACTTTGGGACAGTGGTGTCAATCTAATCCTGATGGAGTCAAGAAAGATATTATAAAAGGTAAATAATGCACACATTACAAGCCTACATTTTTTGAGCTGGGATAAAAGTATAACGGTTTGCTGAAAGATGTATGGGATGATAAATTGTCATTCATTCAGTTGTAAAGTTATTGAGTTATAACTGTCTTTTTCTCCTTTGCTGTATCATATCTCTAGTACTGTTATGTACTTGTAATATTATCAATTTATAATATTTTTATCACCAGGTGATCGTTTAAGCCCAATAGCATCTGATATTAAACTGGAAACTGAGAATGATTTCATTTCTGATGAGGATATCCCATCTCGTATTGATCTTCGATATCAACCAAAAATGGCTTTAAAAAATGCATTGTCAGACTGGCTTGCTGAAATACACTGCAAACGCGAACCACCCCGTCAACCATTTCCTCGTGTAATCCCAACTTATTTGCCTGGCGCCATTTTGACTGGCCCTCCAGGTGTACCACTTTGCATACCCCCAGGACCACCGGTTGTTCTAAACCCCACCCCTCCATTGTCCATTCCACCAGGTATTCCTTCATGTCCCCCTGGAAACCCTGCTATACCTCCAGGTATTGCTCCCTTTTCTGCTAACAATTCTGTAGGGGATATTCCTTCAGCTGCCCAGCCCTGCATGGATCCCTCGGAGTTGGAAGCACCCTCAACACCACCTAAAAATTATTTACCACCATCTCCACCTGCTGGTCTCCCAATGCCAGACATCATAAAAACTTGCTTGACCCCATCTTTTACTACCCAGACAATGAGCTCTGCTGGCGTTACTGCACTTGCAACAATATGCACCAATGCACAGGCGCCCATTCCCATACCTACTTTTCTCCAGCCGCCTAGTCTACCAGTCAGCAGTTTATTAGAGCTGCCACAGCCTGAATTAGATTCTATCTCAGATGCACCACTTTCTTCTGAATCTGGAGCAGAACCAATGGAAGTTGCATCAGCAGCAGACAATGTTCACAACTCTTCGCCAACGCTAAATTTAAGTACCAATAATACAGCACCAACACTTGAAAAACAAAATTCATCAGACAGTTTAATGCAGATTGAATCTGACATGAATGAGAAAAATGAAGATAACATCTCAGATGATAGAATTGACTTTGTTGTTTGTGAAGACGATGCAATGCTTCTCATAGATCTTTTTTACATGCCGTTTGAACATGGTTCACAAGGGATTTTCTTTCTTCAAAGACTTTACTGGCTCCGCAACAATGCACATACAATTGTTAGTAATAGTGGCAAAGATACAAACACATTTGAGGTATGTAATTAAATTAGAAACTATTAACTGGTACTTGTAAAATGGGTATGGCATAATTAAATCTCTTAAGAAATATTTTTGAAAATTTGTTAATTAGGTTCAAAAGTAAGATATACCTTAATTTTTTTTTTTTATGTTAGCAGAACATTGAAAATATACAGGGCGTTAAATTGGAAACTGTTTTTGTAAATATTGCATTTTTTAACTACCCAAACCATTTGTGTAGACTCATAAGATTTGCATCATTTCCTGACTTTAATTTTGATGTGTAACAGCTTGTAGTTGGGAAGTAAGGGCTGCTGGGCATAGTGCTGACCACACAGGACATTAATATTCTGATTTGAAAGAAACTAACAGACACTACTTGTGCCTCATAATAAGGCCACTTCAGTTATACAACATTTTACAGCTTCTAATTTTTTTCTTTTTTTGTATTCAGAAAAACCACTCTGTGTGTGAATTTATTTACCATTAAAAATTTTGCACTTATGTAATTTATATTATAATAAGAGGCAGTTTATTTAAAAAAACTGTTCTGGCATATAATTCACTGAAAATAGTAACTTCCATATTTTTAGAATTTTAAATATTAAATGTGCACATTTAACTTTGTACATAGGCTACAGAATGGCATCATCTAGCTGATGAATTTTCCAGCAAAGTTGATTCTGTGGTGAATCTACTTTCTAAATTAACATCAGGACCGAATAAGTCTTTCATGTGTGATATGTACTCCTACATGTGGGACCTTGTCAGTATTCTCAAGATATGCAGAGCATATGTTCAGTGGCTAGGTATCACCATATATCTTATTAATTACTTAATATTTTTATTTAAAAGATCAAAATCGAGACTATTTTTTATGTAAGTAGATCTTTACATTATTCTTTGTAATTTACCATAATATATCTTTGTAGTATACTTACTTTCTATTTAAAGAACCCTTTGTTTTACAGCAAAAGGACTTGCTACTCATCCTTTGGCTCAACAGACTTTTAGCTGTGTTACATGTAGGCATTCTCATTTTTTAAATATATTTTGTATTTATGGTGCTTATATGTTGCAAAGTTGAACTTTGAAGTGCAGCTTTCATTTAGAGTTGGCTAATGGAGTTTTTTTTATGCAGCAGGTTCTGACGAATTGATAATAATTTTTATTTGACCTCAGCCAAGCATGAGTCTCCAGTTGATTTTCAGTTCTTAATGTATACATTTTAAAACGTCAAATTTAAACAAGCAAGTAACTTCTGGTTTTGGAAATCACTTTATTCCATATTAGGAATTGTGATATACACTGAAATTATGCTGGTTTTAAAAGGTTTTAAAATGTTTTTGCAGAGAGGTGTCTCATATTTTTCATGCAAATAATATTAACATGCCTTGAATTTGATTAAATTATATATTGTTTTTGTAATTGATACTACTTAATTAAAATAAATACGTTTACTGCATTTTATTAAAGAACAATACAGGTGCATAATTTCTGCATAATAGTGTGTTCTTTAATAATTAGGAAGACCTATCCCTTAATTTCAATTGAAGAGCTAAATTTAAGTGTTAGCATTAATTTCTTTTGCAAAACAAAATGATCTAACATCAACTGGAGCCTCCTGTGTATATTCGGAAATAATTTCATCATTTGCTCATCTAATTTGAAGACTTGTTTATAGAAAAATAGATTCAAATTAAAGTTCTATGCTGATAATTTATATTTATAAAAATACAACTCCTTGAAGAAATCATTGTCTTCATATCTCTAGTAAGGAGCAAATGTGAAAGTATAAGCTTTTTTTCTAAGTTCTAAAATTTGCCTTTTTGAAACATACACTCTTGCATAAAATATTAGGCTTAACCATCTTTTGATTTTTTTTTGTTTACTTAAAAAATGTATCATGCTGACAATGCTAGTGCACCAAATGCATTTAAATATATTGATAATGCTTATGCAAGATTTCTTTTCATAAAGGCAAGTTTTATACCTTTAAGGTCCCCTAAAGAAATAAAAATGGTAGCTGCACTTCAAAATAAAAGTTCTGCTTTGTTTGTGCTAATAGAAACTAGGTTTCATATCATTTATGGAAAATATGATAAATTAAAAAATATAATGTTAGAGTTGAACTAAATGTAAATGAAAAGAAAAACCAAAATGCACAAAATTAAAAAAAAAGTCATGAAGATTAATAATGAGTTATATGTTCGTTATCTATGTAACTAGATGGTACAGATGTGAATTGTGTATTTGATCCTCAGTTTTTTTAAAGAAAGTATTGGCTTTTGGTAATTTGCTGCAGCTTCAGGGCAGTAAACTGTTTGAACGTGCTCAGCAAACTGCCACAAATATGGTTGACAATGTTAAACTTTTGAACATACATGCTGTGTGGGCTAACTGGGTCGTCTGTATTTTTTCCCTATCAAAACTTCTAGGGTTTTCAAAAGGATATAAGGAAGCTTTTATGAGTGGTGATCAGGAGCCATGGGTTTTCAGAGGAGGTCTTCAGGCAGAGCTTCAAGTATGTATGAGAGCACAGATAAATCTGGAAACTGATAAGTTTGAAGAGATTTTAACATAACGTAGCTGTATCAAGGGCAATTTATAGTTGATAATTCTAGATCCATTTAATCACTAAAGTAATAATCTATCTTTAATCTTGAAGATACCCGTCCAGAGATGGCTGTTCTCGGGCAGGGCCTCCATCAATATTAATACTTTTGTTTTCTTGCAGCTGCTGCTCATGGTACTTGCACCAATTTCTCAGTTATTTTGTTTATCATAACTTTTCTTCCCCAATAGGTGTCATCTGTTTATTCTTTTAGTTTTAGATATTTTTTTTGAAATCACACATTCTGCTTTAATGCAGTCATCACCGTTGCATGAGGATAAAATGGAATTGTGTTAGTGTGCTTTCTCTAAAAGTATGCAAGTCAACCCATTTAAAAGAATAAGATTCTGTGATGACACAGGATTGACTAAATCATGTTCTTTCAATTGTTATTACATATTGCCAATTTAGACTTCATTTTCAAAGTTTTAAATTACAATTTTTTTTTTGCCTATCATTCTTACAATTTGACATTAAGTTAGAGAAAAACTATTGGAAATAGATGAAATGGAAAGAACATTATTGGTCTTGCTCCTTCAACAATTTGTTTCTGGGACAAAAAAAAATTAAATCTAACGTAAGATTTAAAGATACATCTGTCTTTTTATTGTTTGTTTAAATTACATCTATTTACTTTCCTACACAATTTTAAATTGATATTTTATTCATTTTAAAAATGTGTTTGTCCCAGAAACTTATTATTAATTAAGGCTTTATAATTTAGCCTAAGTGCATTCTTTTACAGATTGTTGGTGTCAGTCTCTTTACATGAACATTTCACTTGAGAATGTATACTTTATAATATTTTAATTTTTTTCTCCAAATTAAATTTATATTTTTCAAATGTGGATAACTACTGTTCAAAATACAGTGAAAAACGAATAATATTAATGCAAAAAATGTGATACTCAAGTGAGATGTAGCCACAAAGGGATTGACCCTTTTTCAAATTATAGGAACCAGCCAATTTATTGAACAAAATATACTACATGCCTGAGATTTTGGTGCAGTGCTGTGTACAGTGGTTGATGGAGATGCCCAACTGAGGTTAGCCCAGGTTGCATTTTAAAGTAATAATCATGTTACCTCATTTGAAGTAGGTCAAACACGAATGCCAATGTCAAGTTGGTGGTAGTATGCTTTTTAAGTATTGCAGATTTGTTTAATTATCTTCCATGTTTTTACAGAGGCTTTTACCTATTGATAGTGCCCATGATCTGTTTTATATCAAGCCTCCAGATTACATAATATCACGATCATTTCATCTTAGACCCTACAAACATGAAGATGAGGTATGATTTTTGTCCATTCAGATTATGCACTTCTTTCATTGTGATCTTGAAATTGATGGGTAGAGCCTCAAAAATATATTTTTGTGGTTCCTGTGACCAGTCAGAATTTTGTTTGCTCTTATAAACTCAAAAGTCTAAGGGGTAGAGCACCTAAATTTCTTTAATTTTGTTATGCTTTAATTTGTATACCCAATTGTTTTTTATTTGAGTATTTTAAGTAAGTTAAAAAAGCATCAGTGCTTTTTAAATTAAGAAAAATCTAGAAGCATCAAGTATTGTGTGCATATTAACTGCTTTTAATTATTAGGCCTAAATTTAAAAAGTAGAATGTAGCTTGTGGAGAGAAAAATTAGTAGGTTTAAAATGTATAAAACAAATTATAAAAAAAAAAAAATTTCAAGGATTTTCCCCATAACTTACCAAAACCAACACAAAGTATTAATAAACCCTTTGTAAGGGGGTGGGGGGGGGGGGGTGTGATAACAGTATAATTCTCTGTACTTGTTGAATGTATTTTAGTCACAAGGCCTCTTCAGGTTCATGGCTTTTATTTCTGTTTACTTAATTGCTCGCTTTCCAAAGAGGTTATTTTTTTTTATCTGGGTTCGTCCATAAATGGCGTCACACTACAGAGGAGCTGGAGGAGTTTCTAAGAAAGTGTAGCGAGACGCTTTGCAATATTCTTAGAAACTGAATTAAAGCTGTTGTTTCACGAAGTTAACTTTCTCAAAAATTTTAGTACAAATCTAACACGACCTACTCAACATTGACCATACTTAGTAGATGTTTTAGCAATTTTTTTTTTAAATACAGTTTTGAGAGTTGTGGTAGGCTGAGGTGTAACATCATTATAGGTGTTGGGTCCTGGCTTTTCGTGAAGATTAGTGACTTGGGGGAGGGAGGGGAGGTAAAAATCGTGACTTTGTTTTATGGATGATCTCAGTGTAGGTATAAATCCGGTACTTTACTTACACATGTTGTTTTTTTTATATCACTAGCACTGCCAACTTAATTTTACTTTTTGCATGCAGGGTGCAAGTTTTATGTTTGTTTTAAAATCTTGACACTTCTATGTTAAATTCAACATGTGGATGTCCACGTAGACTTGAACCCCCCCCCCCCCCAAGTCAATTTTTTTCTAATCTTCGTCCTTCTGGGTGGATGTCATAAATGGATGACCCCCAATGTGAGCCCTATGTAGCAGTATGTAGCCTGCTGTCCCACTATGTGAGCCCAATGTAGCAGTATGTAGCTAGCTGTCCCACTATGTTCCCCACAATGTGAGCCCTATGTAGTAGTATGTAGCCTGCTGTCCCACTATGTTCCCAAACAATGTGAGCCCTATGAAGTAGTATGTAACCTGCTGTCCCACTATGTTCCCCACAATGTGAGCCCTATGTAGTAGTATGTAACCTGCTGTCCCACTATGTTCCCCACAATGTGAGCCCTATGAAGCAGTATGTAGCCAGATGTCCCACTATGTTCCCCACAATGTGAGCCCTATGTAGTAGTATGTAACCTGCTGTCCCACTGTTCCCCACAATGTGAGCCCTATGAAGTAGTATGTAACCTGCTGTCCCACTATGTTCCCCACAATGTGAGCCCTATGTAGTAGTATGTAACCTGCTGTCCCACTGTTCCCCACAATGTGAGCCCTATGAAGTAGTATGTAACCTGCTGTCCCACTATGTTCCCCACAATGTGAGCCCTATGTAGTAGTATGTAACCTGCTGTCCCACTATGTTCCCCACAATGTGAGCCCTATGAAGCAGTATGTAGCCTGCTGTCCCAATATGTTCCCCACAATGTGAGCCCTATGTAGTAGTATGTAGCCTGCTGTCCCACTATGTTCCCCACAATGTGAGCCCTATGTAGTAGTATGTAGCCTGCTGTCCCAATATGTTCCCCACAATGTGAGCCCTACTAAGTAGTATGTAGCCTGCTGTCCCACTATGTTCCCCACAATGTGAGCCCTATGAAGTAGTATGTAACCTGCTGTCCCACTATGTTCCCCACAATGTGAGCCCTATGTAGTAGTATGTAGCCTGCTGTCCCACTATGTTCCCCACAATGTGAGCCCTATGTAGTAGTATGTAACCTGCTGTCCCACTATGTTCCCCACAATGTGAGCCCTATGTAGTAGTATGTAGCCTGCTGTCCCACTGTTCCCCACAATGTGAGCCCTATGAAGTAGTATGTAACCTGCTGTCCCACTATGTTCCCCACAATGTGAGCCCTATGTAGTAGTATGTAACCTGCTGTCCCACTATGTTCCCCACAATGTGAGCCCTATGAAGCAGTATGTAGCCAGATGTCCCACTATGTTCCCCACAATGTGAGCCCTATGAAGTAGTATGTAACCTGCTGTCCCACTGTTCCCCACAATGTGAGCCCTATGAAGTAGTATGTAACCTGCTGTCCCACTATGTTCCCCACAATGTGAGCCCTATGTAGTAGTATGTAACCTGCTGTCCCACTATGTTCCCCACAATGTGAGCCCTATGTAGTAGTATGTAGCCTGCTGTCCCAATATGTTCCCCACAATGTGAGCCCTATGAAGTAGTATGTAACCTGCTGTCCCACTATGTTCCCCACAATGTGAGCCCTATGTCGTAGTATGTAACCTGCTGTCCCACTATGTTCCCCACAATGTGAGCCCTATGTAGTAGTATGTAGCCTGCTGTCCCATTATGTTCCCCACAATGTGAGCCCTATGAAGCAGTATGTAGCCAGATGTCCCACTATGTTCCCCACAATGTGAGCCCTATGTAGTAGTATGTAGCCTGCTGTCCCATTATGTTCCCCACAATGTGAGCTCAATGTAGCAGTATGTAACCTGCTGTCCCACAATGTGAGCCCAATGTAGCAGTATGTAACCTGCTGTCCCACTTTGTTCCTCACAACTCCCATGAAAATAGTTTGGCAACTCCCCACATGTAGTTCCTCTTTTTAGTGGCTGTCTCAAAGTCCATGTTTCTAGCGGCCTGCCTCTTTCTTGTACATTGGGAACTTCTGTCTTGCCTTGCTGGTTGTCAGCTTCCAAAGTGTATGACCCATATTATTGCCATTTTCTTAGGAGGCTTTCATCTCAGCAGGTTGTGGCTTTGTTCGCTGCCAGCTTTTATCTCCAAATATGAAACTGCCAGTTTTGTAGACTGTACTTACATAATTAATATTGGGGTTATCCATTAATTTTTTTTTGTATTTTTGACATCCCCATGTCAAAGTCCACAGAACTAAGTGCTCTCACATTTTCAATATGCAAATACAATATACAAAGTCTTTAAATCACATATACATTGCAGTGCTAATAAGATTTCTTTTTTCAATACACAAGCAGAATATACATGTTTCATCTACAAGATATTTATATTTAAAATTATTACAAAGGGTTGATTTCTACCAAACACCCCCAACATGACTTTTTCAGAGCTCATCCTTCCCCTTAATGTGATCATTATACATGAATGACCTATAGTTTTCACCAGCATTCACTTTTAGATTTAATTTAATGTTTTGAACAGGATGCTGTTTATCATATTTGTCTGAAAACATGTGACGATGGAATGGATGGCACTGATGTTTTCCCTGACAACCCACAACTAATGGGAGATAAGTATGTTTATAAAAACTTAATGATGCTTCTTACAATTAAAAAAAACCCCATTTCCCTTTAGTTATTACTGATTAAATACAATTGCAAATTCCTTTTTTCAGGTTGGTGGGCAAATTCTTAACATTAAGTCCAGAATATAGTTTTGTAATAGAAGATGATGTCGGCATTTGTGGATATGTAGTGGCAGGGGTTGATGCAAGAGACTTATCCAAAAAGAGTAAAATGGCTTGGATACCAACAATGTGTGAGAAATATCCTCTTACAGAGAAAAAGGAAAGCTGCTCACCTGTTGATGTAAGCATTTTATTTAAAGAATTAATCCAGTAAAGTTACTGTTGGATGCCTTATTTTTAGAATGTTAGTTTTAACACATTGAAAATTTAAAAAAAATTATGTTTCAGGAAGTCATTCAGGGGTTTCACAATGAGCAAAGGACAGTCCCTGATGAGATTTATGCCATATATCCATCAGTACTTCGCCTTGACATCTTACCTAGTAGAGTGGAAGATCCAGCTCTTCCCCGTCGACTTTTGGCCTGTGTTCTGTCAGCTTTGAAATGTATGGGATCTAAAGGTGTTCACTGTGAACTCAATATTGGAGACAAGTTTATGGTTGATTTTTATGCAAAGTTGGGATTCTTTGCTATTACAACTATGGAGGAAGGTAGTGAAGATGCTGTGTACTTAGGGCGACCAATTTAAGATTGACAAGTAAAATATTTTTTTTAAAGAAGTTTCCATACCTCTTATTTAATGCTCATTACTGAGCAATATCAGTGTTATTTTTAACTAAGTCAGTTTTAATGACTAAAATTTTTTTTTAGTAATTGTGTCTTTAAACTGAAATTACAATCAGCTTTTCAGTGCATGACACTTGTAGCCCTGTTTTTGTGCTTAGATTATACCCTAATTATTTACCAAGTAAGCTTAGAAACAATGTTTCACATCAAAAGTTTTACCAGTGTAACTTAAAAGTGCTTCATATAGTGTCTTGGAATATTGTTTGAACATAATGGCTTAAGTTGGCGAATTAGCTTCATATGCTCTTTTAAATGGTGCAATTAAGTATAGGTTCTTTAACGTAATAATTCTAATCTTTGTTTCCATGCAGAATGATGCATTAGCAGAATTAAGACTATCATGATCCCTTGACATAATGAAAAACCATTGCCAATTGTTTTAAATACTGTTTATGGAACATGTATGAAAAAAAAAGCTATGGATATTGTTATTCAAATACAATTTTTGTTCTAAAATTGTAAAAGAAATAACTGTGATCTAGTCTGTCCCAAATTTGTTGTAACTTACTTTTGAATTGTCACCAGTGATAAAATAAATGATTTTTTTTATTGTCATATTTTCTTTTTAATTTTTTGTAGCAAATGTTTAAAGGGGCTCTGTTTCTGTGGTTATTTTTTTTGTGCCTATTAAAAAATAATAATTGCAGCTGTTATTTATGGAATAATTTAGAGACAGGTGGATGATGGTAGAGAACATTGAAGTCTGGACTTTATATTCAAGGATTTCCCTAACTTATCCACCCAACCATGATGGGTACTGAACCTTACCCAATAAAGGGATAGTAAAGGTGGCTAGACAGTGATAATCACACTATCCCTTAGTCATAGGCAATGGAATCACTACTTACCATGCATCAGCCAACAAAATGAAACCCATATACTATACTTCTTTGAAGCTAAAAAATAGTAAAATACAACTAAACCTGATTTATTTTTTTCTATGGTTATGCGAGTGAAACTGTCATGTTCTGCCCAGAATGTTCCCAAAGGACAAAAGGAAATAGGTACACTAGAATAATCTTAAAAATGTTTAATAAAAAAGTTTCACAAAACTGATGACAACAAAGACAAGTTCATTTGCCATTTTTTTTCCAACAATGAACATAATCCTTTTTTAATTAAAAAAGGCAATTGATACATTTTATTTTAATTAAAAAAATAAACCAACATTGAGTTATCACAAAAATTGCACATATAAATTGAGAAATATGACATGCGTAACATTCAAGACTAATGCCACACTAATAATTGGTTTTAGTTGGTCGAAATATTCTACTTTTAAAATGAAAAAATTCAGTTCAAGCAAAAAAGTAAATGAGCAATCAAAGAACCATTTTCATGCTGCCATATTGTAAAAATTAACATCCAGAATGAATAGTAAAATAGTTAATTCTGACATTTTAAATAGGCCAAAATAAAAACCTGCATCAGATTGGATCATGCTAAAAATCATATTTGTACCTACATATAAAACATTCATTCATAATATAATTACATTTAAACCTTTTCTATTACAACAGCATTTATTGGACAGTAAATTAAACTGACAACCAATATAAAATTCAATTTTTAAAAAGGATTGCATTGTTAATTACTTTAGCGCAACAATTAAAAACATCTGTGTTTAAAAAAAAAATGCCATCCATGAACATTAAAAAATGCACTTCTGTTTGCTGGTAATCATGTTTAAAAATGAATGATGGGTTACGATGAAAAGATAATATAAATATTTATAATATTCTAGTACTCTCAACTACGTAACAATATAATAGATCCATTACATTTCTTAAACAAGTAACTCAAGCCTTCAACAATTAAAGTGACAGCAAAGTCGTTCAATACAAAGGTCCTTAGAAGTGTGACAGAAAAAGGAACTTTACAGGAAAATAAATCATTAATGTATAGTAATGGAGATGTGCAATTGATTAAAATCTGAACTTTCAATTTTAAAGGTAATAATTCTGTAATGGAAAAATATCCATTTTAACGAATTAACAGTTTATTTTATTGTATGTTGCTATGTACATTGTATTTTTTCTAGAAAGCTGGTTTTTCATTTATAGAATGATATTCATTAGTATTGTTTTCCTACCCATCCCAATGCTAATCAGTCATTTGTGAACTTGGAACAATTAATATTGCATAATTGAAACTAGCAGCTTTCCAGAAACCAACTTTGAACATTATTAACTTTTCTAAAGGAGCTTTAAACTACTGACCTTTATAAATGAATAAAAAATCTGACGGATCATATTTGTTGAGATAATGAATTTAAACCATTCCCTCTTATCAAAGTTTTAAATTAATATTATTAAATGTTAAATTAAAATCCAGAGGATTTTTTGGATTTTAAAAATTGACTAAACATGCCTGACACAGCAACTAAAATGTTAACTATTTCATCATTTTGTTGGGTAAAAAAACGTTAGTTGCAATTAAAAAAAAAATTATGCACATCTCCTTAATAATAAAACTATATATACTCATAAAGGATGGAACATCCCCAAATTTTTATCACCTGTTTTATAATTTAAATACATTAAAAAAGCGGTTGCCCATAAATGACTCCACACTAATAGATTTTTACTTAGCTCAAACCACAAAAACACTACCCTCGTTCTGTCCACCCCATAGAAGCCACAAAATTAACAAGATTTGTATCACCCTTGTCTTTAAATATACAAAATGAATGCTACATCATATTTCTCCTCAAGGTGTCTGATGCCATTTATGGACAACCAATACAGACAGATAATACAAATTAATAACAACAAAATACTGTGGACTTAAATCACCAAAAGCAGATAAAAATGTGAATTTTCATCACACAGTTCAGAAACAAATTGTAACAAGTACTTGATGGGATGGGCTAATACATAATCCTCCATAGAAGAAACAAGTTAACTGTCCTTTTTACACCTACAAATAAATGTTCAAAAGTAACATGGTAGTCATAGTACAAATAAGAATTTAAAATTGTATGTTTTGCATGACTAATTTTTAAGTTTATAAAATAATTGAATGTTACATAACTTACCCATGAAGATATGAATTGACATCAGGATAACCTTTTTCTCTTGCTATGTGAATAAGAATGCCTGTAGATGAATGTCCTTTTTTTCTACGACAAAAACTGCAATTGCAGATGCCCCTACATGGGGGGCATATCCAGTCCTAGAAAGAAAATTTTAAAATCTATATAGTCTGCCTAGTAGCTGATGTTTGTTTAATTAACAATATCTATAATTGAGGCTAAACAAAACATCACAACCTGTAAAGCCATTGTATTCATTTAAAAATTGTATATATAGAAACACTTCTATGGACTTGACAATTACATGCCTAAAGGTATGTAGACATTGAATCTACTGACTGTGTGTTCATTTCCGTTTAAAGCTCAAGTGTAAACATTTTTCATGGTTGGCAATGACAATTTCAATTCATTAACATCTCATATATTTTTGGCTGATAAACCCAAATGAAGATTGTCTGCATGCAGAAATACAGAAAATACCCCAAAGGTATCAAATTATCACAATAGGTTTTCTTTTGTAAAGAGTAAAACAAAAGCATACAACTAACCTGTTATATGTGTGTAACAAATGTTATAAAATCATGTATACTTACAGGGTCTTTTAAAGCTGCTTTAGCATCTTCCCCATAACGATTTCTAAGACATGGACCACAAAACTGAAAGTGGTCATCAAAAGATTTAATCTACTTAAAAAACCAAGATAAAGATTTGAAAGCAACATATTCACTTGGACAGATATAACAGTTTACTAAAGATATTGATATAGTAAAGATAGCTATTTAAAAATGTCAGCGCATCACCCCCCCCCCCCCCAAAATAAAGCACGTTTGAGAGATCTCTGTGTGTGTTGTTACCTTTGACACCAACAGGCTTGTCTAATGTGTCATAGCATAGTTGCTATTTATTTATCCCCAAAACAAGTAACCGACCTCTAAAGAAAATAGCGGGAGAGGGGTACAAATTAAATTCACTGTTTTTCAAGGAGTTTTACATGCAGATAGAGACCATTAGATATACAGCCTTGATCAGTCATAAGTAAGCATACATAAGTATTTTGTGTAAAAAATTAAGACGTAGATCGAGTGTTTTTTTTAAATAGATTGAGTAAAAACTCAAAATAACCATGTTAAAATTATCTATTTTAAAAAAAGGCACTTGCAGAATCTGCTCGTGCGGTCGCGCCCTAGGCCTCACAATAAGTGCGACCATGAAAAGTGGGTGAGGTAAAAGTAACTACTTCAAAGATGTAACTTTTCAAACACGGACTTGGTCTCACTGTGAGTTCACATAAGCTTTGAAACAAGTGACAGTTGCTACAAGGAGGTGCAGGTTAATCTTGTCCAAATCATCAATAGAAACTAACCACACAGAAATATACCGAAAATTTTTAAAACCCACAGTTGTATATATATATTTAAAATAAATTGTCGACCTATAATCCACCCGTATCATCAATAATAGATGCACTACCACCAACTATTATATATATTAAAGTTCAGTCCATAGCCCTATCCAATTTGTCTGTAACGTCTGACTAGCAAAAAATGTGGGTAAAATATAGGGGAAAACAGATCACTCTTTCACAGGGTTCCTACACCGAAGTGAACTTAAAATTCCAGAAGTTTTTCAGGAGAAAAACCAGAATTTCAGGACATAATTTAACGTATTAAATAGCAACGACTCACCCACGCTGAATAGAAAGAAGTTTGACATTTCTCAAATAGGAAGTAGTCTTTATAAAATGCTAAGAAGCATAACATTTGTAATTTTTAAAAAGTAACTGATTAATTGAGTTAAAATAGAATTTATTTTGCCCCTCCCATTTATAAATTGTTATTCATACAGTTGCCATCTCACCCCCCCTTCTCCAAAAAAAAAAAAAAAGTTATATTTCACAATTTTAAAAATTCAATGATTACTGAAATAGTGTGAGTAAATTCTCTTGGTAAAATAATGATTATTATAGAAATAACAGTATTTTGGAAACAATACTTGAGAATATATAACATTTCAGCCAAAAAGAATCTAGTTTTCTGATGAGTAACCACAGTTTTATTTAAATTTCCGGTTACTAGATACGGTTGCGTGGGTTCAGTTTGAGTTCATTTAGCTAACAGTTAGGCTGTAGTATACGTTGTAGATTGCTGATGACATCACAAGCAGGTCACACAGAGTTCATATACACAACCAGCGCTTCCCTCCCACCCCGCCTTGGGAAAGAAACTGAGATGCGGGATGGGAGGGTGGTAGTATTACAACACGCATGTAAATAGAAAGTAGATATAGAGCCTATCGGACTATGAATTCAAAATAGCTGGGCAAAAAACTAGATTTGGGCTTACGCGTAGAACAACGTGAAAAAGAAAATGAAACCAAACCCACAGGTTAAAGACAGCTATAGGTCTAATTTTAAAATGTGTGCCTTGTATGCGCAGAATATTTTACTGGGGCGGTCAGATCTGATTACCTAGAGATCTAATGCACACAAAAAATATACGCTAAAATTATCGATGCAAGTTAATTTTCAGGACATTTTACAAAATTTCAGGAAAAAAGTTAAAATTCCAGGATAGTTTGGATTTAAAAACCTACCTGCCCTCGTACACCTGCACAATTAGTTGACCTGCATATAGTCTTCATATCATTTGTTTTTTGACGACACTGGTGGCAAGTTGTACCCTGTCAAAAGTTTTCAAGTAACAATACCCAAAAAAGAAAGATATTTTGAGACCTAGCAAACTAGAAATGATGTATTAGAATTGACAATATTTGCTACTAATTTTTTAAAAAGTATATAATTTTACATACATAAATGCTATCATATCTCTTGTCTGACACGACAACAGCCACCATATCAAGATCTGTTTCAGTAATATCATCTACCGATGTCACTTCATGTCTTGTCCTGGGTTTTCGAGTTTGATGTGGAAGAGGAAAGTCATCATCATCTTCCAGTGCCTTCACATACGTTTAAAAAAGAAAGTGTGAGTAAAAGTGTTACTGAAATATATTAGACAAATGAAATATATCATAAGCTATAAAATAGGATAAAAATACTTGTAAAAAAAAAAATACCTCATCGTTATTTGTGATGATTGGACCATCAGACAAGGATGTCTCTGAAGAAGAAAGTTTCCGAAAGAAACCAAACTTTACCACCAGTTTCTTAAAAGAATAAAAAATTATTTGTAAATGTGAGAATACGGTATAATTTACGATTTTAAGAATAAACAGTGTTATAGGGTTGAACAAATAAAAGTTCATAAAATCCAATAATTACCTCAGGTGTAGAGAGGGGAGTTGAGGTAGATGAAGATGATGCTGACGAAATAGATGATGACACTGACCCACTTCTAGAGCGAGTGTGAGGAAGATCAAAACGACCTGGAGCATACCTAGCAGATCTGGAAGGATTGCGTCGTATGACACCATCAGTGTCTGTGAACTTACTAGACTTTTTTCTCTGCAAGTAAATTATGGAAATTGTTCACTTTCAAAGACTACAACCTTACCCCTAATTAATTCAGTAGTCATTTTATTCTAAGATACAGAGTTTCTTTCAGGGAATCTCTTTTTGAAGTGGTTTAATCAAATAGTGAATTTTTGTTTGGATAGATACAACTGATAAAAGATGTTATACCTATGAAAACTAACCTTAGGTGGGATAACTGGTTTTACAGTCAGATGACCAGCAACATCAGACATCAGCTTGGCCAACTAAAAGATAGATGTAACATCAGTTTAAACTTGGATAACAACAATTTTATATTATTAATATGCAAAAGATAATTAATTTAATATTTACCAATTTTGACAGTTATTAAATTAGCAGTAAAATAATTTAGCGAATGCAGTCATGTTGGAATGGTAACAATTATGGCCGTAAAATCAATCTGCAGCTGATACTTACAAATAGAGGAAATTTCCAAAATTAAAGAAAAGAAAGTAAATCAGCAACCATATTACCATAATTTTATTATCCTCCAAATTCTTGCGTCGTAATTCCTCATAACGCTCAACGTCATTTTGTTCAGGCTGAGAAGTATAGTAGCATTAAACATTTAATATTACTCCCCCTACTCTTATTAGATTTAGATAAAGCAATACAATTCAAAAGCAAATTTAAGAGTATGTGTGATACAAGATAAAATGTAAATGGGAAGACCATGTGTAACTATTACATCAATGTCCCCCACTTTACTGTTTCAAAAAAAAAAAAAAAAAAAAAAAAAAAAAAAAAAAAAAAAAAAAAAAAAAAACCCCAAATCTTAGCATGAATAATATCAGGATGACCAGGCTCTCTACCACAACACCATTTTGTCCTACTAGTTATAAGTTAAAGCTAATATTTAATCCAAAATACTAATTTCCCTTTGCTTAACTTAATTTAAGTTTCTTTAAATTGCTTGTTTTTGCACCATGAAAAAATGAAGTCTTCTATTATCATTATTTTTTTTTAGTGACCAAACAAAAAATATTCTGGACTACAGATACAAAAAAATAAAATTTGCAGTTGCAAAATAATTTGGTTTTAAATACAGTAATATAAAAGTTAAAGCTTGTCATATAATACTAGATAATTCTTCAGCATCTAAAAAGTTTTGCCTGAATCAGTTGCAGAAATGAACATTTATTGGAGAATGAACAGGTTTAGTGTTAATTTAGGTTTATTCAACAATAGCCTCAACACACAGATTGTCTCATAGACTGCAAGCAGTACCTGATTATGTTAACTTTGAATGAAATGGTAGAAAACATTTTGAATTGAAACCTACAAATCAGTCATGTGGTGGATGGTACAGTGCATGATTGCTTGTCCAAAAGTCTAGTATATTATTTAGTAAACATAGGCTAACATTATTCTTTTCTCCCAACAGGCCCTTCTTTCTTCTGATAATATTTAACCTTTTTATAGTAAGAATGTCCTAGACCTAGATAAGACACAAAAAAAAATAATTCAGGGATTGTTTGTTTTGAAATTTAAATAACCTATAAATTGCTTTCTTGACATTGATTTCAAATAGAAATGACACAAATCTAGGCCCTTATCATTACTAGATCTAGTACTAATAACTAATCAAGTTTGTAATAAAACAAAACATGCTTTTGAAGAAAGACTTCAGATTTATATTGTATAGGGCCTAACCAATAATAGGCCCTACATAGTAGTAGTATTATAGTAAATGTTCTAGTGTATTGTATTATTTATAATTATATATATATATATATAGATCTATATATATAGGCTTAGGGGTCTACTATACAGGCCTAAAGATCTAGGCCTACATAAAAGTACATATTAGGCTACTACATATAATATTTAGCCAGGGTGTTGTTCTGCTAGGGATTTATAATTGATTTAGTCTAGATCTAGATCTAGATACACTTCACTACAGTAATAGCATGGCATGAATAAAGTGAATTAGCATAACTAGATCTAGAGCATCTAGAATAATCTAGATCTAGTATACAACTAATCCAGATCTAGATGTAACTACTTAATACTTAACTTACTATAATTATAATAGTAGAGAAAAGAGTAGGCCTAACTATTATACCTTGATCTATATTCTAGATCTAGTCTGTAATATACTGTATAATTGTATTATACTAGAGTCTAGACTAGATCTAATCTAGATCTTCTAGAATTTAGATTAGTGATTAGATTAGAATTTAGAAGAATGAATGAATCTCTACTCTTTTCTCTCTAGATCTAGAGGAGTTTACACTTTTCGGACACACACCAAAAATTACGTAGGACCGAACACTTCGTCGGTTTTTGGCTCATAGAAACTTTAATTAGCATGTCTCACGCGAAACCACGGCGCCTGCACGTAAACTGTTCATTTATGAACACTTCCGTGTCAAGTACTTCCGTTTCCTTTCTCAAGAATTATTTTTAGAAATTTTTTAACGTTGCATGGTACGCACATTTCTATTTTTACACCAGCCGGATGAAGTGACCTAGGGTTGGACTTAGGGGCAAAACTTGAACCAATCAATGCTTAGCTAAAAGGTTACACTATAAATAGCTTCTATATATGTATGGAACATCGTAAATGTCAAGGTTAATGGGTTTTTTTGTGCTTGAACAATAAAAAAGGGGTGTTCGCTAACTTATTTGGCCTTACATGGGATCGGACACCAACACAAAAATATTACTAAATAAGAATTTAGAGCATAAAAGGGGCTGGTTATTGAAGGGAAAGGGTCAAAATAAGGTCAAGAAGGCAGTGGAATGCAAAAGAGGAGGGGGAATCATGTGACCTGGCTGGCTTAGCAGCGTACTGCGCGAGCCGCAATGGCTGAATGGGATGAACTTTGGGAGTGTGGGAAAAAGGTTTTATACTATTAAAATTACCTCACAAACAATCAATAACACAATATAAATGCATATAATATATGTTTTTATTCATTAAATTGACTTTAAATTATTCTAAATGAACAAAAAGTGCTATGTCCGATGACGGGTAAAGGTGTCCGAACACATGTAAAACTGTATTACATGTGTTCGAACACACGTTAAGACCCCCCAGTCACTATAACAAGAATAGCTTAAGTTCTATGCGTATGAATACAAAATGACACACACATTATTAAAGTAGAATGGTTGCGGATAGATATGATACTTTTTTTTGTTTTCTATGTTAAGCGGTTACTGAATGAGACCGCATGGAATTTTTACGTTGCGTTTTTTCGCTATGTGTGTCCGAAAAGTGTAAGCTCCTCTAGATCTAGGACTCTAGACTCTAGGCCTAATCTAGATTCTAGAATCTACAGTAATATTACTAACCTCTACCTTTTTGAAGCAATCCATAAATTAGACTCTGAATATGTTAATCCTAGATCTAGGCCTATTTCCACTATTTGTATTACTAGTCACGAAGAATTATTTACTGTGCAGACAATTATTATAATATTACAGACAATGACCATGAGTACCCACGCCCACAGTCAGGTCGACGCCCTACATTCATTCCCGCCAATTTAATGAGCTTCTGTAGCGTTAACACAAGAGCCGACTCAAAATATCGTCCTCTACATCTTTATAGTTTTTTGTGTTTTACATTGATTTCCACTTCGGCAGTAGATCTATAACATAAATCAAACTGATATGAGTGAATTTAACTTTTTTACGCTCTTTCTTTCGATCATGGGTAGACTTGAATGATCTTCAATGTAGATGGGAAAATGATGGCTGACCCGCCAAAATGTAAACACATCATCACCGAGTGAGACTACATATTCAATACATAAAGAAGTTGCATTTTTCTTTTATATTTAAAAGAAACATTTACTGGGCCAGTTTAAAAAATTGGTAAAATCACGATATAGCGTCGGAAATTATTGGGTAATGTTCGTTGAGTTTCGGTAACATTCGTTACTGTAAACCATAGTTTATTTGACCGTTTGAAAAAAAATAAAGTCAAAGTGCATTAAATTAATGTTTTAACTTAATTTAATGTTTAACTGACAAAAAAAAATAGCAACAATTAGTAAATCTAAATATTATTAATGAAGTCGAGTGTAGTAATTAATGTTTTTTTTAAGAAACACAGAAAAAACCTGCAGAAGATTTGCGACAACCAGCTCTAGTTCTATTAGTAAAATAAGACGATTAGATTTACTAAAGTTAAAAGTAGTAAGAAGAACTAGAATAATGTTTAGTAGCAGCAATAATTAGCACATACACTTAAAATAATTAGAAATACAAAATAATTAGCAAAACAGTAGTTAAAATGCAACTAAAATCAATCCTTGCACATTTTTAAACATAATGTATTAAAAATAATATGGCGGCAAATAAATGATGGTTTACAGTATTTCCGGTGGTTTCCGGAACGGCTCGACAGACTACGCCATGGTTTTACTGTTTTTTTTACTGCTGTACAGTTCCGGAATAATAACCGACGCTATATCGTGATTTTACCAAAAAATTAAGCAACAGTAAATACCAGTTTATAATCCATGAAATACCAAATGAGTTTAACTTTATGATTTAGCGTTGTTCCTGAACAGCATCACACGTGTGGAAGTGGGCGGTTCAAAGCATGGCATGAGTTGCTTGAAGATTTTAGACCAATCTAAAAATAAGCCGAAAATAATAAACATCCGGGTTACAGTAGTAACCTATTTTAGAAACACATATGTCACATTGGCAAATTTGTATTTGGTTTTCCGTCCACCATCCTATCCCACGCTCAAGTGCATACTAAGAATTATTTTTAGATGATCCATAGCATAACCAGTAAAAATACTAATCTTAATTTCTTTTCTTTAATGTCAAGATATTATTTATACTAGAGATATAACTGCACAATTCATGAGGCAGAATGCTTTGATCTTATACTAGAACTAGATCTATATCTATAAACTATAATTATTAATATATATATTTCATTTGTCTAAAAGGATAAAGGCAAAGCAATCTCTGTCCTACTGTTTTTAATCGCTGGTTCTTATGTCAGCTATGTCTATTGTCTATTTATTTTTTATTTAATGTATCTATGAATAAATTTAGAATCATTAAGTCAGTTTCATAAAATATGGACATGAATGGCTTAAAACAGTTATTTAAACCTGGCACGCCTTCACCAAATCTTTATCTATCTTGCTAGCTTTGCAGCTTAGGACTACTCAAGCTCTAAATTCTAAATCTAGATTCTACATCAAGATTCTAGATCTAGAATCTATATCTCACTTGGCCACTAGATCTAGTCATAGTGGCACTATTCCTACCAGATTCTAGAATCTAGCTACACTTAGTTAGATCTGTAAGAACTATTGATTAGTTTAGTTTAGTACTGTTAATTTTTTAAGGTAATCTATCGTTTTGGGTACGTAAAATCGCCCGCGATTTGTAATGTGAAAAACAGGTGACTCCTTAAATTTTAATAATTATTTCACATTTTGAGGAGGATTTATGTTTTAAAAATTCAAAAATGTTTCCTTGATTCATTTATGTACCTGTTTTTAAACAATTGAATTAAAACTTTTCCGTAATAAATGAAGACTAGCGATGTTTCCAACAGATGCAACCATGCTCATTTACTATAGCAGCCATCTTGTCTAAGTTTTATTTTTATAAGCTTTTAGCGCCAGATTCAGGGGGAAGCCACTCTATTTTACAAATGGCTGCTGTTTATATAGCAAATCTTGCTCTCAGACACTGCTGTTTAAAGTTAATTTCTGGCCTATATCGATATATTTAGCCATTGATTTAGGTTTATTATTCATTTATCTATAATATTTGACACAAAAGTATGACAATATACTTCTATTAAAGCCTTGACAATGAGGTAACGTTTTCGTACATAAATAGCCGCGGGCGATTTTACGTACCCAAAACGATAGATTACCTTTTTTAAACCAAATGCAAAGAAGCAAGTTTTACTTTTGACTTTTAGGCCTAACTTTTTAGTTTTCAGTCTTAGTCATCTAGAAAAGATCTAGTAAATTCTAGATCTAGTAGTAGATCTAGATCTATGAATAAATCTAATAAGTTGGCATTTAGGAATTTGATGTTATTGTTAGACCCCTAACACAAAATCTTTGGCCTAATTTTAGTTATTTTTCTATTTAAACAATGGATGCATCTATTCTAATAACCTATTCACTATTCGCACCCGCGTCCTAATATATAGCCTCGGCCGCTATTCAGACCAGCCAATAAAATTAAGATTTAGTTAAACAATAATTCTTTTAGGATGCAGAATATATATTTTCTGTTGTTGTGATTTCTTGTAATTCTAAATGAATAAATGATATATTGAGATCTTGCTTTAAATACTCGATATTCCTTATGATGAGCGGGAATCGTTAGGTCTATAATAATAGTATAATATATGGTCTATGATATGAACTTCTCTGGCCGGGCGAATGTTGAGCGCTCATGTAAAAATGTGCTTTTTTTTTTCTTCTGTTAAACGTAATTTGATTTTAGGCCATAGGCCTATCAGTCCAAATAAAAAAAATTATAAAATAAAAATTGTATAAAATAGCTCATTAGTCAACAGCTCCCGGGTCCATTTTTTCTTAATTATACTATTTATTAAGTAGTAATTTAATTGTTTATTGTTTTGATCCCTGTCCCATTAAAACAAAACATAGGCCTAAACAGTAAACATGTAGATGACAAGAAAAACCAGGTTATTGTAGAGCTAATCGCATCTTTTTCTGTCAAGAACTGGCCAATTTATTATGTTATAAGGCCTGCCTATGATATATATATAGAATTTAGAATTTAGGCCTATTTGTTGTTTTATACCATTGTCTAATGACACTAGACATAATATTAGTAGAATATTCTTTAAAAAGATATGTTAGGTTAAATTGGCAGTTTATACTAAATTAAAATACAGTAGCATATAAGAACATTTAAAAACCAAATCTAAAGAAATAAACTGGTTTGTAATGAGCCAGCATATTTACTTTGGAATTATAAAATTTACATGTTCCTTAACAAGATATAGATGTATCTAGTTTTGTTAGTTACAATATTTTTCTTACAAACCTTTTGAATAATTTTAAAAGTGTTCTACAGCTGAGGGATAAATGTTTGGTGCAAGAAAAATCTGCAGCTTCACTGTCAATTTGAACCAAAACTTGAAACATCACTTAAATCAGAAAGCTACACTTCTCTGTCAATCAAATATCTTTCAGCAGAAAATGTCCTATGTAAATAATGGATTAAATGCTGACAAATTAGACATATCAGGTAGGCTGTAAACATGGATATTTTTTGCCTGTTTAGTTTAACCTTGAGCTTACTATGGACTTAAAAAAGAATATTTTCAGATAATACATTC